TTGCATGCGACCTAATGATGACCCCGAGACTCTCTTCATGCTTATTACAACTACAGTAGATTTTCAAATTTTCAAGGAGCGCCATTGGCTTATAATATTGCGTATCATGGTAGTGTTATAGATGAACCATGGTACACCAAATACCTAACAGCCTCACTATGAACTAAACCCCAAGTCGGTGACCCCTATCCTGCCCGCCCTCCACTACGAACCCACCTCTCACATCCCTCACGAATCACATTCGGCAGCTCCTCAGGCGTCAGTCTATCCCCAGGACTCTTCATCAAACAAGCACTGACTCCCCGTTCCAAAAACTGCGACGCACCCGACCCGTCCCGACCAAACGGCCTTCCCATTTCCACTAATCTGACCACCGGAACCCTGCTCCCTAGAAAAACACACTGCAACACCAATCCCACCCCCCAAACGTCCCTCGATTTCTTTAATTCCTCCTCTGGTGGCCAGAACCTTGGATCTCCACCCAGCCCACGTGTCTCCCCATCTCCATCCCCGGCAGCCCTCACACACCCAAACCCACTCAAAACCACCCTCGGATACCCATGACCCATCTCAACCGTACCACTCTGATCCCACGTCAGATATACATTTTTTGGTCTAATATCCCCATGTATCATACTCTCCCAGCCCCCCTTCTTCCCCTCTACCACACTCCCTCCCAGCGCCAGCAGCCTCGTCTCCTCGTATCCATATCCTGTTGTGAGAAAACACACGGCGAGGGCTAGATCCCAGAAGATCTTCCAGAGAAAGCCTTCATCTGGGAGGACGATGCCGTTTTTTATGAAATTGTCTAGGCTGCCGAGAGGGCAGTGTTGGAGGTAGAGGGATGTGTAGGGGTCCGTGGAGATGTAGGCGAAGAGCGAGATTATGTGTGGGTGGTTTTTGAGGCGGGTTAGGGCGGCGATTTCGCGAAGAATAGAGGGGGAAGTGGATTGGGTAGGGAGGGTACGTTTTTCGATGTAGAGAGTTGATGTGGGGATGTGTTTTGTGAGGTATGTGGTTTGCGTAAGTTTTTGGAAAGTGAAGAACTCGCTGCGGGGGTGATTTGTGGACATTTCGCGTGAGAGAGCGAGATAATATGCCTGTAGGGGAAACTTGTTCCTTAAAAGAGAAGGATAGTTGGATTACTGCAGATTTTAAAGAAGAATTTTTAGTTGAGGACAGAAAGACGTGTTTTTGAGTGATTGGAAGTGGCGTAATGCTTTGATTGCTGGCAACATGATGATGAGTATGGGTGATATCGCATCGTAAGGATGATATCGTTTTATATAGTTCTCTGTCAATACTCGAATATCTGGAAGTAGTGATGGCTGGGAGCTGGCTTGATATTTAGTTGGATATGTGTTTTTTGGCGTTTATGACAAGAATAATTCAATAACATCTTTGATTTCCTCTACGCACATGCGATCGCGGCTCACATGTATTGCTATCTTCGAGGATTGACGCATCATTCAAAGTGGCCTGGCGGTGTTTAGTGTGCCAGAGAATTCCCCATGTTGCTGTGGGTCCCAGCCGGCAACTCAAGTTGGAGTCGCATCGCCGAACGCGGGGTTTCACCAAATTCAGGTACACTAATGCTTACCAAGATATGTACCCTCGGGTCGATTTGGCGGCATTTGCAGATCCATAGAGTGAAATCATAGAACTATATAAACTAGCAACATCGCCGTTGTCATTTTCTCGCTTCACACACTCCTGTTGCGCTCAATTGGTGACGTAATCTGCTACCTTCAATATGCGGCTCTTCAATACTCTCGCTGCACTCACGGCTCTCTCCACACTCACAATGGCGCGACAAACACCTTCTCCACCGATCATGACGCTGATATACAGCATGGAAGCGAAACTGGGAGAACGATTTTCGTTAGGCCCTGTCCCGACCGGTGAAGAGCGCATCGTTATTCCCATCGTTGGGGGAACTTTCGAAGGGCCTAGACTATCTGGTAAGAAGTCCAGTTAAAGGATCTGCTAATGCGCCATGTGAATGAAGTCTGCCACTAGAACATTCTTCAATTCCACCTTGACCAAGAACAGGCCTCGTGTAGTATGACTAACACATTCACAGGCAAAGTCCTTCCACTTGGCGCAGATTGGCGTCTAACAGATGCGCGAGGCGCCATTCGACCAGATGCTCGTTACAATATCCAAACCGACGACGGTACCTTCATCACTGTCATGACCGAAGGATTGCCACCAGGTCCGGATGGCCGTACGATGCTAAGAGGGGTATTTGAGACGAGCACGAACGGAACAGCTGAATGGTTGAATGAGGTGGCTGCTGTAGGAGTCTTGACTAGGAACGGGACGGCGAGCGTGATGATTGATATGTGGCAGGTCAGTGTATGGGAAGGAAGAAGTACATGTCTGGCGCTAATGGAATTTAGGTTACACCACCAGGCTGATGATCGCGGTTTGAATAAGATGGTTGACCCGGTGACTTTGAATTGCTGTACCAGGCTCATAGCAATAAGTACCTTATGAACAGAATGAACTAGATGGTTTCAAATTAATATCGGTATAACCAAAAATTTTTATTGCGTTGGCTTGATGTCGGCATCATATTCTGAAAGTGGCGCCTGTGGCTTGATGTGTGGCTGGTAACTAGCCGAAAATCTAAGTCCGACTTCGCTCTTTCCGTCTTTCCCTACCTCACGAACATCAGATAACTTTCCGTTACAGTACAACATTACGTTCAGAATAAATTGATTCAATATGGTGGACCCGCAACAATGGCAGCTTCTTCCACCCGAACTGGTAGAGCTTCAAATCGGCCAAATCGACCTATTGCTGGCCATGTACCCGGAAGAAACCGTGCTTGACGAAAACTCCCAGCATATATTGGATATCTTTCGTGGGACCGACATTGATAGAGCAAAAGCTGTGGTCAAAGTCACACCTAGTATACCGGTGAATCTTGATCTGCCTATCGCAATATCCGAAGAAGAGTCATCGAATTCCCAAACATTGCGACTGGATCTTGGGGTACCGTTTGTATACGAGGGATACCAGCCACCGTTAGATCCACCGGAAGTCAAAGTCCGCATACAACAACCCCATTGGATGAGTAGAGCAGCGACAGCGCAGTTGACATCAGAGCTCCCGCAAGACGAAGACCTACTTGGCACCATCGAGCATATTCGAGAAGCAGCCGTTGCGTATCTAGTGGAAGCTCAGAAGAAAGACACAAACGCGGTACATGTAACCGAGGAGGTCGGCCCACTTGTAAGAGTCTGGTTCTACTTCCCCTCGATTAGCACTCGATCCAAACGCGACGACTTCATCATTCACGCCCCATTATACCAATTGACCGGTTTCCTGTATGCCGGAAAGCCTGGTCTGCTCTGTGTGGAAGGTGGCTCGCAGAGAATCGATGACTATATGAAATTCATCAAGACTGAGAGCTGGGGAGATATCCCTGCGCATCACAAGAAGGTCAGCGAGCGACACAGGGAAAAGTGCGAGAAGAAGGTGTTTCACGATATGACCGAGATTACAGATACTGTAGGTGAGAGAAGAGGTCAAAGAGCAAATAGAGGGGATATGAAGGCGATTGAAGAGTGGCTAGTGGAGAGGGGACTGGGCGATGCCTTCACGAAAGTTTTGATGTAGTTCTGGAGCGCTTTGGGAAATACACATCCCAATATTCAATTTCGAATCGCCATCGAAGCTGTATTGCACGATTTCTGCAATATCAGACTGGCAGAATTGTGTGCCTCAAATTGAGACAGTACATCAACCATTCCAGATGCCCGAAAGCTCGCGCTCATCTACTCCCCCACCTCCCCAATCCAAAACAGCAAATTTGGTTGACACTCCTGTGGCAATGTCCCAACATTCCTAATCGTATAAAACAACGTCACCTTCTTTACAACCTTATGCCCCAACTGCCGCTTATGCTGCACCAACAACCAAGCCACACCGCTTCCATTCGGCGTCCCCAGCAGAGCATGCGCCTGCTCGCTATCCGCGTCGAAGCTAATACCCGGCCACACCGGTACCCACTCCTCATCCTCCTCTTCCTCTGCCCGGTAGTCTGTCAGGAGCTTACTGGTCACCACGACAGTATCTCTGTTCGTAATGGTCCAACGGAGCACATAATTCAGGTCGCCGCCACGCTTCTCTTCATCTGCGACGGGTTCAGTCCATGCGAGAAAAGCTATGTCTGACCAATAGTTCAATACCTCAGGTTGTGTGGGGCGGTCGTATTTCGTATTTTCGGTTGCGACGAGGAAGCCGTTGGGTCGGTCTACTACGTTTCTGAACGTCGCATAAAGTTTTGTGTACTCTTTGTCGCCAACGACGCTCTCTTGGTTGTAAGTTACTTGGACGGGGAGATTATGGCTGCCTTGACCAAGTTCTGCTATGATATTATGAACCAAGGGAAATGAGACGAGGTGTGAAATAGTGGACCTGCTATAGTTGTGTTGTGCGAGTTGTTGGTGGTCAAGGAAATGACTTCCTGGTGAGTCGCCGTTCAGCATCGCTGCGCGGAGTCGTTTGCCCTTGGCAACTGCTTTGTCGTAGGTTAATTGCGCGTTCATTGAGAAGTGATCTGGCTCGTAGGAAGTCATTTGATAGTAGAATGAAGGTTTTTGGGATCAATTGGGACCAATTTATGTCAAAATAGGTTGATTGCTTCCATAGAAGTCATGCGACAAGGTTCAGTCATTCTATTACTTTTTTAGGACTACAATAGCACTAGCACGAGGTAAAGGTACACGCATATGATATAGCTAACAATACTACTCAAACTACTCCTGTCGGCGCCACATATACGGCACTGCTGCCTAAACACCCTTATTCTCCTTCACTTCGTTGTGTAACCCCATGTTGAAAAGAGGAAAGTGGCCGAGAACGGGCTCTGGAGGGTGAGAGTTAGCGAAAGGATGACCCTTACCAATAGTGGACTAGTAGGTGCTGGGTATCGGGAACAACTGAGCCATTGGGTTGATCGTTGTGTTTGACTGCTGTGTAGATCGTTTCCAAGAAGGAAAAAAATCTTCGCTTCTAAGTGTATATGAATTGAGGCGGGTGTTAATTTACATGGTGAATGTAGGAGTAGAGACGCAGGTACCGCTAGACATAGCAGGTTAGTAGCTAAGGAAGTATTGGCGTTCAAATATGTCGAGAGCTGTTTTTCGAGCATAGTGTCAAGCGTCAAGGTTGGGGAGAATCATGTTGTATTAGAGCTGCTGGAAAGAGGTCTATCTACGCAGTGGGAAGAGGGAGTGAAAGAGCTAGGCAGTAAAGGTACTAGCGGGTAAATGGGTGGCTGCCTGGTTACCCAAGGAGGAGCTAAGGGATAAGCCCTATGGCCGACACATAGCAACCACTATGTTTGGCAATAGTAAATGTAGTCTCAACTACTAGTCATCTTAATTCGTTTCCTCGAACATGTCTTCGGGCAGATGAACCTTGTACTCGATCCTAATTTGATCATGATTTATAGCTCAGCAGACTTTCATGGTTCGGTTGTAAGCATATATGAATACTCAAAGCTTTCGTCAGGAGTTTTTCACGTCCTTTCCTCAAGCCAAGAACTTTTGAATGCATGTCATCAACTCCTGTATTCTCTTGCGGGAGTTTATCTAGGATGTGGACACCTCGTGGTAAGTAGTTGGGTACACTTATAGTATGTGGATTTGCCATGCTTGCGAGCGCAAAAATCTCGCAACGACTATCCATATACTGATCTTGTCGTAAGATTTCAGTTAGAGTGCGTAGACTTGGTACAGGAGTTCTAGGATGCCTAGTGCTGTCACGCGACATCAGACGATCACGTGCACATTCACCCCACATCCAGACCACAAACAATCAAGAACACCTCCACTCCATCGATCAAACTATCCCGCACCACTACAGATTCAGTATGGCTACCCCCGACGAAGTGCACTTGAAATGCACTAGAGTGCATGGCTCAACCTCAACAATGCGACCGACGACAGCACGGAGTCTGACTTCTGGATCTTGCCTGACTTTGACGACTGGGAAATCGACACGGAAATGCAGCGGAAAGAAGTGACACAGGTCGACTTATAAATGGCTCCACTGCTTCATCGCGCATCGACGTCAAATCGCGAGCGGCTGAGGGGCACGGCTGGAAGGCGATGGGTGGGACTTTGTGGGTGGGAAGTACGGCGAGGAAGAGAAGGTTGCTAGTCAAAGCGAAGAAAGCGTGGATGAGGAGTTCGATGTCGTGGTTCTGCCGGATGAGAGGGGGTCTTGCTGATCCAGCAAGCAACACCTCTCTCGGTGCTAATGAAAACAGCCGATAGGATTAAGCTAGCTGACCGGGATGTTGATCACCCGGGGATGTTGATCACTCACAAATCCCAGCACTCCCACACAAAACACGTGCTTATTCTCTCAACGTAGTTACAATTGCCACTCTGTACACATAGACTGAAGCGTTTGAGCTGCTGTTTCAGCTGCTGTTCTTTCTGCAGCCTTTTTCTCAGCATTAACATCGCGCTGTGCCTAAAGAAGCTGTGAGGCCTGTACGGCAACTATAATTGTATCTACATCTGCAAAGCGTTGATTTAGGTTAACACGAACCTTCTTTCGTGGCTGTTGAGGCTTAAGAGCCTTAAGTTAACTATAGAGTCTTCTATTCTCTGTTTCTAGCTGTGCTGCGCGTATATTTGCTGTAGCAAGTGCCTTGCCAACTTTCTCGATGAATTAATGAGTCTTTCGCCCAAGACTTTCGTCCTTGTGAAGCTGCCGCTGCGCTACAAAAACCTTACGAGGTCTGTGAGGGGTAGAGAGATAACTCTGAGTAGATTGAGGTTGATCCTGACGCGGTGGAGTGATAGGCCGTTAAGTTACTTAAGATGAATTGACTACCCGGTCAATATTGAATGGGCAGATACCTGCAGTAGCCTATCCTGCCCGGATAACTTTCTTAGTAATTGCGCGCTCTCTTGCGTGATAATAAGCTGTAATAAAGCGCTCTTTCTTTACTGGTGCGGCGTCGTTAAGGTACGAGAGAGCCTGAATTTGCTGGCGGTAAAATCTCTTTACAACTAAGAAAACCGAGAGATCCAGAGGCTGTAAGATATAAGAAGCGTGCGCAGGTAGAAACAGAAGATAGACTTTATTCTGTTTACAAGTCTATAGAGAATCCAGACTTATATAGCTACTGTGGCCATCGAGGATAAGCATCCTCCAACGATCATCTAGTAGAGCTGTCTTGGGTAGAAACACCCGCTCTAACCACTCAACTCCTATCGCATTCGATGTCTAGCCGTTCTCCGACGTTGTGTAAAGCCACTTAGGAATTATTGCTGGAAACTAAGTGCTTTGTAGGCTCTTCCCTTTGAAAATAACTAAACAGCGAAGTTTCTTGCCCGTAGCCGACACGCACTCGATTACCGACGCCCACTCGCGGTTCTCTAGAGACTGATGGTAAGCCTTCTTCTTCTAACTAGATGCGAGTACTCTGGTGTTAGCACATACACCTAAGGCCTTCCCAGTCTTATCTATATTCCATATATCCTCAGCTCTTATACCCAGCCTCGTACGAGTCCTCTCAAAGAGCTCAAGAAACGCGCGTATCTGTACCGGTGTCGCTCCCTTAGCTCGAGCAGCTTCAATCTTTCGGCCTACAACAGATGCGACGCGTGGGTTGCGCTTGAGGAAGGCAGCCATCCAATGCTTGCCTACGGGTCTGTGGTCTCCATTCATCCGGAGGATTCGGTTCGCCATTTCTCGTGCGCGTGCGTGGGAGGGAGGAAAAGCTCGTGCTTCTTCTTCGAGTATCCATTGTACGAGGAAGTCCTCCTGCTCTGGAGTCAATCGCTGCTGGTATACGTGGCTGGCTTGGTTGCTTTGTCTGCCGCGTATGCGCGTTGAGATTGTGGATTGCGGGATGTTGTACGCCTTTGCAGCCGCCCTCTGACTTAGGAAAACACCAGCATCGATATCGCTGATAGCTGCTTGTATAGCTGCTTCACGGTCGCCCATTTTGATTGAGTATGTAGAGAGACAACACGTGTTTTGTGTGGGAGTGCTGGGATTTGTGAGTGATCAACATCCTCGGGTGATCAACATCCCGGTCAGCTAGCTTAGACTTTCTTACTGTGGCGTTATTTCGATACCCCATATCCCCTGCACGGAATAATTCAAATTACCTTTGTCATACACATATCTTCCCATGATTGTTGGACAACTATGTGTAAACGCAATCGGATGCTCCCGCATAACATTCATCTTTCTAGTGGCTTGTATGATCAGCTTGTATAACAATGAACCCAGGTGTTGCAGACGCAACTCCGCGACTTCTTTTAATGTTCTAGCAGGGTTCTTCACACGCCCGTGCGCCAGGTTGACGGCATCGAAGCAATCTACACTCCATGCAACACCCCTACCACACCGTGTAAACGACAACCAAGGCCAGCTTACCACCGAGATCATATGCTCAGGTTCGTCGAGTCCCTCCTGATTGAGCTCAGTGCTTACCATCAACGTACCAATGATTAAGGTTGCGCTTCGGTACATATGCATGATTGCGCGGCTTTTACTTCGGCGCTCAGGTATACAAGGTTACATGAAGACGAACCTATCTCTTTTAATACCAATATGAGGATCTTTCGTCGATCGAGCATAAAAGCTTACTTATATGGAGAAAGAGCTTTGAGTGTGACGCGGTGTCGCATTGGAGTGTCCTCGAAGCTCGACATGCACTTCACAAACGTATTCATCGCAGTCATTGCGGCTTGCAATGCCCTCGCGACACCAAATGCCCGCTCGCCGTACGCTATTAAAGAGACACATTTCGCGCCAGATGAGTGGTCCAAGCAAGAGCGAACGCATGGTCGAAAAACAATTCAACTGCAAATTGGCTTGAAACAAGGACAATTTGATGAGCTTGATCGTCACCTCCAAGAGGGTGAGATACAGGATCGGAATATGCTGCTAGGTCTACAACACTAATACCTTTCAGTGTCTGATCCAGACAGTTAGCGATATGACCAGTACCTCACAGCCGAAGAAGTGAATGAGCTTGTCGCACCGAGCTCAGAGACGCATGATCTGGTTCACGACTGGCTACAAGAAAACGGCATCGACGTGAACAAACAACTAAGCTATAGCCCAGCCAAAGATTGCATAATTCTTCAACTTCCTATTGACATGGTGGAGAATTTGCTCGACGCCGAGTATCACGATTACAAGCATGCTGATGGAAGGATCGTCTCTCGTACGACTCGCTGGTCGCTTCCAACTCATCTCCATGAGCACATCGATACCATTCAGCCCACAACATCCTTCTTCCGCGGCGCTCCACGTACCTGGGTCCACACTGCAGCACATGCCCCAGAAAGCCCTTCACCTCCTACAAATAGCTCTCTCGCAACAGTGTGCGACAGGAACTCTGTCACGCCCAAGTGCTTCCAAACCCTCTACGGCACCAAAGGCTACGAGACCTAAGCCAGCTTCAAGAATAGCATTGGTTTCGCAAACTACCTCGATGAAATCCCCATCCGGCCCGACGCTGAAGTCTTTCTCAAAAAATTCCGCCCAGAAGCCATTTCGCAAGCCTCCGCCTTTACCCAGATATCCGTTGCTGGCGGCCCCGTCCAAGATGGCCCGCTCACAGCCAACCAAACGCGCGACAAGAAAAGCTTCAAGGCAAACCTCAACATCCAAACTATTAGCGGCTTCGTCTGGGAGATGCCCATCACGTCCTATTCCACCGGCGGCCGCCCGCCATTTATACCCGAATCCCCCGGCCAGGCAAACAACAACGAGCCGTATCTCGTTTGGCTCGACTACCTGGTACAGCAACAAGACATTCCAAAGGTGATCAGCACGTCCTACGGCGAGCCCGAGCAATCCGTACCGCGCGCGTATGCCGAGCGCGTCTGCCGCCAATTCGCACAAGTCGGGGCGCGCGGTACGTCGCTATTTTTCCCGTCTGGCAACTCGGACGTCGGCAGGGATAGCAAGTGCTTCACCAACGATGGCAACAATACGTATCAGTTTATGCTGACTTTCCCGGGCGGGTATCCGTATGTGACGAGCGTGAGTGCGACGATGGGCTTTGCGCCCGAGGAGGTCGCGTATCTCCCGCCGTCGAACGCGTCGCTTGGGAATTATTTCGCGCCGGGGGGCGGGTTTGGTAACTATTTTGCGCGGCCGGCGTGGCAGGAGGGTGTTGTACCGAAGTATGTCGAGGCACTGGGGGAGAAGTATAAGGGGTTGTATAATGCTAGTGGACGCGGGTGTCCAGACATCGCGGCGCAGGGGGTGAATTTTGCGTTCTTTTGGAACGGGACTGAAGGTATGTTGTATGCTCTTGTAGTGATGTGCCGTTCTTTTGCTGACCATGGGCAGGTGTGACGTCGGGGACGTCAGCGGCGACACCGCTTGCTGCGAGTGTGTTTGTGCTCGTGAACGATGCGTTGATAGCGGCTGGGAGACCTACGCTGGGATTCTTGTACCCGTGGTTGTATAAGAAGGGATACAAGGTCCTTAACGATATAACCAAAGGTACCAATCGAGGTTGTAATACCGAAGGCTTTGCGGCAGGTGAAGGCTGGGATCCAGTGAGTGGATTTGGGTCACCCAATTTCCCAAAGTTGGTGAAGTTGGCCATAGGAGAGGGGCATTAAGATGTCGTCAGTAGACATAGCTCAATGAAAGCTATCATAATTTGTGTAGGTGAGATATCTACACCTTCGACACCTACGTGGAAAATCGTATTGATAGGCTGATTCATGTCAGCTTCACTGTAGCGAGCGATCAAGGATGTTCACTCGTGGGGTCAGAAGACCATGAGATGGTATGTCGACCGAGTCATATATGTGGGTACGGCTATCGCTACCACACTTTATCATCACACACACATATATGTAGCTGCGCTCCTTCATAGCTATTCAATACAATGCAGTCTTCCTCCTCTTACACCATTAAATCATAGCTCCTTCTTCTCCCTTTGAGAGACTCATTGAATTGAGCCTACAGTCGCGTCGTCTCGTAGGCGTTGTTCGGGGAAGTCTATATACCTAGGTAGCTTAGCAGCGCGTTTTACGGTTAATCTCTAATCTATTTAGATAGCTCGTAAAGCGTTCTGTATATCAGCTTCAGTATAGGAAGACTTCGCGTTCGTCCGTTGAGCCATAATAGTTTACATTCAAGTTACTGTAGTTTTGGTGAGATCTTGACAAAAGGTGACCGCTCGCTTGTGAAGTACGTTATAAGGTAACTATTGGCGTCTGAATTAGAATATAGTACTACGATTTCCACTTCTCTTTACTCAGTTCAATTTAGTACCATATCCAATTGACACAATCTACAATCGGCCGAGCTTAAACTCTCTATCGAGAGAACTCCATACAACGACATGTAGGTTGCGGACCTCTAGATAACCAAGACGATCTTCTGTCACTGTACACATTTAGGAACTTGCTTCGTCGCCTACCTTACACTCTCCATCTAAACATAGGGAGGGACTACTTACGTGACCACCCTACGGTCAAGGAGTTAGCAACACATCGTCTACCGCTTGGCTAGCACTTGCTTTCCAAACACAGGAAGAGGCTACTTACATTGACAGTACCGTCACCGTGGCATTTAACTGGTTCACATTGACGCTCCTCTATATTTCCATTCGGGACAGCTACTGGGACAGCTGTCACAAGACCCAAGAACGCAGCACAAACAACGAGGAACTTCATTGTAAAAATTGAGGATAGATTTGGAATAACAAAAAGGTTGATATGAGGTATAGTAAAGGCAATGTTTGCTAAAGAGATTGAAGAAGGACTGTTGTCTTGGTGCCGACAGAAGACAGTTTAAATAAAATACACCGAATCGTAATACTTGGAGGCTAAGACGACTGTTCCGTACGTATAGTCCGAGAAACGGACAGCTACGGTTACAACAACTGTCACCATAATTTCATAACACGTCTGTGCTGCTGCAGGGGTAGTCAGGGGTCATATCCTGTGTTATTCGAGGGAGCAAAAAAGTCCTTCTTTTGCTCCGCAACATATCCGAACTCAACAACCCTATATTAGTGATCAATCTGCACTCATACGCTTACACCCGAAGCCTATTCCCACACCGATTATTTATGAGCGAGCCACCAAGCTAGCGGTGGCGGTATTGCGGCCTCGTTCTACACCCCCTTTGCTACGAGAGTAGACCACGTAGTCGTCCTCTCTCTTGTAGAGGTTGCCGCTCTAGACGATTGCTGCACCATATTGATTACGTTTCCCATGTTTGTCTGGATCGTTTTGCGACTAAGTGTCACGGTAACCACCGTGGTCCCCTTGACACTCCTGCCTCTGACCCATGCGCTCCTGCTCTTAACCCGTACGCTCCTATCGCAACAGCGCAATGTACTATCCTCGACAGTATGCTACTACCCCGACATCTGTATGACGTCACACAAGCTTCCTTCCGCTATATATCTTTCTCTGGTGGAACTCTCCACTTCTTTTCTTCACGCAACGTCTTGTATTTACACTTGAGTACTGTACGTAGCACACAAATCAAACTTCTTCATAAGTTCTGAGATTACTGCTCGTTGCCTCTCGTGACAAGGTCAGTTTAGATCAGTCCAGGTCAGTTCAGTCAGTCCACTGCAGCAGCAACGTCAGTTCAGTTCAGTCAGTCCACAGCAGCGGCAACGTCAGTTCAGTCCAGTCCAGTTCAGTGACCTTCAAACATCAGTTCAGTCAGTTCGGAGACCTCCGGACTGACTGAACTGACTGATAGCAAGTCTGACGCAGACACAGCTTGTCGACGTAACGTGCGAAGGCCATCGTGGCAAGACCTCCCAGGCTTTTCCGGTGATGTAACTGGGTCCTCAACATCACTGTCACTCTATAGTGGGCCGTCCGCAGTGCTATGGAACTGGGATAAGCATACGAATTTCAATAAGCTGCAACACTTCGCCATCAGGGATTGTGGACTCAGTGGCGAGGAAATGGAATGGATTGCTCAGAACAATTTACTCCCCAACCTGAAAACGCTCCTCATCAATCTCAATTGCAACGACGACTACAACGAGCAACCTCGCTACATTGAGAATGTAACCTCCTTTTTTCAGTCTATCGACTCTCTCGAGGAGTTGGCTATCAACGGGCCTATGGAGCCACAAATGATAGAGACAGTCTTGATCCATCATGGACCAACGCTAAAGAAGCTCAGCTTGACACCCTCTGAATCTACGTCCAACACGCGCGTTCGAAGAGAAAAACTCCCATGGTCTTCACTGAGGATAGGACTTTGCAGATCCAGATTCTGTGCCCGGTACTGGAAAATCTCGTGATTACAGTCATGCGCAACAAATCTAGTGCCTCCGAGAGTGCCGTCTACAAGTGATTTAGCAAGATGAAAACCTTGCAATCTCTGTTTTTAATCCTGGATTGTGCTAATTGGCGGAGCTGTCGAGATCCGACATACAACGACGAAGGGGAGCATCGAGAAATTTTCCGGGACCATTCAGCCATTATCGTCAAGAGAGGTGATATAAAAAGGGAATCTTACGAACGTGAACGGCCTAGACGCATGGACCCGGTTGCCCTAGAGATATTCCATTTTATCTGGTCCCTCAAACAAAACAGTAGTGATTGGCGGGATGACTGATCCAGTTTTCACCTCCAGGGCTTCAATCGATACGCCAACCTGCTATATAAAACTAACAGGGTATCTAGGAGCGGGAAGAAGAACGCCAACACGATCAGACCGGGTTGTGAGGAAGATTCATTAAGGATAGTTTCGTATCAGAGCAGAGTGACAGTGGAAAGGCAAGCCAGGAAAAATAACATAGCATCATTCTCATCTAAGAAAGTTCCTCGTTATATATCCCAAAATCTCTATCATAAGTGCAATGAACGACACCTCATACGCGAAAACGCTCCACCCTCATACTGACCAAAACTCATCAAACCCAGAAACCTTCATGACATGTATATATAATCTCAAGCTAACACCCAAAATTCACTCAGCACATCCCCGTCAACACCGCCATACCGGCCACATGATCCACACCCGCAACCGCATCCTCCTCCTCTTCCAACAACTTATCAATCTTACTCTTACTTTTGATGTGCCAAAAAGCCTGCGCACCATCCACAAACCTCCTACTAATATCATCGACCTCCTCAGCCGGACATGCCGCAAAACACAGTCTGAAGCAGTTAAAGCTGTCCTTTACTCTGATCTCTTCGTTGGCTGCAAACATACTTCCAGGCGCAACGAGAATAACATAAGGTTTCGTTGTCCAGAAGACCCAGAGAGCCTGTGCAAGACGGGCGCCAGGGACTTGTTTGGCGAGGGGATGGGACGAGAAATCGAAGCGTACCCAGACGAACATGCCGCCCAGCGGTCGGACGAAAGAGTACATGGGTTTCTTCTCGACTACAGCCCAGTCGTCGCTGTCATCTGTGACTTCAACGAGACTCTTGCGTCGACCGGCTTTTACAACTTCCCGGCCCGTGTCGAGCACGTCGCACATTTGCTGCATGCGGCGTTCGTAGTTGCCTCGCATGCCTTCGAGCCAGCGCACCCAGCCGTCAACTTTCCAGCCGCTGCCGTCTGCGGAGCCTCCCTTTCCTGGGTCGTTGGAGGATTGTGGGCCCATGAGTAGCTCTGCGATCATCGATTGTACGAACCCAGAGGGCTGCTGGGTGGAGGTTTCGGTGATGCGTAGGATGCGCTCGACGAGCGCGGGTTGTGCGGTAATCCATCCGAGACGGCAGCCTGGGGCGACGGTCTTGGAGAAGGTGTCGAGGCGTACGACGCGGCCTTGGTAATCTACGCTTAGGTAGGAGGGGATGAGGCTGTCCAGGAACTCGAAGCCTGAAGACTTTGTAGGCTTTGGGGGAACGCTGCTAGACGAAGAAGACGGGTATTGTAGGTACCAGTACGGGTCATCCTCGATGATGATTACATCGTACCTGACGCAGAGGGCGTATATCTCCGTTCGTCGCTGGACTGATAAGGTACCTGATGTTGGATTCTGGCCAATGGTGACAGTGTACATGAGATGCGGTCTGCGACCCTTTGAAAAGTCCCAGTTTTCCAGAACATCTTCTAATCCTCCAGGACCTTGGGCCATCATGCCTTCGTCATCAATAGCCACGGCTGCAATGTTGAAGCCGCGTGGCCTGCACGTCTGAATAGCATTCATGTAGCAGTACTCCTCGCAAAGAATACCAGGCCTTTCATCGACAGGGTCGTGATCGGCTGACCACTCATCACTGAGGGCAATTATCGTCTTGGAGAAGCCATCGGTAGAGCCACAGGTCAAGATGACTTCTGGGCCACTCTTGTATGGTACAAAAGGATGTAGGTTCTCTCTTGTGAACTGACGAATGAACTGATACAAGGCTGGGTAGCCCATAGCTTGTCCATATTGTAGCGCCGACTTCAAATCGATCATGCGGAGAGGGTCTGGTACGTTGGAGTTCTTTGGGACGACGAGGCGCGACGACGGCGGCGTCTTTTCCTTACGCGGGATGATGGACGTCTTGGCTAATTGAGAGGATGGGGGGTCTTCGGCGGGCGGGTCGACGGGCTTGTTTGGCGTTGGCTGCCATCGATTCGGGTGTGCAACCTTGGCTTCGAGTGTGTCGTATGGAAAGTAGTGGTCGTTGGGCAGGCCTATGAAGTGTAAGTAATTACAAGCGACATTCAGGTGCAAGCGACTGTACCTCCGGCTAATTGTGCAATACCAGGTATCTGGAAGTACTTGTAAAACTTCTTGATGGCGGAAGCCTCACGCGCTCGTGTACTTCGTGATAGGTGGTGGGTGAGATCGACTGGATCGGGAAACGAGCTAGGCTCGGAGCTGTACGGCGCCATGGTAGGACACTGCAGCTGCGTATCGATAGCGCTGTAACTGTACCTAGTAACACAAGTCTCAAAGGTCTCAAAAGTCAAAACCGTTCAAATGATAATTACTTTCAGATGGAACAACGAACAGCGAACAGCAAAAGACGGAGCCGAGACGTCCACCGCCTGTAAACTAGTCCGTGGAGCCGATAAGGAATTGATTAGAAATGTCGGCTTTAACAGTGACCTCATCATCCAACGGGAGGCCTGTATGTACAAACTAGACCCGATTGAAGACAAGGCGTACAGTAGACACGTGATGACAGCTGGCTAGTCTACCCAACTCGACACGTATGAGACGACAACAGTATCTAATTCTCCATGTCCAAGCGTGCATGGCCTTTGACCCCATGTGGCCATTCTTTGCTGCTCAAGTCGTGGGCTACTAGTGTCTTGGCAACGCGAGGCCGGCAACGTGGGTACCCCACAGGGTCCGCATCGCCGTCATGCAGGTCCCGAGAAAGCTTACCAGAGCAGAGCGCGTGGACACTCAACACTTGACACACTCGCCTCTTTGTTTCTTACCTCATCTCTCCCTCTCTGTATATACCCGTTCTAGCCCCCCCCCCGTTCGATGTTCGTCCTTTCACGCGCATCCCTATTGATAGACGAACGTTAAGCCTCGGCGCATACTGTTTTTATGGCTTCGTCAACTAGATCCCGCCACGAGCTGGCCTCACTTCCTGACACGGAACCGCGGGATAGTGTTGATGATGAGGGCGCGCCTCCGCAAGTGTACCGTGACGACGAATCCGCCGAATTCATCGCACCTTCCGAGGCTTCCGGCGAAGAATACTATAGCCCACAAGAGCCCTATTACGCCACCAAATATATACCGCCGCGGTTACAACGTGTATGGAACAACGTCGTCGTTTGGGTCAAAGGACCACAGCCACCACGGCCGTGGAAGATACATCCTTTCTTCCCCAGGATACAGACTGCGCCTATCCAGCTATTGAACAATTACTTTCCCAAGAAGAACCAGAAGATCGCTCTGTTGGTCTTCTTCTACTTCTGCTGGATTCTGACTTTTGGCTTGGTATTGCATCGTAGCGCGTTCGCGGCCGACATACCTGGATACGGTAGTCCAGTACGGATAAGGTGCACTGATCGCTTTTGGAGCGATGGAAATGGGTGCGGACTCAATGGCGATCTTTGTCGACCGTTTGAGAATAGCTCCATGTCGTTCCGCTGTCCGGCGAACTGCAAGCGTGTGCAGTTGCTCAATCCACATGCCGTGGGAGATCAGATGGAAAACTACCGGCCACTCGTTGTTGGTGGTCCCACAGATGAACAACAGACCCTCGAGAATACGTATTACCGCGCCGATTCATTCATCTGTGGCGCAGCTATCCATGCTGGCTTTATCAACGACGCCTCGGGTGGATGTGGTGTTGTTGCTCAGGTTGGCAAGAAAAGCAACTACCCTAGCGTCAACAGAAATCACATCCAGAGCATCGGCTTCGACTCGTATTTTCCGCGATCATTCACGTTCCTCCATGGCACGGCAGCCAAGTGTCGCGACCTGCGTTGGCCGTTGTTAGGCGTATCTCTGACCTTTACCATCCTCTTGTCCCTGTTTACCACGTCTCCAGCCGTCTTCTTCGCCTCAATCTTTACCGGAGTCTTTTTCCACGTTGCACTTGCGTCGGATCCTCCGAACCTTACCGATTACTACGCTATCATTAGTATAGCATTGGGACGCTTCCTCCCTGCGTGTTTTTGCATGTACGCTGTTTACCGATTCGCCGTGCGTCGTCAACTTCAAGGCCTTCATGCACAGATTGAGAAGACCATTCTCTGGCTCGGAGGATGTTGGATAGGCGCTTTGAACAACTATACCTTTGATAAGATCCCCATCGAGCGCCTCACACCCCACGACATTAAGAATCAGCCTGGCGCAATCCCCGCACTCATCATCATTGTTCTCATCTTGTTCTTTATCGCTGTTGGACAAGGATGGGCGCTGAGGGTTGAAGGACGCTTGCCCCAGTTCCTCGCCATTTACGGTGCTTTGGTCGCTGGCATACTCGCACTCGTCGCCGTACCTAAGATGAACGTTCGAATTCATCACTACATCCTCGGCCTTCTACTCGTCGCAGGAACATCCATGCAAACGCGCCCCTCACTTCTGTTTCAAGGTATCCTGATAGGTTTGTTCATCAACGGGATCGCACGTTGGGGTTTCGATAGTATACTCCAAACGCCCAATGAGCTTCGCGGTGACGCGCCCATTGGTACCCTTCTCCCTCTCATCACGGCGCCAATCATTCACAACAACACGAATTTGCCTTTCCTCAGACCCAACATCACTTTTGACTGGCATTTCCCGTTCCCCAAGCCTTACGACGGAATGAGCATCCTGGTGAACGATGTAGAACGATACCACGAGTACGCGGATAGAATGGAAGAGAGTTGGACCTGGACAAGACACATGGAAGGCGTGAATGAGTACTTCCGCTTTGGATACCTGCGAGGTGGTGGAAGAGGTGACTACACAAAGGCAGGAGTCTGGGGAGCAGATGGTAGCTGGGCAGACATGGAGCCCGGGCCATCATAATCTCAAAAAACACGTATCGCATCGCACTGCCTTGTTTGGACAAGTATACTGGCTAGAGACATATTTGAAACACATCTATTGCACCATGTTATCACGAGTGATATGTTTTGTCTTCATCCTCGGTTGTCGGAAGTCTTGTTCGTCCGGCTTGTTGATCTAATATGCTGAGTTCGTCCGACGTCCGATCACTAAACTACTACTAGTTGCCGCGTACTTCCTCTTGGCTCCTGCAGGATCCTAGTCCTCGTGTAACGGCCCGGCTCGGATCATTTTATGGTCGGATGTCAATAAGCAAGAAGTAGGCGGTGTGAAAAGTAATCATTGTCGTGCTCAGAATTGTTGGGAAGGATGTGGCGTAGTGAATAGGCAGAAGGCTTAACACTCCTTCACACATGTACGCGTCTGAATTTTCAAGCATCTGCTGTGAATCGGGACACAGAATCTCCTCGCAGAGGGGCTCACAATGCTGTGATGTCTGTCATCTTAGAGTTGGAATTACACAATTGCATGTGAACGGAGATAAACATTAACACCGCAGCAATACAAGTGCTGTCATTCTGCCGAGGTACGTAATTGTGGGCGAACTTGGTGCGGCGACACCGGCAGTACCCTACGGGATCTTGACCTTTGAGGAATTGGTAATGGGAAACACTAGTCGGCGGTATTGCGTCACGAAGAGTGAGAATAGCGATTTGGTAGCATATAAAGAGGGGGAGGGGCGTTGCAAAGAATCGTCATCAACTCAGTTGCAACTTCCTCAACAACAACAGTTGTAGCTACCCCGCAATCAAAACCACCTCATTGTTGAGACCTACACCACACTTCACATACATCACGTTCCAAGAATACCGCCATAATGGTCAAGACCATCTTCGGAGGATACCCTGTTTCAGACAGTGGCATCTTCAACACACCAGAAGACCGCGCCAAGCTCATCGACGCTCTACTTGCCAATGGCGTTAAGAACATTGACACAGCACGTCTCTACCCCGGCTCCGAGGTAGCTATCGGCCAGCTCGAGAAGCGTAAGGAATTCACCATCGACACAAAGATCCCCAGCGGCTTTGCTCCCGGCCGAAGCGGCAAGGACGAGGTAATTGCAGACACGCAAGACTCTCTGGACCAGGTTAAGATCGACCAATTCGATATCTACTACATCCACGCACCCGACACAAGCGTCCCCTTTGAGGAGACCCTTGCCGGCATGAACGAAGCCTACAAGAAGGGCATCTTCCGCCGCTTCGGTCTTAGCAACTTCTCCGCCGAGCAAGTGCAGCAAGTGTACGACATCTGCAAGAGCAAGGGCTACCCGCTCCCCGCCGTCTACCAGGGCAACTACAACCCCGTGGCCCGCCACTTGGAAACAAAACTCTTCCCCACACTCCGCAAGCTCGGCATCAACTTCTACGCTTACTCGCCCCTCGCCGGTGGCTTCCTCACAAAGACAGCGGCGGACCTCGATGCGGGAGTTGGCCGCTTCGACAAGAACGCGCTCGGTGGCTTGTACAGCGGCCTTTACGACAAGGAGCCTCTACGTGAGGCGCTCCTCAAGTGGAACGAGCTTGCGGAGAAGGAGGGCGTCAGCAAGGCTGAGTTGGCATACCGATGGATGGCATCTCATAGTGCGTTGACAGAGGAGGAGGATGGCATCATCTTTGGTGCTAGCAAGGTGTCGCAAGCGGAGCAGACCGCTCAGTGGCTGAAGAAGGGTAAGCTTAGTGACGAGGTGGTCAAGGGCATCGACCAGGTTTGGGAAAGTGTCAAGAAGGTTGCGCCTGTTGACAACTATCACGGTGCTGAAAACTAGGGGTTAGTGGTGAAAGGGCTGGCAAGGCATGGTAATAACATGGGCATATGATCGTTACCAACGATAGCCGACCAAGCGAATGTAGAAAAATAATGAATAGTATAACTTAATTGCTTGCTTTTAAAAGGAGAGTTTATGACATTACTGTTCAGGATTCACTCTTCAAAAGAAGAGACCTGGATGACCAAACTGATTCCATCTTATCTCGTCTCGTCGAAAATCCGTCGTATGCCGACGTACGCACGCCCGAAAGAGCGACCAAAACATGTCCACAAAGAACCCGAGGACCCAAACTAATCTCAAATCTATCCTTCTCTCCATCCAAGGACCAATGCATCCAAACTAGCACACATCGCCTCTCCTTCAAAGCCCTGCCAGTCCAGATGTTGCTGATCCGAATAGCCATATCCGTCACGACCACCTCAACACCTCTTAACCACAACCGGCTTCGCCCTCTTCTTAACCTCAACCTTCCGAACCTCAACCTTGGCCTCAACTTTCGCCTTCTTCCTCGCACCCATCTGATTCGGCTTCGCCGTCGTCCCCCTCTTAGTCCCCGCCACCTTCCCTTTCCCCTTCCGACTAACCCCCACCATCTCCTCCTCAGTCCTAACCTTTTTCTTCCCCTTACCCTCCGTCCCCCTCAGTAACCCATTCTCCTTGATATAATAGATAACATCAAGCGCCTGGTCCGCAAACTCCTGCGCGCCACGAATCAGCGTCAAACTCTCCTTCTTCGACTCCCTGCCCGCCCGCCACCGATCGACCACCGCAAAGAAGATCTCATCCACATCGGCGTCTTTGGCGTCGCGGACACGCTCGTACTCGCCTATACCCTCGTCGTCGTGGTTGTCGTGGAAGTGGCCGCGGCCGAGACCTAGTTCGTCGCCGATTTCGTACTGGACGTAGCATTCGATGACCATGACGGCGATGGTGTGGAAGTTTAGGAGTGCGACGGCGGGTTGTGGGTCCGGTTCTGCGAGGGCTTGTTGGCCGGGGAGGAAAAGGTTGAGGAGTAAGTGGGTTTCCTGTGCTGAGTGGTCGGGGGAGAGGAGCAGTTCTTCCCGGACGAGGCCTGGTAGGGAGATTTTTGCTGAGGGGACGTCGTCGAGGGTGGGCTGGGGGAGGACTTCGTAGCGGGGGAGGCACCAGTTGATTTTGGTGGAGTCGATGTCTTCGTTACCGTTTAAGGAGGTGTCGGGGCGGAGGGGTTGAGGGAGAGGGCGCGGTTTCCGGACTGGGTTCTTGTGCGCTGAGCTACTGTCTGGCTCGGGAGTTTCCTTGTCAGTGAGGAAGGAGGAGGCGGAACGGTCGTTGTGGGGGTCGCGGATGGAGGTGAGGGGGGGAGAGCTCATGTGGATGACAGAGTCTTCGCTCATGACTGATGGATGGCGCTTCACTCGTGTGCGTAGAGGTTCATCGTCATCGGAGTATTCGTCGTCCTTGTCTTCTTCGTTCTCGTCGAAAACTTGAGATCGAGCCTTTGTATAACGCTGTGCAGACGGACCTGATTTCCCCTTGACCATATCGCGGAGTGCCGCCATATTGTAATTTGGCTGCGACGACATGGACATCATTTGCCCGCGGTCATCCTCGTTGACAACTTGAGGTGGAGCCTTTGTGTAGCGGTGTGCAGACGGACCTGGGTTTCCATCGATCACATCGCGGAGTGCCGCCATGCTGTAATCGCCAGGACCACGACCTAGCTGCGACGACATGGACATCATCTGACCGTATGGAGAAGGAGTTGCCATAATGTAAGCAGATGGACCGCTATTGTTGCCATATGCAAAAGGCTGAAAGGCGGACGGAGGATGTCCACGCTGATAGCTCGAAGGAGGAGGTCTACTGGCAAACGCAGGTGGCATGTATGATTGGCTCCGCTGATGTCCAGGATGACTTGCTGGTTGGGGTGTTTGCCGACCAGAGCTCCCCATCTTTTTCTTCATCTCTTCTAGCTTCTGCTTCTTATCTAAGATCTGGCGTTCAAGCTGCTGGAGATGTGTGGGCTCGCTGAGGCCGTTCTGAGTGAAAGGCTGTTGCGAATGATGAGGAGACACCGATTTGCTGTATGAAGAAAGACTGTTAGCAACAGGCGGCTTTTTGGTGATGTTTTGAGTACCAAGACGAGGTGAAGTAGAGTCTATGGTGAACTGTATCGGAGTGGTGTCCAATTTATGACTCTGGCCAAAGATGCCGTCAACTGTGGATTCAGCAATTGATTGGCTGACACCAAGTCGCTGTGACTGCAGAGTGGATACCTGCTCTTTGTCGATGTCCATGTCTTCGTCCTTGAGCTTGTTAACATCCCTGCCAGGTGCCGGGATATTGTCAGGTACGGAGGGAGTATCGGGCAGCAAACGGTCAGTCTCGTCATGTTCTCCACCAGCTTGTTCGCCGTCGTCCACTTTGATTGGCAGTTGATGGTCCTCCTTTGGGTCAGCAGTATGGGACGTTTGCAGCTCAGCAACTGTGGAACCATGACAAACGCCATTGTTGCCTGAAACTGGATGTTCCTCAGGTACAGTCTTGTCTTGTGGTGTGTTAGTCTGGTGCGACTCGTTCATATGTTCGTTCAGGGGTTGCTGAGTCAACGTTGTGTCGCTGGACTCATCTCCTTGGATTTTATGCGTACCACTTGAGTTGAGATCTTGGGCCGTAATGTTACCGATATCTTCCGGCTCCAGCTTGATGGATGTGTCTTCTGCGGAAAGCCTCGAAGAGTCCAGTGACGCAGACTCCTGAGCGGGGTCCATAGTAGCAGAGCCTGGACCCATGTTTGCGATTTCTGAGGGAAGAATTGGCGCATTGTCGGTCTTGAACTTGAGTTTCACGACGAGTTCTTTCTGCTCACCCATATCGGGCTCCTTCTCTAAGGTGCCGTTGTTGTCGCTTAGAGGTGGGTTGCTCATAGTGTCAGTCGCGTTGTCTTGGACCGCAGGCTCTCCATTTGCGCTGTTCTTTAGAGTGTCGTCAAAGGGTCCATGTGCCGGATTTGCCACACGGTTTTGGGTATCGTGTCCAGACGGACTGTCGGTGCTGGCAGCGTCCATGGTGAACGCGCCAACTATGTCGGGTCTTCAAAGTATCGGTCAGTAGGCAGGGAGTTGTCGATTGGGGCCTTGACTTACCCGCTGCTGCGCTGAAGAAAATTTGGGGTTATGGTCTAGAAATTTGCTCACTGTTGTCGCAACTACTCTCTGACTTTGAATACGCCGTTAATGTTGTCGCGCGTATCGCACAGGTAGTGCGTATCGAGATAGCTACTCCGCAAGCTGAGGATCTTTGCAGCGTCGCAAATTGTCTTGAAAAATCGACTGCTGTCAAAGTTGTGTTGTTTGTGCGACGGAAGGTTGTGAAAGTAGTCCCTCAGTCGCTGTATATAGTATAGTGCCCATACCAAAATGCGACCAACTTTACCTGGAAAGTGCGATTACGACTTCTTTTACCTATCAGCTGCCGTTAAACACGTGTTATCATACAAGCGAGACGGTTACCATGGTACAGTCGACCCGAGGCATCCAAAACTTCCGCATCCAAAAGACTTTAAAAGATTACGTCAACGCAGCAAATTCGCGATCGAAGAGAATCTCTAGTCTGTATTGTCGTACAAAGGAAAGACCAGTCGCTGCCTATAGGGGCAAGCCGACCGTGACGGCTACCAACAACTCCGATGGCAGCCGGAGTCTCCAGGCCAGGCTACTATCATCCGAAAGGCTGTGATTGATCTGTAGGAGTCATGGGCAGCTCTTGATTTGATGGCGTGATGAATGACGTCGGCACAAATTCGAATGATCCCGTAGAATTGTAGTCAGATGAAATGACGACAGAATGTCGGTGTAGTAGAAGGCTGTGACAACATGAGATAGTGGAAGGCTGAGGCAAGAGCCGAAAAATCTCGGAAGGGCTCTCGTCAAAATCATGTAATTGATGGGTTTTTTCAGTTTGATACGCCAGGATAGGTACCGTGGTAGTTTTGAGGAGACAAAAGTCTTGCGCGCACATAGTGGATGACTGTGATATTGAAGATAGTGAAACGGTACGAATTGTTTGAGTACGGACGGAACGGAAATGACAAGCTGTTCATAATCAGCTCTGTCACTTCTTCCAGGATACGGAAACTCATCAACAAATCAAATCTAGTGTTGATGGATACCTACATAAGTGTTGCATCTCTCGGGATTTTTTGATGCATCCGAAGGCTCCAAAAATTGATCATCGTATTCTTGCAACATCTCCCTTCAGTCTCTCGACAAACGCATCAAATAACGGCGCAAGTGAGCAGTCCCTATATTTTTCCACGAGACTGGCCTTCTTCCTCTCTTCCGCGTCCATCGAATCCTCTTCTTTGGTCCCCATATCCTTGCCACCCAAAATGGTACCCTTTGGATATATAGGTCTTGTACCACTTTCTATTAGTTCGACAAATGCCGGGTCAATAGGCACACTGCCCAGAAACGGGACCTCAAACTCCCGTGCCATGACTTCGCCTCCTCCTTTGCTAAACACATTTGTGCATTCCGCGCAGTTTGGGCACACGAAGCCAGCCATATTTTCTATGACTCCCAAGACTCTTATGCCTGTCTTCTTGCAAAAGTTCAATTCCTTCTTCACATCGCTTACACTGATGGCTTGCGGTGTTGTGACGACGACGGCGCCGGCCAAGAAAGGAAGGCCGGATTGGGGCGCGGGCAAAGGCGTAGTGTTCTTCAACAGGGTCTCGAGGAGGGAAATATGTTCGTCCGAAGTACCGGGCGGGGTGTCGATTAGGAGATAGTCGAGCTCTGGCCAGAGAACATCGGTGAGGAACTGGCGGACCATGGCAGTCTTCTTGGGGCCACGCCAGATGACTGCATCAGAGCGCGAGGGGAGAATGAAGCCTAGAGACATGCACGATAATGCGCCAACCTTTTGACCCTCTGAGCCGCTCTCTGTATTTCCTTTGTTTAAATCTGACCTCTTCTGCGGACCCAACATCTGCTCTCCATGTACGTCTACAGGGTTCCATCCACCAGGCGCTTGTGTCACTTTCGCATCCTCAATGCCAAAGAACCTGGGTATACTCGGCCCTGTCAAATCAATGTCCAACACACCGACTGAGTGTCCTTGTAGCGATAATGTGAGCGCTAGTTGCGTGGTTATGCTGGATTTACCGACTCCGCCTTTTCCGGAGAGGACGAGGAGGATGTTGCTGATGTTGTTGAGCGGCATCGCGAACACGAGGGGTTTGGCACGGCGGGTGTTTGGCGACTTTGGCAATCGGCAGTCGGTGGTGCGTAAGATGAAAGGTTGATTCAATGTATCTTAGGCTATCTCATCAACCAGGAGTACTATTGTGGTTACAAGGTGAGAGGTGGTTGCGGTGGTATCGTCGATGGCGCATCATGTGAAGTGGTGAGCGTTGTGGAGCGCTTTGAAATCCGACAACCAGAAAGTGGCGGTTTTGCGGCGACATCGGAGGTCCGAGTTTGGCCCGAACATGACTTTCTTGAGAACACCTCTGCCTCGTCCCATCCCTCAACTACATTCAAGGCTTCATCTTAAGTGACTGCCAACTTGACTGCCGCCCCGAAGCTGCCTTGCAAGCTACTCGATATTTTTAGCATTCGCTCAGTCCACCAGGAGAACGGACCATCGTCTTTTTCGCATTCCTCCCCAAGCGGATAAGATTGACATGGCTGACTCTGCTACCCATGCCATTACTCGTGTGTTTTGTGATTATGTCGAGAAAGTGAGTGACAACGGCCCTTCATTGCAACCTGGAAATTGGAGTCCGGCTGAGAACCGAGGTACACGATACTGCCATTTCAACATGTGCCACCATGCCCAGACATGCGCATAATGGTAATTACAGTCGTCTAAGGCTAAATAGGCATCTACTGAGTTGAAATAACCGTTCTTCTGCCTGACAAGGTCCGGAGGGAATTGCTCCGGAGGACAAGGGAGCTAGTTAGCGTCGTACCCCGCAAACTTCCCTGGACGAAATGCCATCACCATGTCTATTAATTGCACTTCTCCACGCCTCCTGCCCCGGACTCGACTTGGAAGGATGACTTCTCCGGACCGGCCTAACTACCGAGGGTCATGGTACGCCCTGGCCCCCTGCAAGTTACCAGTAGCTCCTCGTAATGGCCTGTCAGGCAAAGGCGTATTCGTGGATATTTTCGACCTCGTGATCAGACAGGAGTAAGATCAATGGAGTATGGACCCCGAAGTGTACCTGCAGTTTATGCGCATCCGTTGGGTATAGCTTCCGGTGCGTCATTGTAGTATATGACTAGAGTATACGATCCTTTGGGTGTTCAGACGACAATTGTGCACAGCTCTTCACTACTTCTCCCATCATGCGTTCGTACTACCTTTCTCCATTAGCTTGGAGTTTGTGGTCTGCTGCCACTGTCCAAGCAAACTCGGCCGAGACAATTCAAGCGGCGCTTGGTAGTCTTACCATCACCAACGTTGAGGATGTCAGCGGCAATCTGTACCTTCCAGGCACATCTGATGGCTTGAACATCACTTGGTCAAGCAACAAGCCATCCATCATATCGGCAGACGGTATCGTACGGCGACAAGACTGGGCAACCACAGTTGATCTAACAGCGGTCATTGAATATGACGGAACAACATCAAACCGGACTTTCAGCGCGAATGTACGACAAGCGTTCAAGCTTGACGCTTTTGAAGGCTATGCCTTTACCTACTTCACTGGTAACAGCATAGCCGGTGAAAAGATCTACATTGCAGCAAGCAACGGTAACAACGCCTTGGATTGGACAGAGTTGAACGGGGGTCAACCAATTTTGACCTCTACCATGGGAACCAAGGGACTACGCGACCCATTTGTCATGCGTTCAGTCGAGGGGGACAAGTTCTTTTTGCTCGCCACCGATCTGTCCATTGGTTCAGGCACATCCTGGGGTGACGCAGTCAAAAAGGGTAGTCTCTACCTTGAGATCTGGGAATCGAGTGACCTCAAGACATGGTCTGCACAACGACATGTAAAGGTTTCCCCGCCTACTGCTGGGAACACATGGGCACCCGAAGCATACTACGATGCGAATCTTGGATCGTATGTTGTTTTTTGGGCATCCTCTCTCTATGCGGATACAGACACAGAGCGTACTGGGCCGACATACCACAGAATGCTCTATGTGACAACACGCGACTTTGTCACTTTTAGCGAGCCTCAGACCTGGCAAGACGCCGGGATGTCCCGTATCGATACCACGGTCATTCAAGAAGATGGAGTATTTTACCGCTTTACCAAAGACGAAGGTGCCACTGGAACAGGTTGCTCTGACATCATTGAGGAGCGCTCATCCCAGCTTCTTGCACCGGTTTCATCATGGACACAAGTTGCCGCTTGCATCGGTCGCAACGCTGGCACAAGCGCTGTCGAGGGACCTACAGTTTTCAAAGCCAACGCTGGCGATGTCAACGGAGAAAAGTTCTATCTTTTCGTGGACGAATATGGTGGCCGTGGTTACATCCCGTTGGAGACAGCGGATATTGCCAACCCAACTTGGAAGGTCTCCGCTTCTTACAAACTTCCGATAAGTCCTCGCCACGGCACTGTGCTTCCTATCACTGCGAAGGAACTCGCTGGTCTGAACACGCAGAAGGTCAGCTCCATGACGAAGAGAGCTAGCCCCGTACTTCCTGGTTACTACGCCGATCCTAACATTGCTGTTTTCGGTGACAAATACTACATCTATGTCACCAGCGATGGCTACGCAGGCTGGGGCGGAAATGTCTTCTATGTCTGGAGCTCGCCCGACCTTGTTGCGTGGACACGATCAGACGAGCCATTCTTAACACTCAACGGCACGAGCGGCAATGTACCATGGGCAAATGGCAATGCTTGGGCTCCTGCCATCATCGAGAGAGACGGCAAATACTACTTCTACTTTAGTGGAAACAACCCGACATACGATCGCAAGACCATCGGCGTTGCAGTTGCAGACTCGCCCGAAGGTCCCTTTACTGCACAACCAACAGCCATGATTCTCAACGATGGCCCAGTCAAGACCGGCCAAGCCATTGACCCAGCGGTATTCAAAGATCCCACCACTGGAAAATACTACATCTTCTACGGAAATGGAGGTTCTGATATTATTGGTTCCATCTACGCCGAGCTCAACGATGACATGGTTTCCGTCAAAGAAAACACCACCACTGCAATCCCCGGCCTAACTGACTTCCGCGAGGGCATCTTCGTCAACTACCGCGAAGGCCTTTTCCATCTCACCTACTCCATCGACGACACCGGCTCGGAGAACTACCGCGTAGGTTACGCAACGTCCGACAGCGTACACGGACCTTGGACATACCGCGGCGTGATATTGCAAAAGGATCCATCGCAGGGTATCCTCGCCACAGGACATAGCTCCATCATCAACGTGCCTGGTACTGACAACTGGTACATTTGTTACCACCGCTTCCACATCCCGGGTGGAGATGGAACGCACAGGGAGACTACAATCGATAAGCTGTTTTTCGATGAGAATGGATTTATTGTCCCGGTCGTTCCTACGCTATCGAGTGTACCAGCGGAGATGATTCCCGTTGTTTAGTTCACGCTTGGAATACTTTGGTACATGTAGTTGTTGTGTAATTTGTAGAAATATCACAGGTGATTTTGTGTATACACGTCTTTCTCGAATCGAACCTGCATCCCAAACGAATATACGCATAACTCCCCCGTCTGCCATCTACATCCCCTTTCGCTAACAGTATCTCACAACAACCCCCTCCCCACCCCCCTCACTCTCCTCACCCCTCCCCCCGAACCAAGCCCTACCACCGCGCCCTTCCTCCCCCTCCTCCCCACCAACAACTCCTCCACAATCCCACTAACCTCCTCCATCTGCTCCCTAAACTCCTCCATCGCCCTCCCCAGCCCAACCCCTTCCTCCCATATATCCTGTAATTGATTTTCCGTCAGATCCTCCGATTTGGTGGTTTCCAGCGGTTTCACCACGGCACTGAGGTGCGCGAGTGCGGCCGAGACGATGGCGGCGCGCCGGTTCAGGGCGAGGAGGCGGGAGGGGAGGTCGGCAGGGGTGAAGGTTGGGATGGGGATGTCTTCTAGAGTGTGGCTGGATTGGGAGAAGGGGTGGGGGTGGGGGGATAGGGTTGTTTCGTGGAGGTAGTTGTAGTCGTAGGTGTAGTTTTGGTGGCGGTGGTGGCGGTGAGGATGGTAGTTTTGGCGGGAGGTTGGGAGCATTGTGAGGTTGGTGGGGTGCGATAGTTGGTGGTGGGTGGTGGGTGGTGTGTTGTTGTGATGATGCGTCTAGTACAGACGTCAATTTGGCGATGTAATGCTTAGTTACGCGGTTGAGAAGGATGATTACGATAGGATGTTATGGTCACTCTGAAATGTACACACAATTGATATATGTGTGCGCTCTGAAAAAGATTAGAGACATCGCAAAAGTTTGTGGTGCAGAACGTCGGGACAAGCAATCGTTTGACGCTTGTCCACTACAACACCACCATGCCGGTAATCCAAGCGAAACAAAGCAATCTGATATTGTTTGCCATTCACCACTCATTCCTCCCTATCACCTACACCAGTCCGCAAGTTTGCCACACAACCCCCCTCATCCCACCTGCCTGACCTTTATCAACTCCGGCTCATCACCCACCTTCTCCCGCAGCAAATCCAACTCCTCCAAAAGCTCTTGATATGCACGTTCCAACTTGTCCCGACCCTCTATTATCGTCTTGATTGTTTCCATCATGCGCTTGATGCTTGCCTGGCTAGCTGCTTGAGCGTCGTTTGCGTCTCGGTAGAGTGAATTTAATTGGCCGCTCAATTTGGTGATAAGTTTGTTGAAGATGTGGAATGCGGCACAGAGGGTGATGAGTTGCGTTTTGATGATTGGAAGGACAGCGGGGTCGGGAGGCGGAGGCGGTGGGGGTGGAGGCGGTGGAGGGATATTGGCCGTTTTGGGTGGAGGTAGAGACGATTGTTTTAACGTCTCGTGAGCACTTGTCTTGTGATGGCTCATGTATTTAACTCAGTGACGCATGATCAGGGGTTTATTGAGGACTTGATGTGCACAAACAAAGGTCCAGTAACGCCCAAGACCAGTCAGGCCAATGGCTACTCCATGTTGAATTCAACATAATTTTCTATTGTAATTGTTGCTTTGCTAGTCCGTGTCTCATAACACCATCATTACACATATCCAATATCCCAATAATCTCATACAACCCTACTCTTACACATCGACGCTGCATATTCGCGATCGAAGACAACCCCTAGCCTGTAGCCAATCATCCCCTCGGCCTCTCCCAAGCCTGTCCGCCATCCATCTGAATCCCCTTCGAACCGAACTGCCCCATCTTCTCCATACTCCACCCATCCTCGACAGGCAACGGACTCCTCAACTCCTTCTCTCTCCCCAAGCCCTCAACCCCCAACGGCCCATCCCCCCAAATCAAATACTGCGCTGCAAGCCCCAAATCGCAACAAGCCTGAAAAACACCACAAGCCTTGAACGCCCACGGCACCTCCCCATTACTACTAGCAAAGAAAAACCACATCTTGAACGTATCACCAATCACCCAATTCACAATAACACTCGGCCTAAACCCCTTACACCCCCTCCGCTGCCAATTCGCCAACAACTGCGGCAACGGCAACGTCGCCTCAATCGTCAGCGCCACCAAGCCCAGAAAATCAGTATACGGGATAAACACCGCCGTTGACGACATGACCATGTGCAGCACCAGCAGACCTCCCGTGAAATACGTTATGAACGCCCAATACGGCCGCGGCGCGCGCCACTGCCAGAAGGAGTATGGTCGGTTCGACGCGTCTTTGTGTTGGAAGGGGAGGTGCGAGGGCGGCGGCCGGTTTGTCAGCGCGACGTGCAGGAGGAGTAGGTGGACGACGATCATGAGGAGGGCTTGGACGAGTAGCGAGGTGCTAAAGTGGGCGCCGAACCAGTAGTAGACTTTTAGTATGCTGGCGACGAGCATGATGAGGGGGATGTCGAGGGAGAAGCCCGCGGAGCTGCGGGAGCGGTGCATGCTGTAGATTTGGTCACCATAGCTGGTTATCGGGCTTGTTGCTATGCTGAAGTCGTGGTGTTAGTTTTGGGTTGTGTATGGGGTTATGAAGGAAGGGGCGTACAAAATGGGCGCAATGTTCTTCACAATAGCGCTGATGAAGAACATGGTGCCCTCGTGGGTTCCGTGCGGTGCTTCGTATGCACGACTTGCGGTGATGACGCCGGGTTGGTTTTCTCGGAATCAGCAGTCGGAATGGCGCCGCCTCTTCTTACTTCCTCTTCTTTGCTTTTTCTCAAAACCCAACTACGAAATTAATCGGAAGGAGAAAAAAAAAGGGACTCTTTTTATGGAGAGACAGCCCGCGCCACTAGTCAGGATCAAGGCTGTCTGTTCTGTCTGTCAAATGTCAACAAGAAATGCCCCGAACGAGCCGAACCGAACAAAAAAAGGAGGAAAGGGACCGTGAACCGGCCATGTCCGTCCGCCGATGTACCCGCTTATAGGGCTGATTATAAGATCTTATCGCTCGCTCGGCGTTCGTCATCGTCTACATACAAATTGGTTAAAACATCTTCTTTCGCATGTTGACACCCAGCGAATGGACGCAATAAACATCTACACCCACCAATCTCACCAATCGCCCCGTCCACATCCCCCTCGCTCCCAGTTCACCACCAAAATGTCCTCACACACCCTCTTCTTCTACGGCACCCTAATGGCCCCTCCCGTCCTGCACCGCGTAATCTGGGGCTCCCCTACCCCACCCACAGCAGCCCACGCCACGCTCCTCCACATCCGCCCCGCCATCCTTCATGCACACCGACGCCATAGAGTCAAAGGCGCTGATTACCCTGCCGTTGTACCCACAGCCGAAGAGCCCACGTCGTCCGTTCGAGGCACCCTGGTAACCGGGCTGACGGACGGCGATATCTGGCGGTTGGATATTTTCGAGGGGGATGAGTATAGTAGGGAGAAAGTTAGGGTTAGGGTGTTAGTGGACGAGGATAAGGAGGGGGGTACGGGGATTCCGGGGGTGGGTGTGCGCGGAGAAGGAACAGAGGGTGAAGAGGTGGACGCAGAAACGTATATCTGGACCGCGGGGGCCCACAGATTAGAACCTAAGGAATGGGATTTCAACGAGTTTGTAAAAGAGAAGATGGAGAGGTGGGTTGGGGGTGGTGTGGGGGAGAGGGATGCGGGCTTTGATGGTAAGAATACACCTACACATATATACGGTCCCAGTTTCCACACAACAACCTCTTGTTTGAGAATATGTTTGAATCATCAGTGTGGTTGGTGGCTGATTATAATGATTAGACGTCGACAACGCAACATCAGCATCACGCAACGATCCAACCGGTGGCCGCGGCGCCAATGGGGATATATCACGACAACTTGCACAACAAGGACGCGGAGACGAGGAAAAGATACTCAAAAGCGCGGTATAAAGTAACACTTGCATATTTTTATTATCTAATTTCCCCCATCCCCATTCTTTGCTTGACACGCACGCACTACTACCCTTCCTTACTTCTGCCACCCAGCATCCCTACATCCACGGTCTAGCAGCTTGATTACGCGAAAAAACGGCCGAGGCCAAACAACCAACACCCTGTGCTTATCAATGATGAATGATACCTCTATGTTCGCCCTGTTTCGCCAGCCATGCCAACATGGGTATAGATATGAAAAGAGACCACCGAAAATACAGAAACTCCACTTCGGTACCGAATGCATCATGATCTCAATATGGGAAAGTATCAGGCCTCGACGGCTGTCCTTCCTGCGTCTCTGGACTTCTCCTTCTTGGTTCGGGAGTCTCTCTGACTATGAAGACGTCATTGGGGACGTCAATCTGCATGCGATCCGTAGACTGCGAAATGGCCTCCATTGGGTCGCCTGCGGTTTCTTGCGTACGCGTCAAGTCAACTGGAGAAGCTGGTGCACTCAGGGCCTGTGAAAGGGTCCGAGTGATATCATCTTCAAGTCTTGTCTTGAGCTCACGGTCAATGGAGATGGATTTTCCGTGCCTGTGTTTGGCTGGAGATTGAGAAGTCACTCTGCGTACTTTGGACGGGCTTGTTCTTAGAAGCTGGTGGTGCTCAGGCCTCACTACTTGCACCTCCTGCGAGTCCTCAATCTCAATGGGCATGTTTGGCGCACCGCCCTCTCGGCTGCGTGAATTTGATGGTTTCGCCTGCTTATCTCCGTCGTCTCTTGCTTTCCGTGGCGACTTGACGTGTTGTTTCTTCGCAGCTGACAGTTCTTTGTTATGATCGTCTTCGTCATCTCTTCCACGTTTTTTAGGGCTGATCAAGTCTACCGTGGGAATCGTCCGATTCATTGGTCCAGCTTGACGCGGCGATTTGCCCTGTCCGTCGAGCAAGGGAGGAAGGGGCAATGGACTTTTCCCAGGGATACAGACCTCAGAGCTACTACGCCTTGGTGTTTCAACAAGCGATCGTGTTACCGGAGGCGAGTCGGATATCTTACCAACAGCGTCCGGAGATCGGTTTCTGGCAAAGGCCGCTTGTTGCTCGTCGAGCTTGAAGGGAGATCTAAGTCTAGGCCGTGGAGATTGAATGGCCGGATGGGTGTGCGATTTGGTCTGCTCTTGGTTTCCATCCCCATGGTCCGTCTTCGCAGTCTCTGTCTTTGTCTCTACAGATACGACGTGGCCTGTAACCACTGGCGCCTTGATTTCCGTTGTTTCATTCTTCGCCTTTCTTTGCGCTTTCCGAGCATTCTCTTGCTGCCTGTGGCATTCGAATATAATGTCACGCATCTTGTCTCTCATCATGGAAGGCTTCAGCGCTGGCCAATCTTCCTCAGCTGACATGGACCCAGTCAACAGCTTGTCTTTGAATTCATCGGGATTCTGGAAGAATTTCTCGACGTAGCCCAGTAGGTAGACACCGCAATCAGTCCAGTTGCTTTGCATGGGAATCTGCGTGGCCTTGGGATAATACCCATTTTCTTTGATAACTGCTTCCATTCCGCGCCTATGTTTCCCTTCTGCCGCTATCCAGTCTTTCAGGGCACGAACTGCTCCGCTGCGCGCATTACCACCTAAGGAGTCCAGCACAACGATCACTGGTTGATTGGGGTCTTTCTTGGGCACAGGCTTGCGTTTGTTCTTGTTCTTTGCAGATGATGCACTCTGTCGAGTCAGCGCAGAGGATTTGACCTCTTCAACATCCGTGATGTCGGCCGTCGGCTCTTGCAATGTTGAATAGAATGCCTCAGGTTGAGGTCCATACTGTATATCTGTTCCAGTCTCACCGCGGTTGACCAAGGATAACGCTGCTTCGTCGAAAAGATTTGGGTCATCGTGTTCTTGCTGGTTGGAAACCTCTTGAACGCTGGCAGACGGTTTGGGCGATAGGTTTTGAGCTGGTCTTGTACCATCATTGTCTCCTTCAATCGTAATCGTGGTACAACCTTCGCCATGCTCTTGTATGTTGGGATGATCATCGTCGAACGGTGAATTTATGAGTACACGTGGGATCTTCGAAACATTGCAGATAATTGCCAGATACCAATGGGTTTGAGAGTCGTTGATCGGCACGACGATATAGTCGTAGAGGAAGATGTCGACCTTCGAAGTCCATCGCTCCACAGCTTTGTAGTCTATCGACTTGCGGCCAGAGTTCCCGGTTAGTTTGGTGAAGAAGTACGTATTGAAGAAGTAGACCTTGTCGGCCGGGACGTTCAGTTGCTTGAATAGATAGATCATGTAAAAGTCGATCAAACTATCATTCAAGTACTCCTCTTCGTCCAGTCGAATCAAATCATCGAAGTGCACTACTGCGCGCCGACGACCCTCCACGTATTCAAGAGACTTGGCCCACGCTGTACCGAGCCCTTTCTCAACAGAGTGCTTGAACACCTTCTGTGGTTCGGGAGAGTCTTCTACATAAGTTGGCACAGATCTCTTGGGACGCGACGGGCGGGTTAGCCCTGAAGTTGCTGTACTTGCGTTGGAAAAATTCGGCCTTTGTGGAGGACGCAAAACTTGATCTAGTAGCAGTGTCTTCTTTGGACCGGTGGTGTGTCTATCAGCATGATCTGAAACCTGCACAGCATCGTGAACGAGTAGAGACGTTCCGACTTTGTCGTTTTTTGGTGGCAGAGGCTTATTAAACAGTTTTTCCATGAATTCCCTGTATCTAGGTTAGTCTTGTCTTGTGGATTGTTTGTGATATCTTACGCTTGTCTCAAGATGAACCTCCCATTTGGTGTTAGGGACGGTGCATGCTCGTCACGGAATGTCAGGAAGTCTGATGTGTTTACAAACTCCAGGTCGAAGATTTCGGAATTGCCGTCTTGTTGTCGGGGTCCTTCAAGTCGAATTCGACTTGTATCATCCGCATGTACCTTGTTGATATGTTGGCGTTGTATGAGAATCTTAGTATCATAGTTGCCATCGGGCAGTTCGTATATCCGGACACGCCAGCCTCCTGGGTCGCTGAGCAGTTTGGGTGGTTTTTGGTCATCCTCCACTTTAGAGTGATGCACCTCATAGTCATATGACCTCGCGAATGCTAGTGGCCAAAATGGACCGGTATATCTTTTCATACTGCTCTTCGCAGCTTGTCTCGCTTTCGAAAGCGGCTTTGCTTGTCTCCGGTCGGGTGACGGTGCAAGCTCATCTGCACTGCTGCTGTCAGGCACCCTTCGCTTGGGTGCTGGTCTATGCTGTTTGCGAAGATCGACAGACATATCGGCGGCAGCTCTACTATCGGTTGTTGGTTCCGCTGTAAATTCGTTGATGCGAGCCTCAGAGAAGTGGTGCGATGTGAACGGTTCAGATGTGCGTCTATGCTCATGACGTCTGGAGTCACAAATCTCTTCCCCTTGGTGAAGTTCCTGTAGTATGACTTTCCGAGTAGTAGTGGGCGACCGTATTCGGGTACTGCGTTCGTCACCATCCCCGTTGAAGTGTGTAGATGCTGTGGAGTCAATAGCCAGGGAACCACCGCCAAATGGTGACTTTCGAAGTCCCTTTTGAGATTTGCTCGAGGTCGGTCTTCTCGCCTTCTTTCTGACAATGAGAGCATCAACTTCTCGAAACTCGCTCTTGGGCTGAGACGGCCTGAACTCTTCTATTGTGCTCCCACTCCCAATGCTCGTTCGTGAATGTGAAGATCTAGCCGATGGAGGTCTTGCGCCGGATGTGCCAGTAGGCGCAAAGTGGAAAGGCCGAGGCACTTCCAACAGTTCATCATCGTCGTCAGACAGGTTTATGACATGATCCACCTTTCTTCGTTTTCCAGAGACGGCCCCACCTGACAATCGGTCCCGGTCTTCTTGCAAACGTCCACGGCGGGATGGGGTCTTGGGCGGGTTGTTTCGCTTCTGCTCAAGGTAGGCTGCTTGTCCGGCGCCTTGCACTTGACCTATCAAGGGACCGCCTGGTCGGCTATGCTTCCCGTATGTAGTTGGCTTTCGACTTGGCGCATGAGGTCCGCTGTTCAAGGTATTGACCGGCTTGAATCCTTTGTTCGACCCTGGCTATCGAATATGAGTGTGAGGCGCTAAAAGGATAGTTGCAAACATACCTTGGGTTGCATACTCATACGCGGGTTGGGGAGACTGACCGCATCCGCTGACACACTTCTCAACTATTAGCCTTTCTGTTTCCCGTGTCATATGTGCATTGGTATATTACGTGTAATCTCCAACTAATCTCTTCTCGTCTTCGCTTGGCTTGGACGGCAGCCGGCGAGAGGCCTCAGGGCGTGGGACAAAGTGAGGAGGTCGATTCGAAGGTCTTGTAGGTGAGGAAAGATCTATGTAGGTTCGGGTCGGTGACGGGGCGGGGGACGGGGCTCGCGTGTAGGGACATGGAGGCAAGTCGAGGTTCGGCGGTTGGGCGTTGGTCTCGTCTGGCTGCAGCGGCATGGTGTTAGCGGGCGGCGCGGCTGAAGGTAGACAACGAAGAAGAATCACAGGAAGAGAGTCTGCGACATGAGAGTCTGAGACATACATGTACGTTGGAAGAACCAAAGGAGCTCGCAGCTAGGACGCCCTGGAAGAAGTTGAACATTAGTGCGTCGGAAGCACCATAGCGGTGACGGAGCGGCAGCGACGAGTGATATTTTTCGGTAGAATCCTGGACATGCAAACGCTCAAGGCAAACGCACAAAGCGCATGCGCGCACCGTGGGGCAGGTGAAGGTGAAGTTGGTTGCGCGAGATGCGTCGCGCTCACGTCCGTGCGTCCTTGACGTAGCCGCTTCCCGTACAATGAAAGTTCGGCCCAATGCGACATGGATGCAGTAATGCTATTGTAATATATTCTACAAAGAGGCTATTGTATGCAGGCAACATAGTCTATCCCGAATCCATTACGCGCTCTAATCGAATCACAGCAATCACCCGAAACAACAGAAGAAGCATGGGACTCGAATGTGGATTCATTGAATTTGTTTCACATCACAAATCTCCATACACGATACTTTGGGTACGTGAACTTGAATCTGTTAGTAAATTATTCTTGCAGCTACCGGATGCCTCACCTTCGAGCACATCCGCCACATGACGCACACTGCCATCGCCCAGCAATGTCTATGGATGCTGGATGGAGACACTCACGCTCCCATGATCCTTCAGACAGCATGTCAAGAAAAGATGATTGGTGGCCTCACAAACCCAAGATGCGTCCAACGACGTCCGGGAAATGGTGGCTCAAGACCGTCACATTCATCTCCGTAGCATAAGTATTACACGTCTCGCTAAAGCGACGGTGGGGGGGTTGCGACTCGTCATCGTCTTCGGTTGTGCCAATATGTATTCGCATAATTCAGAGCTGACGGATACTACGAGCCAGCTGTTATTTCCGACGAAGTTACCCGGCGCTTTTCGTGTTGGCTCCGGGCTTGATCGATGGCCGATCTTTGTGCAATACTGTCGTCGTGACTCCTCCATACTATATTCGTGCCCTCGGGTAGCTTGAGAACTCGCCTAATCGTGTCTCGTATCTTGAAGTTCTTAACCCCGTCGCTCTTGGTCCAGATGCTGAAGACGTCTTCGCCGCTCCGGACGCTCAAGACGAAGCCGCAGAACTCCTCGCCAGCATCTAGAAATTGATCTCCAACCAGCGCAAGCAAAAGGTCTTCCCAGTAACGGTCCGCCACGCCCTTCTTCAGGCGCATGATCCACTTGCCGCCTCGCTTGTTCTCATCATCCTCCCATACCGGCCGTATACCTTGCTTGAACACGTGGTAATCCGACACGGAGGGCAGGCTCGAGGGTCGCTTGAGGTGGGAGAAGACTTTCCAGAACTCCTGGGCGGTCGAAAATTTGCAGAGCGGCACGATGGACTTTTCATAGTCGACATTCTTAGCCGTTGGTGGACGGTACCAGACCGCCCAAGTGTACTTGAGCGGCCACGGCGCGTTGAAATCGGGTGGCGCAGAGGGGCCCTGTGTGTTCTCCGGTATTGAGCCTGTGGATATAGACTCCTTACGTATGCTATTAACCACTTTGCTCACCGGCTTATCCTTTTTATCCGAAGGCGTCGCGGGCGAGGGTGACGACATGGCGGCCGCTTTGAAGTCAAAGGCAGTACCCGGCGTCTTCGGCGTCTTACCCGCAGAGCCAAAGGACGCGAATGCGCCGGAACCGAGCCCAAAGGCGGAAGAGCCGCCCGTCGTGGGTGAGGCCAATCCGCCAGGTGTCAAGGGCGACATGGCGTTGAAGGGATTACGGCTGCCGTGGGACGAATCGCCACCAAAGCGCTTGGTCGCCGAGATGGTGCGCTGGTGAGGTTCCGACTTTTCGTTATTGGGTTCCGAGTGTGACATGGAGAGGGAGAGCTTGCTGGTGCTGTCGGGCGGTGTTAGTGGTGCAAGCGAGGGTTGCGGGGACATGCGAGCCTACTTGGAGCGCCTAGTCCAAAGATTCTCCCTATTGTCCATTGATAGAGGCGGTCAAGTGGGTAGATGATACAAGAGAAGAATGGCACGGTATCCAAAGGCGGGTGGGGCAGGCAAACAAGCAAGTAAACGGAAGAGCTGGCGGGCCAATGGCCAATGTGCGTCGAAGATATGCGGGGGTGGAATTTGCGGCTGTCGTCGTCTGGTAATAGCGAATGGGGCGTTTATGGCGTGTCCAGGAATATGATGATGGTGAAAAGATATGACAGGGCCGATTGTATGTGATCGTCGGGCGTGGTGGGATGTATCGTGTGCAATGGCGGATAGTGGTGCGTATTGAGAAAACGTTTGAGAGGTTGGCACTTGCACCTCAGGCGCGCGCCTTCCGCAGCAGGGATGCGCGCTTAGTCAGCTACCGAGCTGCATATCCTTCGCCGCGCCGCCGCACCACATCTCTTCTTCACCAACGGCCTTTGACTCGTAACATTTGCCAGCTCGACACTCCCTACTCAGCTGGCAATCCGATACCTGGCCCAGAACGAGCCATCCTCTTCTAAAACCATCATCACGAGGGCCGCTTTTTTGTGGCTTCCATGATGCGGTGATGACCTGAAAGCAGGGACATTATTTTGTCACGCGCCCGACGCGTTGAGGCTGCGTGCCGTCTACGTTTCTTTTTCTTGTATGTGTGCTGTGTGGCGTAAGATTTTTTTTTCTTTGGCTTGGGATGACTAGGTCCTCTGGACCACTTCTGGTAGTCTGAGTCTCAGCCAGATCTACACTATCGCGACAAGCGATTTCTTGGTTGAGAATGAAGCTCAAAAGGCAAAGTCTGAAGCCCATTGTGAACCATTGCGACGAGCTGCCTGTATAATCTGGAATTACCGCTGATGATTGAATAGAACTTAGTATCACACTTGCCAGCTGACAGGCCTTGCTCGCTCTTCACCAACCGCTCTTTTGCATGTTTCCTCGCGCACGACGCGATTAATAGTAAAGTCACATGAGGTCCGCGGGAGATCGAGATGCTGGTGTCATCGGGAGCTCACATTGAGCAGCCCACGCTAAGTGCTACCATGGCTGGCAGCCTATCCGCGCATTGCGAGTTTGAGATGGGAATATCTAGACAGGTAGTAAATCGATAATACTATTCAACATACCAATGCGCTTTGTGTTGTCCCTCAGCGACGTTTGTAGTAGACACCAGCCCCCTCCTTGAGGTGGCTGGAGACATTGTCGACGCGCAAGTTGACGTGCAAGTCCTTCACGGCCCACCGGCACATGACAACCGCGGTAGCCTCAATATTAACCTTGCCGCACCTGCAGCATGCAAACGCGTGCGGGGTGGGAAAAGGTACCTACCCATCTACGTCATTCTTCCGTGCCTTCACCAGGACAACGCACCCCACCATCTGGGATCAGACTGCGCTTTCCTCGGCCACATCACAAAGTCACCGCCATCACCCGCGCACAATCATACAAAGGCATCTGCTCCTCCCTTCTGTCTCCCACAACACCTACTTTCCATCCGAACACCTTGTCAGCATCGCGTGTCACCCCACATTGCAACCTTTCACGTGCGATCAAACACGTTCCTACGCCCACAGGAGACCAAATCTGCTCCTCTACACCCCACCAACACCAACAACATGACTGCCACATCACCCCAACTGCACTCGCCGACGTCGCATGTTGAGCGACCTAAGGGTACGACCAAGTCTTATCAGCTCCTCCGGCGCATGTCCAGCTAACAAGCGCAGGTATCCTCAAGAACTCAAACTCGTTCCGAGCAGCGTCGCAGACGTCCCCGACAGCCGACTTCCCTCCGGCCACAAGTCCAATCTCGGAGCGACCGCCGCTCGGTCGCGAGATGTCAGAGAAGGAGATTGTGCTCGAGAACACATTGCGCAATGCGGGCGCCCACCGTCGGTCGTCTTCCAACCCGCGGGGCATGGGGTCGCGGCGTCAGTCAGGTGCTGACCCCGATGAGAACAGCCCTCAGCTCAAGTGGGACGAGGCCAACCTCTACCTGAACGAGCAGAATCGGGATAGCACCATGAAGATTGATGAGCCAAAGACCCCGTACGCCAAGCAATACGACCCCACTGAGGATGAAGAGGAGGTGGAGATGCTCAACGCGCAGGAGCTCAAGGTCGACGAGCTAGATAAACCGAAGAGGAAGCCTAAGATCGAAGACATTCCAGAGTTTGACCTGGGACAGCCAGAGCTACAGGCGCGACACTCGCAAACTCCCGAGAGCGAGAAGCGTGTGTTGGTTGAAGAGGGCATGGACCCTGCCGACGAGGGTTACCACGGCGAGCTTCATCCAAATGCGACACAGGAAGAGGTGGAGAAGCACCGCAAATTTGAAGAGCTGCGCAAGAAGCACTACGAGATGAAGAACGTCAAGGACCTGCTTGGGTGAGTTTGTCTTTTTCATGGATATTGAATCTGCCTTGCTAACCCGCCTCAAGGCATCCCGAGGATGAAGATGAAGACGAGGAGATGCCATCGCGACCCAACGGCCAATAGTTGTCGAACAGACATGTGTAGGTAGAGACCTTGTTTTCTTTGCATCTTCCATTTTTGATACCGAGTCAGGAGAGACGGGACATGTTATGAAGCTCGCCCAGCGGCGTTGCACGTATTGAATTTTGCGGCATTACGATGGAGTTCATGGGGTACGAAGGGATGATGTTCATGATTGCGAGTACCTTTCTTCATAGTTGATCCAACGAAACTGAAACAAAACCATGACTTCCTTGTGATACTGTGATACGAGTCAGATGATTGTTGCTCTGATATGGCTGTATACATAATCAGTTGAAGTCTCCAGAAAGCGTTGTGCACCATCATTCAGACACCAAAAGCACTCATATATTCTACAACCAAACCCATACTGCTCTCACAACACTATTCCCTGAACTCCGCATCCACGGCCTCAAAATTCTCCAAGAAGCTCTGGAACGTAAAAACACCCAGCCCTGGATCCAAACTGCCCGTCGTCGCCCGGATAGAATGCATACTCAACTGCGGAATCCCACAATCAATCGCCCTTATACCCGTCGCCGCACTCAACATGGGTCCGACCGTACCTCCACTACGACTATCATTCCTAATCTGGAAGACCTGTAACTTAGGATCCGTCGATCTGGCACCAACATCGCGGTCTACGCAGCGTTGCAGGATGGCCGTAGAAACAGCATCAGTCGTCATATGTGCATTAGAATCCGCGCTCACAGCCGGTCCAACATTAAGCCTCGGCGCATGGTTTTCCAGGTATGCGCCCAGGAAATTTGGATTCACGGCGTGAATGACATCGCTGGAGACGAGGAAGGAGTTTGCATACGTGCGACTAAGCGCGGCCTGGCTTCTACCCGCGGGCGCAAAGTGCTCGGCGATGCGCTGCATGGTGCTTGGAAGGAAGTTTCCGTGAGCGCCTTGTCGGAGGAGCGAACCGACTTCTTCGTCGTCGAAGAGGGCGACGATGCGGACTTGGGAGGAGGTGGCGAGGGAGGGCGTGGAGTTGAGGAGGGCTTGGATGGCGGCCCAGGAACAGAGTTTGTCGTCGATGCGGCCGGCGAAGATGAATTCGTGGTCGAGGCCGCCGGTGCAGGCGGGTTGGGTGTCGTAGAGTTCTAGCTCCCAGTTTACGATTGTGGAGTCTGTTGGTGTTAGTGGGTTGGCGTGAGGGGATGTAGGGGGAGGGTGACGTACAGTCTGTTATGCCTAGTTCCTTGGAGATGGCTTTGACGAGTCTCTCGGGCTGGGTTGCAGTGAAAGCGCCTTCGCCACCTAGTACACTGGCTTTCCAGCCTTCGCCGTCTGTCGAGGTACTGCTCATATCGCTATTGTCAAGACCGACAATCGGTACCATCTGCGTCTCCTTGTTAAACGGGCCGCTAGCCGCAGCACCGAAATGCGGCGCCAGTGTAGGGATCCTCGCAATCGGCCAGTCCAGTCTGACGAGCTTGGTTACAATCTTTCCGTTCTCCTTGACAAGCACTCTTCCACCAATACCCAAGTCGCGGTCCCACCAGGTGCTGTTCAAGGCACCGGCGTAAGGCGCCACACCGAGTTGTACATAGCCTGCCTTTGTACGCAGTTTGGGGATGGGCTTCAATTTGGCTGTAAGCGCGTCAATGTGTCCAGCGACGATTGCTGCTCCGTTGCCAGATCTATAATTATCGCCGATGGCGAAGGCAATGAGCGATGTACCGTTACGTTCCACGTAGTACTTGCCACCAGCCTTGAGATCCCATGCATCCCGCTCAGACAGCTTCTTGTATCCATCCTTGGCGAGATCCTGCGCAACAGCATCAACAGCATGGAAGATGGTAGGGTTGTTCGTCATGTAATCGGTAAAGGGCTTTGTATAACGAGCGGGATCCTCCTTGGAGCGCGCCGACACGGGAATCCAACCATGAGAAGGAGTCGGTCTAGGCAGTTCCGCAGTAGATTGAGAAGCAGGTAGCTCTGGAATCTTGGGTGGCACTGGCGGTGGGTTCTGCTGCCTCGATGGCTCTGGGTAGTCGTCGAGGTCGATGAGATTGGATGCACCGATGCTATGGCGGCTACGCGGATTAAACGCGCCTTGTCGATTACTCCATCCTCTCTCTACAACTCTGTCCAATCGCGGACGATGTGCCAGATTCGCCGTTGTGTGGGCGCGACCCAGGGTTGTCGAGTACGAGTGTCGCAGGGGGCGGGGCGGTGACGGGTCGGAGTAGAGGTCAGTATTGGAAGCCGCCTTGCGGAGGGAAGGGTGATTCTTGGTCATGATTGCGACTTCGTGTGCACTGAGATGTAGTTGAGATTTGAGAAAGGGAAATTTAGAATACGATTAACAAGATGAGTAGTTCAGAGTTGGAGAGTGGAACTCGTGATGTTGTAGATTGAGGCTTGTTGTCTAGTGCATGTTGTACAGCTAAGCTACCGCCACAAATGAGGCGCAGCTTCTGTCCGAAACGGGAACGCTTCCGGGCTTGCTCGCCGCAACTCCACATCGATTCCACGACGATCATTGACGCACAACTACCGCGAGTTCCGTGGAATATTCCGACCAATCATCTTCTTTTGCCGACATCACTAATGAGTACTTTGAGGAAAATGTTTGAGGTCCAAGTGATGAATTCGTATCAACGACTGCCATTGTCCACCCAGCACATCTCCTGCCATCCATGCAAACTTTTCGGGCTGCTCTTGTGTCTACGGGGTCAAGAACGCCGCTTGAGAGGCCGATGGAAGACGAAGGAGATCGCTGGGTGTTGCAAGAGATGGTAGCTCACCTTCCGACATATTGGTGAGCCGACAAGCGCGAGGCTTCGCCGTCGGCTCGAATCTGCAAACCTTTTGTATTAACAATTGACCACCAAGGACCGTTAGAGAAAACTTATAAAAATCATCAAATGTCTGAATCCAGATGAACCTGCGAATTTGTCAGGGGCTGGTAGGATCTACCAGATAAAGACTACTTACTGGAATCATTGATACCGGTCCGTATACGATACCGATCCGTATGCGATACCGGTCCGTATGCGAACACATTACCCGCGTCGAAACCTGTAAAAGTGAGCATGGATTGAGAAGAGGGGGAGTAAGGAAATGGGCATGTGCAGTGACAGGAAGGGGAAAGGAAAGGGCAGTGACAGGGGAGGGGAAACATTATCCCTAGATGTTAGCAGTTCCTCTCCACGGGTTCCTATCTCAACCTCAAACCCCTCAAATCCAATCGCATCCAAACCAAGGAAATATGAAAAACCAAAGAAAAAGAAACTAGAAAGCAACGCAAAACTAAAACCACAAAAATCCAAACGCATAACTACGCAAAAACCAGAAAACAACGTGAACTAAACCAAACAAAGGAGATTTTTTTGTCTTTCTCTTTTATATCTTTTTTTGTCTTTTGTATCCGTGAAAAGCACACGCCGGTGCTAAAAAACTACCGCAGAATCGTGTCGTCGTATAGTCGTTGTTGATGAAGCCGCCTTAACCGATAAACGTCTCGTCGTCCAGAGACATGGATCGTCGAACCGAATACTGACTGAGGTGACCTTTCGAACAAACTAACCAAAAACCGCCATCCTTCTCCTCTTCGACTTCAGTTGTCTCCACGCACACCGACTGCTTTCTTCCACCGTTACCGTGGCAGACCACCATTGGTAGGGCTCCGAACTGCTGCCGATCTCGCCATGAACTTCTTCCGTCTCCGATTTGTCGAACAACAGCCGCTATCATCCTTTCCTCTTCGTCTTGGGGCGTTTTCCCATCTACCGACTAGGTGCCGATAGTGTACTAGCGCCTTTCCAACTCCGATTCATCCCGGGGTGATAGGCAACAACGTTGTTTCTCCTCCAATTCTTCGAAATGACTTGATTCTGTGGTAGGGCAAGAGTTATTGATTGCCCAGATCTCTGCAAACTGGGTGACGTTTTTGGTCGTTTGTCCAACCGATGAGATGTCAGCTAGGCCGGTCCCTAATCTATCTCCGCCAAGAGTGATTTCGGGTGGCTGTCGCGTCGTAGTCTCCTAGCGTGGGTTTTGGTTACCCGGCTTTAACCTGGCCGGAGAGATGTTTTTACAGGATAACGTTCAACTTTTTGTGATACCGTTGATTTCAGATCGAAGGACGTCCTCTAACCTCATTCCGCCAAGATGAGGGAAGATTAGTCGTATGTCACTGGGAATCATGGTGTGGGATAAGATGGGTGTGGGGTGAGATGTTTTTGGTCGCACATTCAACCGAGGCTTTATGTCGTTATAACAGCTAAAACTTGCTCCACTAGCCGCCACAGCAAGGGAGGGTCGTCACTGCTATCGCGCATGGATGGGTGTTGATTTTCCAGGTCCAGCCTGCCTGGGGAGATGTTTTTGGTCGCACATTCAACAGAGGTTTTATGTCAGGATATCGACATGCTCTTCGACTTACCCGCCAAAATAAGTAAAAGACCGTCATTGATAATCCTGCTTGCGTGGGTGTTGATGATTCAGGTTTGACCTGCCTGGAGGTATGTTTTTGGAAGGTTTACATCCAAACTTTATAGATGTCTTTGTTGGCACATCCGACCGATAGGGGTTGGGGTTACTTGAGTTTCACCCGCCCGAAGAGATGTTTTAGTGGTAACATTGAACCGTGTAGGGGGACATGTTTTAGAGGATTACAATCAACCTTGTTGGTGTTTGTACCGATGATATGGATGTCGCTAGAATCTTCCGATCAGCCCTGTGAAGGGTGACAGAATCTTTTGTCGCTGACATTTCGTGTGTGTAGGCGTTATCCGGGTGTGACAGATCCGGGGAGATGTTTTTAGAGGGTAACATTCAAACCTAATGTCGGGTTCAAGTCCAGTGGACGGTTTTGTGTTCAAGCTAGACCCCACCCCTTTCCGCGAGGATTAGGTGGAAGTTGTCGATGATCTTCACAATTCACCACGAGCACGGGCCATAGTCCTGGCGACGATCGCCCTATACCACTCGCTTTCAGCCGCAGACATGATGCCCACGGGTGAGGGAGTTCGGATGGGTGACCGCGGCTCTCCAACTGGTGTGTCGATACGCCTTCCTCTCAAATATGGCTTGGCCGATGACATAGACCTGTCGTCGTCCTCGCCAGTATTTTCGGGTGGGCCTCTCGCAGTGACGTATGGCCGGGGATGGGGAGAAGTGATTCCCGGGGCCTCTGTGATGAACGAATCGTCGTCCGAACTCGCGTTCGAAGCAACGGTCATTCCGTTTCCTCCGTAAGCTGGCGGTAGTGACTCGGTCACCATAACTTCGCTGCCACTGGCAAACTTTGGTCGGGGACCCTTCACCACCTTGAGATCCCCCAGAAATCCTACTTTTCGAACCCAAGCCCCTGAGCACACACACTTGCGTCCGAACGAAAACTTCACGCAGTTTCCTCCCAGCCAACATTGATGCCTCGCGTAGCCGGGCCTATCGTTGTCGACGCGGTATGCTTCGCTGTAAAACTTCCATACCCCAGGGTAGTCGCGGTCGGTCATGGTACCAAAGGAATGTGGTGGTAATGCACATTCGATGGGATCGTTCTCGTCCATGACAACACCGCTCCAGACCGTGGAGCCGCGCATGGTCATCTTCAGCCCATAAAAGGCCTCGATGAGTTGCTTGACGGTGACCAAGGCTGAGTTGGTGCCACCTTCTGCAATTTCTTCCTTTTGTCTCGCGTAGAAGCCTCGTACTTGGCATACCCGTTGTCGCTGGGGTCCACTGCGGAACTTGGTGATGACGGTATCATCCTTGTCGTCCAGAGTGAAGCTCTTCCACATCGTCAGACGTGGTGGCCTTTGTAGCTCTGGAGCGTTCATCGTTCCAGTCATCCAAGACACTGGTCGTTTGTCTCCAGCCTCCTCATACGGGTAGTATAGGAGGTTGTCGTTGGAGCGATCGCGCTCGGATTCCTGTACCGATTCCAAGGACTCCGCAAATCGTACCGTCTTACGTGGCTGTATCTTCGGACAGACATAGCCATGCGGTACCCGGGTTGGAGGGAACGTAGCTGAACCCCGGGCGAGGTTGACGTACGTCGTTTTTGCCGTAGGCTTTCCGGCATTCTTGGTGATCTTCAGACAGCCGGCCATCAGATCCTTGTACATCCCTTGTCGCTTTTCAGCGTCGAAGAGATTTGCCCTATCCTTCAATCCCGTCTCGAATCGTACCGAGTAACTCGGCTTCAGAATCGATGGGAGTCGGATGGCCTGTGACATGGCCTGTGGCATAGCCGGTGCACGAGAGGAGGTGTCTGTCGTAGGACGCCCAGATGTCCTTGTCTCGCTGGGACGTCGGCTCGACGAGAAAGTACCGCTCCTCTCCGTTGATCGATCCGATAGGATATACGTGGCCCTTGGTGCAGGTAATGGCCTTGAGGCAATAGCCCGAAGCCGCTCCTTGAACTCTAGGTTCGCCGTGTGATATCCGCCAATCTTCTTGCCTGGGCGAGTCGAATTGGTACGGTCGACAAACGGATCCGTCGATTCTTCCTCCTTCAGGCTGGTCGGTTGAGGTGCACGTCTCGCTGCCGGAGCTGCGGGTCGTGTCTCTTCCTGATTAAGTCATCAATAAATGTCACAGCAAAGGAATATCAGGAGCAATCTAGATCACCTTCTGGACCTTAGGAGGAGTCCTTTGGGATCGTGCAGAAACTGTCTGATCACGGGACGAGCGTGTCCACCGTGATGAATCCTTGGTTGAGGCGGTTCTGGCCTCACGGCTGGCGACTAGCTCAGCTCGAAGCTTGGCTATGCGTGCCTCACGCTCGATACGTTCAGCCTTCCTCGTCGCAGAGTCAACTGCCATAGACCTGGCAGCAACCCGCTCGTTGGTCGACTTGAACGCGGGGCCAGCCGCCTGACGCTCCTCCCCCTTCTTGGCCCTCTCCGCGTGAATGGAGACCGTTGTGGTATCAAGTGAATGTACTACAGGAGTATTCCTGCTGGTTGCTAAACGAGTGTTGGGGGCTACAGATGACTTGGAGACTACGCTAGGCCGAGTCTCCGTCGTCGTATCACGCGAAGGGACTACAGGACTATATCTGCGAGTTGCAAAACGAGTGTTGGGGACTACAGCGGCTTGGCGGGCCGCTCGCTCGGCACGCATCTCTATCCAGGCGGCCTTCACAGAGTCAACGGGTGAAACAGAGCTAGGCTCCTCCTGTATTGCCTGTAACGACTGTGTAGTATATTGGGATCTTGACTGTAGTGACAGTGTTGACGTAGTTGTCTTGAACGATTGTGTGGTATTAGATGGTAATGACTGTTTGGCCTTTGGTGGTGGCCGGGTGTAGGATTTAGAGACAGTTGTGGCGCCTAGGCGTGGCGCATGAGTAGGTTGCGAGCGTGTCGTGGCGGTGACGCGTTCGCTACGTGTCGAACTACGTGTCGATGACGAGCGAGAAAAAGAATGTGTGCTTTGCTCTGATGGCAAATGTAGCGATTGTGTAGTTCCTTCTGGCAAGGAATCTGTGGGGTCTGTTAGTAATGATCGTTTAGCAGATCTGAGGACAGATCTGCCAGTTGGGCGGGCTGGAAGAGGGAGTGGTGAGACTTCAGCACAGAGAGAACGCGTGGCGGTGCACTCTTTCCGTGTCGAAGATGGGCGGAAGGAAGACAATGTTGAGAAATGTAGTGACTGTGTTGTTCGTTCTGGTAGTGACAAGTTAGCATTTGAAGGTGCTGCAGGAGCGGGATGATAGGTATGAGCAGGCAAGAGACGCGTGGCAGCGCGCTCTTTACGAGCAAGATGAGTGCTGATGGAAGGAAGAGTGGATGGCATGGAGGAGAGCGTTGACTGAGTGCTGGAAGGCATCGTGTTGGTGAGAAAGCTGGAAAATTGTTTGGAAACAATGATCGAGCAGAGTGTGGAGGAGTGATGTGTGAGAAAGAAAGAGAGAGGGAGAACGGAGTTCTTTTACGGGCAGCAGCGACTTGGCACGCTAGGAAGTCACATGAGCAAGGTGGTCAGTGAGGACGCTCTGTCAACGCTAGACAGCCAAGAGAGACCCGTGGACACACGTAGAATCCTCTCGTTGGTTCCAAGCCTCCAAGAGAGAAAGATACAGAAGCAGCCCGTCAGTTCTCGACAGCCAAGAGGTAGCATTCACACCACCTTCCGTTTTGGGCGTCCACCACAGTGGCTGCCCATTCCTTACAAGGTTTGTCCGATAGAAATGCACCCTGGTTGCAACTTCTTTTCGAAGAAATACTTGCCTGGTGACGCTTTCCGCTATACCTGGGTCGCAATTCTCAGTCTGCGCGTAGTTCTCGTTTGGTGTGTTCTTCCCTCCCTAAACCCACGCTCAAGCACTTCCACATACCCCGAACCATGCTCGTCTCTACGAAATGATTAGTCGAAACTGCTAGGAAAAATTGTTCTGGTTTTTTTCATATTTTTCTGAGCCTTCCCGTTGCAGTTCCTATCTACGAGTTCTTTTGAAACCACAAAGCCTTCAAACTCATACCCAGTCTATAGGTGAGTATGAGAATCAATCTTGACCCAAAAATCAAGTGGAGATTTATTACTTTACTTAAGCCGAAATTCTTAGGGCCCCCGGCGGTACGAATCCTCCGCGATACCTCGATGCAACTGTTCAACATGTGGCGACATCGTCTGCCTATCTATCACGACCGTTGCGACGGCACAACTTCTAGGCCTGGGTGACTTGTTGGTTAAGGACAGATAAGGCTGCAGAGAGTGTTGGCTGGGCAGTTTCTGTAGGGATTACGACCTTGGCTCTCTGATCGATCATTGGCATGCTTCTAGCAACACATGGCAGATAAATGAACATGACCATCTTTGTAAGAGTTCATTCCCTGTACACTCAATTGACTATACTAGGTCCTTCCTCTCTTTCTAAACAGTATCGCGCACTCTCATCTGCCCTTAACCATCAGCGCTCCCTGCTACCCGTTTGATAAGTCACGACAAGATCCATTTTTCACCGTACATCTCGAATTCCATCCTTTCGCTCCTCGCGAATTCACACAAGACGTACTCGAGAAATCAATTTCTTCCAGCGAGCCCAAAGCGTAATCCCATTGCTTTATGCAGCCATTTCCTCCAAAATTTGCTCTCCAAGCGTATGGTCAATAGGTCGCGCTTCTTTTGGCGGTGGCTCCGGTCGTAGCCAGGCGAAACGATAAATACCCGATCTGAAATTGTGCACAACATAGCAGCGAAGATATGACTGTGCATGTATTCTCGTGCAGCCATGTCGAAGAAAATCGTTGAACATTAGCTGGGCTTCGGGGCGGGTTCCAGACACGCTGAAGGGCCTGCCGTTCATTCATGGTTCGTTTATACCAGCGACGGCCACTCTCTCAACCCGCCCCCAAACTTGCGCTAAGCTCACGAATTCTAGAACATTCACTACAAGACACAGCAATTCTCCTTGAAGACACCTCATGGAAGAATTGGGTCGACGGAGAGTATCGCTCAGCTGTCCGAATGGCACTTCAGAATGGAGATCGACGGCCGGCTAGGGACGAGAAAAGGGCGGTAGTAGGATCCAGGCCTAGAACAGACGAAAACCGCGAGTTCAATTGAAATAGTCTTAGATCCGCTCGTGCAGTATTGGAGCGTCATCTTCATCATCATCACCAGGAGTGTCCTGTTCGCTTTGTTTGCCTTTCCGCGGTACATCGTTTGGATGAGGGTTCCCTTCATGGTGGCCGTCACCGCGCGCTCGACTCCAAAAAACCATGAAGAATAGGAAACCAAGAAGAACTGCGACTACCGTTGGCGCAGCTGGATGGCGCATGCTGCTGTATTCCTGGTGGCGCTCTTTCTTGCATGTTGCGTTGTGGTGGGGAGCTTCAAATCTCACGCTTACATAAACATGCACTAGTCCCTTTGGGGAATGATGTTTGGGTCCAAGTGGGGCGACAAGCAACAGCGCAACAAGCAGAGTTAGGCAATACGTTGTGGTCAGCCTACCTTTGGCTGGAATGGCTGTATAGCACCATTAATTCAGTGCGTCGTTATGGCTCAAAACGCGAAGATATCCAGCCTGACCGATGAGCTGATAAAGTCCATACTGAAAAGCGACCCGCAAGCCTACAAACACGCCAGAGAGATTGCAGCGCGCAACCTTCGAGGTCACCAGTATGCTCGGACAAATCAATTCGACATCACGGCAAGGTTTGCAGGCTTAGATGAGAAGTTTCGTGTCAAGAACCGGGACGACCTTGCCGATGCGCTGCAAGCACGCTTGCGAAAGCTAGAGGGCTACAAATATCAGCCAGATGTATTATCCTTGTTACTTCAACTCGCAGACCGACCTCTAGAGAACACTCAGGTCGAAGCATTAGAGCTACTCAGACCAGTCAGCCCGCCACCGCCGCTGACATGGGCGGAAATACTACAAGAAGATCCGTACAGCGATGAAGAGATCTGGAAGGACATCGATTATGGCGGAGACTCGTCAAGCGACGAAAAACCAATTAACAGGAATGACAAAAAATCACACACAGCCCCCGCTACTTTCGATATAGATGACGCCTATGACCCCGAGTCGTGTATTTTGTCAACAGACGAAACGCTTATAGCTGGGCTAGAAGAGGTCAAGTTCTGGAAGGTAGCCGAAGAGAAAGACAACAAAGTACACATTACAGAGATTCAGGCTGTACGAGAGACACTGTTTATGCTCGGCGGTCTACAGACGAGCCTGTATCGGACGAAAAGCTGGGCCCACAACACCACGCTCAGCACGAACCACATCATTGACAGCGCCCCTTCTATCGCTATCACAAATCTTCTATCTCAGTTCGTCGAAACTGGCAAGGCATTGAATAGTCTGCGCGAGTGGGCACTTCAAAAAGAGACGAAAAGCCGGTCTGTACCACGATCACCACTCCATCAAACGTTCGTGGCCGCCGTGCGGGCACGACTGCTTCGATTTGACCGTTCTCTATCCTCGCAGCAGCAGCGGTACTTGAAGCCTGAGCACTCCGTGCCTGTTTCCCTACTGCAACTGCGTAACGACGTCCGAGCCATGTCCACGCCTATTCTATCGCTCGACTCAATAAGAAAGCGCGTTGAGCTTGATCAACATGTTTTGGAGGCTCTCTTCGAACAGATTACTCTTGCGCAAATGACGTTAGATGATGTACTTTTCAGATACACATCAGAAGTCTTCTTTGAGTGCCTCGATACATTTCTTAAACCGATACGACGGTGGATGGAGACTGGGGAGCTGGCTCATGACGATGACACCCTTCCTCTCTTCGTGAACGATACACATAGCGATGCAGCCTCTTTATGGCACGATCGCTATGTGCTCAGCCTTGGTGGTCGAAATCGCTCACTATCTCCATCCTTTCTGCGACCTGTAGCAGAGAAAATATTCATCGCAGGCAAGAGTGTTGTGTTCCTAAAGGAGTTGGGCATCTATGATACAGAATCGCATGCCTCGGATCGCGAGCCAACCCTGAAACACGAGACAGTATGTGGTATATCAGATACGATTCCCCTAGCGCCTTTTCCAGAGCTCTTTCAGACGGCGTTTGAGACGTGGATTGCAAGCAAATACTCACTTGCTTCATCCGTACTTCGCCAACATATCCTAGAAACGGATGGCTTGGTGCATGTGCTGGAGAACTTTGGGACTCTATATCTGGGCAAGAATGGAGCAATTTTCGAGGACTTTGCTACTGCAATTATTGAGCGCATGGAGTCTGGACGTAGAGGATGGAACGATCGCTACGTCTTGACGGAGCTTGCGCGCGGTATTTTCGGCACAATTCTCACGGTAGCAACTGCTGAGAAGGTTGTCGTTCGCGCTACAAAGGCAAAAGCGCGAGGAAACTCAGTCAAAGACTTGGCTGCCGTGTCCATTGACTATGCGGTACGTGCAAAAGAGCGATTCCTGCCTGCTATGTCGATATCAGTAATACTAATGAGCGTCCCAGGTTCCATGGTCCATTCAAAACATTATTCAGCGCTCATCTGTACCCATATACCAGGAGATTTGTACCTTTCTCATGCAGATATACCGCGTCAAGCACGCACTACAGCGCGCCCGCATGCGTCGCTCACGAAAGCCCAAACCGCTAGCCTTTTACGGGTTATTGCATCGGCTCATGTGGTTTTCTGATGTGCTCCGATCTTACACTACCGAGACTGCCATCTTTCTTTCCACAAGAGACATGAGTGCAGCTATGGAAAAGGCCGAAGATGTCGATGAAATGGCACAGATTCATGCGGAGTATATAAAGATACTGCATCAACGAACTTTACTGTCAAAAGACTTGAAGCCAATATACAACGCTATCGTTGAGCTGCTCGACTTGGGCGTCTTGTTTGCCCAGACCAAAGGCAGTGCTGGACAGCAGGTTGACCAGGAGGTTGATAGACTCCTCCCTTTTATCGTAGCAGGTCTGCGAAGTGTGGGAAGAGCTGGTGCCGAGCCAATGTGGGAGCAGTTAGCGGATCGACTGAGTTAATGGCCTCGGAATTGAAGAAGATAAGGTTAATGAGCAATGTATGCAGTTCGATAGGCTATCATAGCGCACGTGCCATAAGTGGCGTGTCTAAATCCATGCTAGCGTGTTTATCCTGCGCCACCGCTACTCGAAACCCCGAGGCCGACGTCAACGCTCCTGGACTTTTGCGAGGCTGGATTTCTCCGCCATCGCCTTCGTCTTCGCCTTTGCTGCTCACTATGGCGCTTCCCAAGGGCATGCGCTACTTGGCTGGCGCCACTGTCTGCATTTTGCTTTATCTATTCGTGCAGATTCTCCATGCACCCAATTCCGAGACACCAATAGAGATTCCGAGCAAGCTTCCGAGCAAGCTTCCGACCAACAAGTTCGGCGATTGGGATCATGACCCTCAATTGGATCGTAAGACTCCAAACGCGTATGTAAAGTGAATGTGCTAATGAAACGAATAGCTTCTGGAGAACCTCCCGAGCCGCTCCGACGCATCGATGGTGACAACTACGCCCCGAATAACCCTTCGAGCGCCCGTATCAACGCGACGATTCTCAGTTTGGTGCGAAATGAGGAGCTCGAAGATATGCTGAAGAGTATGCGCGATCTTGAACGCACGTGGAATCACAAGTTCAATTATCCTTGGACCTTCTTCAATGACAAGCCCTTTACCGAAGAGTTCAAGAAGGCCACACGCGCAGCCACCAATGCCGAAGTACGATACGAGCTAGTTCCTGCCGAACACTGGGATATACCGTCGTGGATCAATATGGACCTGTATCGCGAGTCGGTTTCGCTGCTCACATCGTTAGAGGTCCAATACATGGAGAAGCAGTCATATCACCAAATGTGTCGATGGAACAGCGGCATGTTCAGCGAGCATCCTGCACTCAAGGATATTCAATACTACTGGAGGGTGGAACCAAATGTTCACTTCTTTTGCGACATCGACTATGACGTGTTTGCGTGGATGCAGGACCACAACAAGACGTATGGCTTCAATATCAACATCTACGACAACGCCGACAGTGTCGCAACATTATGGCCGGAAACCAAGAAGTTCATAGATGACAATCCAGGATACGTACATCCTAATAACGCGCGAGAGTGGCTAGAGGACGGCCAGCGTCGACCTGAGAACAACCAGAAAGCCCATGGTTACTCCACATGCCATTTCTGGTCGAATTTCGAGATAGGCGACCTGAGTTTCTGGCGGAGTAAAAAGTATCGCGAATACTTTGATCATCTCGACCGCGCTGGAGGCTTCTTTTACGAACGCTGGGGTGATGCACCAGTTCACAGTGTCGCGCTTGGATTGTTCGAAGATAAGAACAAGATACACTGGTTCAGAGATATCGGATACCAGCACATACCCTTCTTCAACTGCCCGAACAACCCAAAATGCTCCGGTTGCGTCACGGGTCGATTCACAGATGGCGAGAAGTGGCTCAACAGGGAAGATTGTCGGCCGTTGTGGTTCAAGTACGTCGGCATGGATTGAAGGCGTGTCATATCGTTGATCGTTCCACGCGCTTTGTGAGATAATGCAGAGCTTTGTATTGGCTTAGTGTATAGTAGGTATGGCTTTAAGTCACCAGGTTCATCCATGGAGGATTGTTTTCTCTGCGCTTAAGGCGTTTTGCGTGGCCTAATATCTAGCGGCTCTCATTTCGGCAACATAGTTTTACATGGCTTAATAGCTTATATACCATAGACGCAATGACATTTACGATATACTCCAAGATGTAGCTGGACTTTGAATAGTTTTCTGATCTGTGCACGCTTTCGACAACGAACTGGAACGGGTGTTGTAGGTGCTTCATAGCGGGACAAGGTTCGTAGACGTGGTTGTCTCATCTCCCTCATAGAGAACTACGACATCGACATGGTGTTATCTCGATGGCGGGGTAGTGAGCCGACAATAAGCGGGTCACCCCCAGAGCATATTCCAGGAGCCATCGCCATCAGGCAACAGTGAATGGTACCGATATCGGATGAGAACGCTGAGTTATAAACGGGTAACAAGAGAAGACTGTCAGCATACAAGTTCAGCTTAGCACACATCTCATCCCAAACCAGCCACCCACCTACTCCCACATCATGACCTTCACTATTCTAACCGACACAACAATTCGCACCCTCCTCCACTCCCTCACTCCCACCACCGCCTATACCCTCGCCTTAACCCTCTCCCACGCCCTATCTCAATACACCCTATCCGAAGAAGCCGCCTACCAACCCCACCGCACCAGCATCGTGCGTCCAGACGGGCAAGTCAGCCTTTTCATGCCCGCCACAACGCCCACATCAATCGGTGTTAAAATAGTTGGCGTCGCTCCCTCCACGCCAGCTCCAGCCCCGGCAGCAGCAGGAGAAGAGGAAGAGACTCCGCAGCCCGGTCTACGAAGCGTACTTACCATCTGTGACGAGCGTGGCCAAGCTGTAGGTGTGCTCAATGCAGCGGAGTTGACAGCGTTTCGAACGGCGTTGGGGAGTATGCTACTCCTCCTACACAGGAAACAAGTGGCCGATGTTATTGTTTTCGGGGCGGGGAAACAGGCGGAGTGGCATGTTAGACTTGCTATCTTATTGCAGCCAGATAAGGTTAAAAAAATTACTTTTATCAATCGATCCAGCGCGAGGGCGAGGGAGTTGGTGGCGAGACTGAAAGCTGAGAGCGTGGGTGGAGGAGATGTTGAAATGAGTGTTTTTGAGGGAGCGGAGGACGGGCTGAAGGGACTGGTGCAGGGGGCTGATGTGGTATTTTGCACGACACCTAGTACGAAACCGCTTTTTTCAGGGGAGTGGGTAATGGGAGAGGGCAGAGGCAAGGGGAGGTATGTGGCGGCTATTGGATCGTATCGGTTAGATATGCAGGAGATTGACCCGAGGATTTTGGAGAAGATTGTTGATCCTTCTGGACCGTTTTCTGGAGAATTTCACAGAGAGTGGGTTGTTGTTGATAGTATCAAGGGGTGTATGGATGAAGCTGGGGAGTTGGTGGCTGCAGGGTTGAAGCCGGAGCAGATGGTTGAAGTGGGCAGGATGGGTGAGTTGAGGGAAGAGAAGGGTGTGCAGGAGTGGCTTGGAGAGGGGTTTGTGGTGTATAAGAGCGTTGGGGTGGGGATTATGGATATTGCGATTGGGAGGGCGTTGATGGAGTTGGCGAGGGAGAAGGGGGTTGGGATGCATTTGGAGGATTTTTGAGATCATGGATTGCAGTGTGTATGTAAATCTTGTATGGATATTTTGTTCCTTTGTCTATACATTGAAGCTGTTAACTATCATTGATACGTGTACAAAGACTAGATTTATGCATTAATCGTATTACGGCACATTTATCTTGATTGCTAGTAAACAGCAATTCGAATTCCTTAGATATTATCTAGGGTTAGCCATATCACTGGACAACTTGATGTCGCGATTATCAACTTGAAGCCCGCTCATAAAACAATAAGATTAGAGCAAGTAGAATTGGTGATGGCGTTTATGGCGTCGTGGTGGGGTGAAGACGACCAGGTCACCCCTGCCAAAATTTTGGGAAACTTTCACCCCGCCATGTGACGATGCGCCGCCCACCATCGCCTTCGTCTTCGGACACCCGCGCTTTCGACTTCACGACATCAATCAGGCGTCACAAAACATGGCGTCGACTGAGGATCCCTACCTCATCCTTCCGGGCTCGTCGGCCCATTCCGACTTTCGCCTGCAGCGTCTGGCGCAAGCAATTGGCGCAAAGGAAGTTCGCTCGCTATGGGTCCATTTTGTCAACCCACTGAAGGAGCTGAGCGATGAGGAATTGAAGACGCTGCAGCAGATTTTGCACTATGGCGAATATCCCAGCAGCACCGACCGCCTCTCCCAGACGCTCATTGACGCTATCAACCGTGGCGGCGAACCTCGCGACGATAATACGGTTCTCTTCTACGTGTGTCCCCGTGCTGGCACCATATCGCCATGGAGCTCCCTCGCCTCTATGATTGCGCGCACCTGCACGCTCGAAAATGCTGTCAAGCGCATCGAGCGCGGTATGGTCATCGCAGCCACCTTTGACAACGTGCCCGGAGCCGACGAGATCCCTAATCGCGACCACCTCTACGACCGCATGACGCAGACCATCAGTCGCCAGGCCCCGAACCTGGAAGCTATTTTCGGCGAGAGCGAGCCTGCTCAGGCGACTACCATCAGCTTCGACGAGTATAGCAGCGCCCATGCTGCGTTGGAACACGCAAATCGGGAGTTGGGGCTGGCCATGGACAAGTCGGAGATTGAATATCTAGTTGAGGCATACACGCAGGAGTTGAAAAGAGGACCGGTGGACGTGGAGCTCTTCATGTTTGCTCAGGTCAACTCGGAGCACTGCAGGCACAAGCAGTTTAACGCCGACTTCACTGTCGACGGTATGCATAAGCCTATGTCGCTGTTCGGTATGATCCGGAACACCCATAAGCAACACCCCCAGCACGTTATCAGCGCATACAGCGACAATGCTGCCGTTCTTGCGGGTGAGGAGGCGAGCTTCTGGGCTCCTAATGATCTCACTGGCGAGTGGAATGGCACCAAGGAGACGGTACACATTCTATGCAAGGTGGAGACACACAACCACCCGACAGCGGTATCGCCGTTCCCTGGAGCTGCTACCGGATCAGGAGGCGAGATCAGAGATGAGGGTGCTGTGGGACGTGGTTCCAAGCCAAAAGCTGGCCTGGCAGGATTCACTGTGTCAGACCTACTCCTAGAGGGCTTTGAGAGACCTTGGGAGCTCAAGGATGTCGGAAAGCCTGCCCATATCGCTAGCAGCAAGGACATAATGCTCGAGGCACCTATCGGAAGTGCCCAGTTTAACAACGAATTCGGACGCCCGTGTACAGTTGGTTACTTCCGTACCATGCTCATGCGCGTCTTCACAAACGAGAAGGAATCCGAGATCCGGGGTTACCATAAGCCCATCATGCTAGCGGGTGGTGTGGGAACAGTCAGGCCACAACACGCTCTCAAGGACCCCGATATCGTACCAGCCGGCTCACATCTCCTCGTTATTGGTGGGCCTGCCATGCTGATTGGCCTCGGTGGCGGTGCAGCTTCCAGTATCCAGTCTGGAGAAGGCAAGGTTGATCTTGACTTTGCTAGTGTGCAGAGAGGCAACCCCGAAGTTCAAAGGCGAGCGCAAGAGGTCATTGACACATGTCGTTCCATGGGCGACTCGAACCCTATCCTCTTCATTCACGATGTAGGCGCAGGTGGTCTGTCCAACGCCCTCCCTGAACTTGTTCACGACTCCGGTCTGGGTGCCATCTTCGAACTACGCGAGATAGACAACGTAGATAAGGGTATGAGCCCGCTGCAGATTTGGTGCTGTGAGGCTCAAGAGCGATACGTTCTAGCAGTCGCTCCTGATCAGCTGGACTTGTTCAAGCGCATATGCCATCGAGAACGATGCGGCTACTCCGTGGTTGGCAAGGCTACCAAAGAACAGCGCCTGGTGTTGACCGACAGAGATTCCAAGGAGAACCCCACACCCATCGATCTTCCTATGGAAACACTCTTTGGAAAGCCACCAAAGATGTCTCGCATTGTTGAAACCCGAAAGTTGAGACTCCCTGCTTTCGACAGCACCTTGTCCATGTACATTCCTGATACACCCAAGGACGGCCTTGTCGCCGAAGCCGTTGACCGGGTTCTCACTCTACCCTCTGTAGGATCTAAGTCTTTCTTGATCACTATTGGAGATCGAACAGTCGGCGGTCTTACTGCTCGTGATCAAATGGTCGGCAAGTGGCAGACTCCGGTAGCTGATGTATCGGTAACAGCTACATCATTACTGGCAGGCGTCAAAACCGGTGAAGCCATGTCGATGGGCGAGAAGCCTACTCTGGCTCTCATCTCACCAGCAGCATCGGCTAGGATGGCTGTAGCAGAATCACTCATGAACATTGCTGCAGCCAGTCTCTTTGACAGGCTGTCCAGGGTCAGGCTTTCGGCAAACTGGATGTCTGCAAGCAGTCACCCTGGAGAGGGCGCAGCTTTGTATGAGGCTGTTGAGGCCATTGGTATGGATCTCTGCCCTAAGCTTGGTATTTCCATCCCTGTCGGTAAGGACTCCATGAGTATGAAGATGAAGTGGTCAGACGACGGTGAGGCCAAGGAAGTCACTGCCCCCATGTCGCTCGTCATTACAGCATTCGCACCAGTTGACCGTATCGACCGCACATGGACGCCTGCTCTGGAACGACTAGAGAGTGTTGGTGAAACAGTCATCATGTACGTCGATCTAGCAGCCGGTAAGAAGCACCTCGGTGGTTCTGCTTTGGCACAGACTTTCGGCCAGGTCGGCGATGAAGCGCCCGACGTCTACGATGCCGATATCATCAAGGACTACTTTGATGCCATTGAGCAACTTCACGAATCTGGCGTTGTGCTTGCCTACCACGACAGGTCAGACGGTGGTCTCTTCACTACACTTGTTGAGATGGCTTTCGCCGGTCGCTGTGGTCTTGAGGTCATGCTCGACAAGGTTGCTGCATCAAGCGAACCAAAGGACGTGCTAGAGGCCCTTTTTAATGAGGAACTTGGTGCCGTTTTCCAAATCAGAAAGAAGGACGAAACTGCATTCAACCGTTGCTTTGCTACCTGCGGACCACCACCAGGTATGATCAGGAAGATAGGCCGAGTACCCGAAGCTTCGAAACAAGACATCTCTTTCTACGTTGGTACACAAAATGTCTACCGCAATAGCCGATCCAAGCTCCAGCAACGGTGGGCAGAGACCTCATATCGCATGCAGAAGCTCCGCGACAACCCCGTCTGTGCCGACGCCGAGTTCGAGAAGATCCTCGACAACAAGGACCCAGGTCTCTCATACAACCTCACTTTCAAGCCTACTGAGAACATAATACCCCTTATGTCTAACCTCAGGTCACCTTTTACCGCCAAGCCTCGCGTTGCTGTCCTGAGAGAAGAGGGTGTGAACGGTCAGGCTGAGATGGCATTCGCTTTCCACCAGGCCGGCTTTTCTGCCATCGACGTACACATGACTGATATTGTCTCGTCGCGAGTATCGCTCGCCGGATTCGTCGGTCTCGCAGCATGCGGTGGTTTCTCCTACGGCGATGTCCTCGGCGCAGGTCAAGGTTGGGCCAAGTCCGTACTCTTGCACCCCAACACACGCAAAGAATTCCAATCCTTCTTTGCACGCCCAGACACCTTTGCTCTTGGTGTCTGCAACGGCTGTCAATTCATGAGCAAGCTGAAAGAGCTTATCCCGGGCGCAGAACTCTGGCCAAGCTTTGAGCGAAACGCCAGTGAACAATACGAAGCACGTGTCTGCATGGTCGAAGTCATCGACCCCAAGGGCCCTAACACGTCTCCCTCCGTCTTCCTTCACGGAATGAATGGATCCAAACTACCCATCGTCACCGCACACGGCGAGGGACGCGCACACTTCTCTAGCTCTGCCACTTCGCCTTCTACCCCGCAAGCACTGTACCAAGAAAACCTCGTCTCTCTTCGCTACGTGGACAACTATGGTCAGCAGACTGAGGCTTATCCATACAACCCCAACGGCAGTCCTCTTGGTATTACTGGTGTGAGGAGCACGGATGGTAGGGTGTTGGCGCTTATGCCGCATCCCGAGCGTACTATCTTGAAGGAAGTGGGAAGTTATATCCCGAGAGATACGGAGGGCTGGGGTGAATTGGGGCCTTGGTCACGCATGTTTAAGAGTGCTAGGCGGTGGGTTGGGTAGGTGGATGATGTGTGTGTGTGTGTGTGTGGAAAAGCATGCATGGGATGATCGGCGTTTATGGACGGATGTTTGTTGTTTTGTTAGGAGCTCAGTGCATGTATTGATCAACGATGTATGGGAATTAGAAATTCGATGAAGATTTTCGATGCCAATATCGGTGTGTTTGGACTGATCATGCTTTTTCCCGTGCATTTTAGTCCTGTCGTTGTTGAGTGATCGCCGGCGATAAATCGGCGGACTTGCCTAGCAACTTGGGCCCTGGTCAACAGCCATCTTGATCTCGGTAGGCAGAAGACGTGAATGGGATTGGTAATAATGATGTCATTGCTATTATCACATAAGTTGTGTTTTATGATGAGCTGTCGGTTGTTTGATTTTACTTTGTTCTTTATATATACCACAACAGCAAGCGTATTTCGGATGACTTGGATGATGAAAGTCATCTTATTTAGGTATCTTCGCGCATTTCAAACATCTCGGAAGGTTTGCATGAACGGTGTGGCAGGCACGTGCGGTGTCTAAGACGTGGCGCCATTCTAGCTCTAACTACCGCTGATCCATCCAGCCTTTCACGACGATCCAAGATCGGCACAAACAACCGTGAAAACCTGCCAAAAAACGTAAACAGCCCCTGCGAAACATACCCAAAAACGTTTGTGTAATCCCCGTCTGAGAAAATCCTTCATCCAATGAAGACGGCTCCATGGCAATTTTCAGCAGCGCAGGGATCCCAGCCGGCTAAAAGCGGCCTAGTCACAACACTCCTTTCTCGTACCGGCAGGGCCTAAGAGCGGAGCCGCGCCGGACGATCATCTTAGCTACTTGGAGACACATTGTGGACACAGCAGCTTGCATTTTCTACTATATTTCATCACCGGGGGCTCGTAAACGGGATTAAGCAACAAGCCTATGTCCCGCCCGTTCACGCAATCTATTTGCTAAATCCTTGTGTTGTGGCAACGCGTGCAACAGTCTGTCGTTACCTCGTCCCCCCTTTCTTGTGTATGAAACGTTGACGACGTTGTTTGTTGGGATCAACGTCGGGAACTATGGTGTCGGTGTCGTGGTGGCCAGAGACTCGATTGGAATGGGCTTTCTTTCTTACAACGGCTATCCAAGCCGTTACGAATACGACGATTCAAGTGTAAGTAAAATCCTACCCGAAACGAAAAAACCCGTGTTTTACCCCATTTATCGTATTTCCATGTGATCAACTAACGCCTACCCCATCAGCACCATACTAGTCGTCTATCTCAACTGGGTAAACTCCGTCGTCTACCAAGTCCCACTATCCTACGTCACGCCCATCACCCTCGGCATCAACACCCTAGGCGTTATCTACCAAATGGTGCTAACCCTTGACGCCTACCGCATCAAAAACCACATTCAAATCTTCGTGCAATGCGCCGCCAATGTCTGCCTAGCCGTCTCCACTGTGTTGCAGTACACGGAGTTGAGGGAGGCGGCGGCCAGGATTATCAAAGGTCAAGACATGTATAATACACCGTTTGCTAAACTCGAGTGGCCGTTTTGGAAAAAGACTTCGCCAGGCTTGATGGTGTGTACGAGTTTGACGTGTGTTTGTAGCGTCGTTATGTGTGCGTTGGCACTGGGGTTGTATCGTGAGTTTCGGTGGGCGCTGTATCAGCATGTTAGTCCTGATAGGAGGGTGCAGCATAAGTATTTTGTTTACCAGGTTAGTAATGTTGGGGATGTTGATGCTAAAGGGGTGTGTTTACTGACGCAAACAATAGGTCTATCTGGTCCTCCTGAAATATACGCCATATTTTATCTTTGCTTTTATCTTCATATACACGTTCATCGACGTTCATTTCACGCAGCCGGAGTTCTCGTTGACTATCGCGATTATGCCGGCGATTCTGCTGCATGTCGGTATCGCTGTGTATACGGTTAGACACGAGAAACGTTTTGTAATGACGGTTGTATTAGTAAGTATTCCCACCCCCTCGATTCCCTACTTCGCTGACTGCATGTTCTTCTTCAAGCTCGGTCATGCCGCTTATATCGCGTATCTGGTCAGCAGACTAGTCGTTCTCTACGGCAACTCGCAACTTGCCAATACGTGGATGAAAGACCAAATGGTCTTTTACGTCTGTGTCGGTCTGGGTTTCTCAGTTATTACGCTCGTGGTGGGGTGTATATGCTTGTGGAACTTCAATAAGGGGTTGAAACCTATTCTGCTGGGTCAGGTCCAGCGCAAGATACGGCCGAATGAGGTGGAGACGGATTATTATGTTCAGCGGCTCAATTACAACATCGTGCCGTTGGCGGATCGAGATTCACAGAGATTTGCATTGGATTGAACATATGGCGTTTCCATCTTTTTCGGGGGTTTGCGGGTTTGGCGTTGGGAAGAGCGTGTGGTAGAAGTTGAATTTGTAAATAGAGTGGTCATGGTTGCTGCTAAAACCCCGGCGTTCATACAAAGGAGGGAAACCTGATTATCTTTGTTTACAAGACACACTTAATCACAATACTATGACCGAAACTGATTTTGCGTTTGACCACTTAGATACTCTTGGATCCGGTAGATTCGACCGAAGAGAGGGGTTGGGATGGCAAACCCGAGTGTATAGCTGCTGCCGTACTAGCTGACATTGGCCATGTTAGTGATGGCGTTCTAAGGTACGTCATGGCGGTGGTTGGGGTTGGTTAGTGAGGGGTAGGTGGTGGAGTGTGGGGATGTGGTACCGATGATCATTCGGTTTAGGGAAGCGAGAAAGGAGAAGCATATGCGATATAGGGTACCTGCTCCATTCATACATGATTAGCTTTCAGCAGAATAAGTTCATCTATGTGTCCTCACCTCGAGTATCAAGATAATACTTAAGAGACATAACTATATGTTTCTCCTAGGTGCAATATCAAATCCACCTAGACAGAGCTAGTCTCGAGCCTACATGGTAACCTTTGCTATTTATGTACTATCTAAGGGTATATACTCTCGCTCCGTTGTCATCTTTGTTCCATTTGTAATCCTTTCTCAATGGACTTTTATCATCTTCGACTTAAATAATCAGATGTCGGTTGAGAGAAGCCAATTTAAGCAACATGTTCTGGAGCGTTGTGCATGGTGAGTGGTACGTGACAACTGCTTTTGTAATGGGGGTCGGTTGCTGCCTAGTCTACCCCCGCTTCTTGAAGGATCTCTTGGGGCTTTTTTTTCCAACATTCTGTTCTTAGATGTAACTAGCCCAGCGCATCTCTTAAAGGTCCAAAGTCACCCCGGAAATTTGCAGTTCTTTGCCTTCTCCCACTCTGATCTCCCACAATTAACTCAAGTCGTATTCTATCTACCCGAGATCCCATTTACCTACAATACCTGCCTGTTTTACTACAATTCATTTGGTACCATCCCCGCCTACATCATCTGGATTAAATGCAAAAACTGCATATAGTTCTAGAAAACAACACGTCCATTCGTGGTGGATCAAGGTAGTCGGCACGATCAACACCTACCCAGGCAAACCTTTGTCAACTCGCACAGCATCAATTTCCATCTAACTACCCCACTGCGGCCCGCCCCGAGTAAACAGCTCACCTCACAACTCTTTTGTTCGTCTGATCTACGTAAACCATTACAAGCGCCTAAATTTCATATCAATCAAAGTTCGGGTCACGGGTCTAGCGACAACGGCCAACTCACACAATGGCGGAGCAACCTCAACCTCACAATCTCAGCAGCATGTCAATACAATTTCGTAGCGCTGTGGATGGTCTGACAAATGAATGGGGATATATCATTGTGCGTACCGATTACGCCACTGAAATCGACGAAGCACAGTGGACGGCCGCCTTGGAGAAGCTACGAGCCTATGCTGGTCCACACCCAAACGACACCGCACAGGAGAGCAGAACCCTTGCGCTACCCGTCATAGCCGACAACAAAATCCTCTGCGACGCCGACTATGCCACCTTGCGCAAGGCTTTCAACGGCTGGGTAGACGATTACAGTGGTCAAGACAAGAAGTGGCCGTCCGACATTCGCGACGATTGCTTCATCGTCATTGATAAGCTTGCGCTGGACTCGTTGCTCAACGCGCCAGACAATGTTCCCGGTGAGGTTCTAAAATTTCAGAACCCCGACATGGAGCCGTGGGTTGTCATAGTCGACTCCGAAGATCCGGCGAGCTTTTATTACAATGGAGGAGGCCCGTATATGGGCTTCACGAGGGTGAATACATACGGCGGCCTGGGCGAACTGTTTCTCGATCTATCATGCGATCTGTCTCTGGAAGAGAAGACTCCTATCGGAAGATATGATGGCCAAATCCCACTTTTCGACGGTACTCCGAAGGGCAAGCTGGTCGATCCCGCTGGAGGAGTGGAGGAACGTCACAAGTTTCCCTATGCTACGCCGGAGGGACCCGAAGGTGCACAGGCCATGTTGGACCAGATCAACCAAGCTTTGGGTACATCATATACTTTGCGTGACGACTCCGACTCCGACTAGATCTCTTTACCGAAAGCACGTTGCATAGGTAATGCGAATCGGGAGAGTAGTGCGATGGATGGTGATATTGGACTTATCTTTGTGGGTCTGAGTAGCTCCACGAGTCGGGGTGACATGGCTTTACATCTTGCTGGATGATTTCTTTTCTTGCCATCTCAATCTTCAGACTCTTCTGTCTTAGCTATGGTCGGAGTTCTGGAGCCTGCGCGGACTGTTACTTTAGCTAGACCTTTTCAGTTTCATAGTCACTGCGTGGAGATTACCAAAAAATGTGAAGGACAACTTTATCAACGAAAGCCCCCACTTGAAAATGTGAGACTGTGTTGAAAGGAGACAAGATTCTTCGCCAGACGACCTGGTATTCTTCTCTAAGTGTCGCAATCACTGCATCCGCCGCTCAATTTCATCCTTCAGGTAATCAGTACTATCTACTCACGGCGAATGAACGGCAACATTTCCATCACTCGAACCAAAATGTTCACTATAACTCTGGAAAATGGCAATGATGATATGCATTATGTAAGAAATATACATTAAACTAACTACATGATATATAGCGATAGAGAGAGACTTCCGAGTTGGACTTTTTTGGTCAGACATAAAAGAGCGATCGAGCATAACGAGCGTTGGGAGACATCCAGGATTTACGCGCGCGCTCCATAAAAAAAAAACTTTACGGCAGTACAACTTGCACTGTCCTAGCAATACTAGGCACTCCCTCCTTGGAAATGACGAACAAGTAGTAAGCGCCGGGGATGAGAATACCGCTGTCATTGGGCAGGGTGACAGTGCACTTGTTGGCGTTGTTGTTCACATTGGATAGGGGAACTCGTCGCTGGTCGGTGTTGAGGGAGTGTGTAACGCTGCCGATACGGACCAGGGTAAATTGTAGACCGGGAACCCACTTTTCGACTTCGATGGTCAGCTTGCCGCCGACCTTGACGCTGTTGGCACTCAGCGAGCTAATGGTTGGTCGTGCGGCGGGGGTGCCGTCTGCGTTGAAAAGGTAGGGTGGGGAGAAGATCTGGCCATCGGCGTGGTCGACGAGTTTGTTGCAGTTGGCAGAGCTGCGACCGACTCCCTGGGCGACGTAGCAGAGACCACCGCCACCGCTGAAGACGCGTCCATCAGCGAGGAGAATGCTAACAGAGTGGTAGTTTCGGGGTACGGCTTCCGGTGCGAGGGTCTTCCAGGACTTGGTCGCTGGGTTGAAAAGCTCGGGGTATAGGGCGCCATCATCGTCGGTGAAGACCTTGGAGCGTTTCTGGCCACCAGTTACTAGGACGGTTCCATCAGGCAAGACAACGGCGTTGGAAAAGCCACGGGGATAAACCATGTCTGCGACACGCTCGACCTTCGCGGGAGTGTTGGGCTCGCCAATGGTCGTAATGTGGGCTCGAGCATTGGCGTCGGAGTTGGTGTAATCGGGAGAGCCTCCAGCAGAGAAGATCTTGCCAGAGGTCGCGTCGTACATGACAGAGATGCCGCACATGGCGTCGTCAATGGTGTCTCGGATGCCAGCGGCCACTTGTGATCCGGTGCCTTTTGTGCCGTACCAGTTCATAGCTTTGCTTGGCCCGGCTTGGAAAACGGAGGCGTTCTTCCAGCCAAATAGCCAAGCGTGGTTGTCTTCACGCCAGATGCCCTCGCGATCGGTCGTAAGCATTGGCTTCACTCTTGCGTTGGGTAGAGCCGTCCAGGTGTTGGTGACCGGGTCGTAAACCTCGCCATCCTTGCCCTTACGGGGACCAGAGTATGCGCCTCCAATGGTGAAGATACGGTTGTCAGATGTCGTAGCAGATGATTGGTAGCCACGAGCCATTTTCATGTCAGGCGCCGAAATGAACGCGTTGGTAGTAGGGTTGTAAACACTGGTTTTCGCAGCATCGGATCCTCCCTGGATAACAAGGCGGCCGTCCTGAAGACTGCTCATTGCAGGGCAGAACATGTCGTGGTGAGTGTTGCTCACCGTGCGAGCTGAGACGGCACCACTGGATACGATTAGTATGCGTTTGAGAAGTGGACTATGGGCAAGACATACGTGTTGAAGTTGTAATCGGCAAACTGCGTTTTTCCACCTGCACCACCGAATGCATCCACACCCCAACTGGAGAATACAAGCAAACGTTTCGAGACAGGATACTCAGGGACAACATATGCAGCGACCGGGATGACTGGGAGGCGGATGAGATCGGACCATTCACCATTCTGTGCAGGAGCTGGTGCCTCATTAAGACGCATCACATCGTAACGCTTGTCGGTAGACCAGATCAATGTGTTACTGCGTGCATCGGCCTTGATGTGACAAGCCAAACCCGCTACGTCGTAAACAGCAGCTTTGCATGTTGCCCAGTTTGCGCAGAGATACGCGCACTGGTCAAAGGTTTTGACACCTTTCCATAACTTCTCAGTTGGTCCACGAATGTCGGTTCCTGGGCAGATGCTGTAGGTTTTCTTGCGTGACGCGTTAGCATATGACACAATCTACTACGTTTCGCCAACTTACTCGGTTCCTGTGGTAGGTCCATTCATTTTGAGGGCAGCGAGCGATGTTGACTTGCTCCGCTTGAATCACTTGATAGCGAGTATTGGCAACCCAAGTCAAGCCAGCAACCTCCTTGAAATGACAGTCCTTGGTGCGATTGTCGTATACTGCCTTGAAGCAGTCCATACTCGCGTCGCATAACTTCGCGCATGCTTCCACCGAAGCAATCTTGGGCTTTACTGTTACAGTAGGCCCAGTAAGATCCGTACCGGGACACACTCGGTAACGAATACCTTGGGAACCAGTGAAGATGGTGTCTGTACCGGGGCAAGCATTAAGGGCGTTGGTAAATTGGAAAAGAAGGGACGCCGAAAGAACGGCAAGAGATTTGTGGAGCTGCATCCTGGATGTCAAAGCAGTATGCTGGCCTACAGAGCACTGGAGGGACTGGGCGACAACATGATATATACCAGTCCAGACTACAAATTCTATATTTGTAACCTGCTCATAGGACGTCGCCAAAGCGGCTACTGGCGTGACGTGAGCGCGAGGGGTGTAAACCTAGCTTCGAATCGGCGTAATACACTACTAAGAAAGGAACCACCATGAGTAGCCATCCTTGGCGAGATCGTTCATTTCTCCTGTTTTGCTTTGTTCGATAGCGCTAGAGGCACATGCTAGGGACCACTGACAGGGGCTCTTGGCAACCGTAGCGGGCCGGAACCCAGACGTAGGCTAGTGGCGATGCTACTATCGGTAGGCTCGGCCTTCGTGGAGTCATGGAAACGGCTGCGCCTCCAAAACATGAGAACGTCTTCCGGTTCCTGCGTTACGATAACGCCTATCTTCTCGAGAGTCATGTGCCGTGCGGCCCATGTCTCTCACTCTTTTGCTGTGGGTCCATTAGCATACATGAAGTAATTTCTGTCTATACATTACTGTTGATGGAATATGTATAATTCCAAAAGATGATGTGAAGTGGTGGACAATCTTTTGTGTGCCAACAACCCATTGTTGTGTTCCCGCCACGCTGCCTGAAACGCCAAGCCCACCTTTCCACCCCATCCCTGCGCCCATCAGGGACACGTTGTCTGCAAGGACAACGGTGGTCAATAAACACCGTCAAATTACCGCCCCTGTCTCCACCGCATAAGCAGATATCAATAGCGTGCCGGAATGCCATGGCAACTCCACCCAAGGCCGCTACCTACCAGCACAACAGACCGAACAGTTCCCCAGATCACGGACACAGTCCATCTGTCCCGCCGATGACACATGATAGCTGAAGTACAGTAGCCTGCGAGGCATTCCAGTAGGGCAAGTAGAGAAATGAGAGTGACTCGCGTGGGGAGGACGACGGCAGCTGGTATGTGGGGCTGTATACCTCTAGTGCGGATGTGCGGGCGGGTAAGAAGAACGATATATTGATATTCCCTAAAGAGGACTTTTGAAGGATTGCGGGTGTTCGAAGAATGTTTCACGAGTCGACGGCTATCGCTCTGCTCGCAAGGGAATAGGAGGTTATGTGGCGCGGAGAACATGTCCGTGGCTGTGTTACTGCTCATTGCGCGTGTAATTGAACACACACAACTTCGAGACTGCGAAAAGGTTCTCTAAGTCTCCCAGAGTCTGACGAAGTGCAGGTCATCGTGAGCGAGCTCACCATCCTTGACCAGGCATCGCGCTCCAGTTGGGCGCCGACCAGTTCCACTGCGTACTTTCGAAGCCTATCGAATCGTGCGTGGGGGCTATGGGAAAGGGTTCCATACCCATGTTCATCTGATCGTACTGGCCATGTAGTGGGTAAAGGCTATCCTGGTCTGCAAGCACAGGGGCGTTTGGATTGATGTCCTCGGTTACCGGCAGTTGATCTCGCAGCGCTGCTGCTCTTTCTTCCATGTGATCCATCCTCTGTTTGATTCGAGCTACAATTGTTGGTGTTTCTGATTGCCCCGGCGCGGCCTCTCGTGCAGCCCACGCTTGAAGTATAAGTCCTGCAAATATTGAGAAAAAGGGATTGTTGGGTCTGTTCTCCATCGGATTGTCCTTGTGCTCAAGACCCATGAACCGAGCTTCGCAATTAGCACTCATCACTTCCCACGCACGGCTTGCGTGGTCGGAAAGCGGCCGTTGTTTCAGATCCCGAGCCAAGTGAACATAGGCTGGGAAAGGAAAGTGTAGGTATATCAGCCAGCGGTAGCCCGTGATTTTAGAGGGCTGCATGAGTGCTGTGTCGCATTCAAGCATATTGCAAGCATGCCGGAGACCTTCGTCTCTTTGCTCGGTCGCTTCCTCTTCTGGTTCTGGAGCTCTGGTGGATAGATAGTTTGCGAACCGGATTTTTGCCAGTGAATAACGTGTCCACCAAATCGTCATGAAGTGCAGTGGGTTTTGAGCATCGCAGCGCGCAAGACATCTCGTCTCAATCATCGCCTCGAACGTCGCCAAGTCATGATGTTCCAGACCATGAGCTAGCATAGACTTCTCAGCAAAATATTTCATGCTGGGATTGACGAAATCTAAGTGAGAAGCGCTGTGGCGAATGTAATTGCCAATTCGACATCGCGTGACTGCGAATAATGCTTCGGAAGTGATCTCAAACTCGACGGGCGGATTTTTTATATCTTTTCGTAGAGCGGAATCGTTTACACTAAGTGGTACCTTGCAGTCCCACGTGGGTAGCAAAGTGGCAAGTCGTGGATCCGTCAATTCCGCTATGCGGCTATCAAAGAGCACGAGGGACCACCAGAGTCGTCGCCGCTACTTTGTGTCAGTGAAATTGGGATCACACGCATTGTCTAACGTACAAGCTCAGCCTCAAGAGCGGGATGTTTGGAGTTGACAGCTTCTGAATCGATGCCCATCCGCTGGGCGATACGCACAGCAGTCGATAGCATAGAAGCGAGTGACCGCGGGTCAGTCTGGGACTTAAGCGAAATCTACTACCGTTAGATAAATTTCTATGCGATCGTATGTAACTCACTAGATAGAGGTGGAGAGCTGTCAAGCATTCTCGGTCACTGGTCTTGAGGAATCTACAGTTTAGCAATGCCTCCCTAGCCCCCAGCTGATAGCCTCTAATAACATCCCCTCGAGGTGTCCCGAACATGTTCTGGCATTGATTTTGGGTAAGGCTGAAGACAGCCATACAGTATATGGCAAACATCAAAGCCTCCGTGTTGGGTGGAATGCTCGTCAGATCACTGGCGGCATCGATGATACGCGGCTGAAGGGTAGGGGTGTGAGTGAGCTTCAACATTGGGTCGACATTTTCCAAGTATATCTGCCAGAGTTTGAAAATCTGAGCTTGGGGTGGATGCAGGGTAGACAATTCGATGCCGGCACTGCGGGAGCAAAACAAGAGGTGTTCACTGCGATTTAACTGGTCATCATAAAGTTCATCCCAGGCTTTGACAACCTCTCGTTGTCGCAAGATAGGAGAGGAAGAGCCAGTATCATCGGAGTCCCCGTGATTGTCGTGATATGAGTCGCCATTGTCATCATCGGCGTGTGGGGTCTAAACGCCTGTTAGTCAAATTGCTGCTCAACGACGCACGCACTCACTGTTCGATTCATGACATGCCAGAAATTCTTTGGAGGATTTTTTCCATCGTATTCAATCGGCCGAGATGTCTGGGGGTTTGCTTGAGAGCTAGTGGGCGTCGCTGACACTTGTCGTGATCGCTCTGTGAGCCCCAAAGCTCTTTTTCCAGTTTGACCACGATTTGGACGACTATCCCTTCTGGCTTCCGGGCTGAGGACATGGCTTGCTAAGTTGGTATGTAAGGGTTGGAACGCAATGTTGTGTGTCTTCAGCAGATTTTCGTACTGATGAAGACGATCTAACAACTCCCGCTCAGGAAATCTGCGACGCCTCTGGCGAGGGAACGTAGCTGCAGATACGCATTGAACGCCAGCTTTGGAGCAGTTGGAACACGGGAATTTGCGATCGCACTTTACTTTTCTCTGCGCACATAACACGCAAGACTGCACGCGTGCCGGCTTATTCGTGGCTGCCGGCGGAGAAAGAACATCAACGCTATGTTCGGGCGTGATCATGTCCGACGACATTTTCCAGATAGAAAACAAGCCTACAGCCAAGCCGGGGATGATGGTTGCGTATGATAGCCAAGGTGGGGGAAAGCCTAGAGTGGATGAAGATGTAGGGCGTTAGGCCACCATGTCTAGATATGGCCATGGTTATTTCTGACGCATCCTGTACACGTGATCGGAAGTCAATGAATCGCACAAGATCATCTCAGACGTCAGCAGCGCGCGAAATAGATGACGAGAGCATAGCTGGATTCAAGTCGCGACACAATGGCAGCTTGCGTAACGCGTCGAACAAGAGAATCACCCGCTACGCATAATGCCATGCTTTCGATGACTTTGACACTAGTAGTAACAAAGCTAGATGAGCGTGTCGCGGCTGCTATCGGATGAAGATCCAGGACTCAGATGTTGAAATGGCGACACTCTCGGCGAGGTACCATCATCGACCCCTCGGTCAAATCTAAGCCCCGAGGCTATCACGTGACTATCAGACCACTCATTGATGTGCATCATTATGCAAAAGCAGGATAGAGGATAAATCTACAGGTCTGCACCTATTTAATAAGACATTGCTCAATCTTGATATCTGCAGATAGCTTTTGCAACTTTTGACTAAGCTCTTCAACCGCATGGTTCAGTTGATCATCGCTGATAGCTTCAAGGGCATCAAGTATGAATAATACGCTAGTCGTACCATCACTGAGTGCAGTCCTCGAGCATTATCTCCAATTCCACCTTCTGCAAGTCACTTCGTTATCGTCACACCAGATAGCCTCTCCGGGAGTCGGGCACTCAACAACCACCTCCCCTCCAGACTTTGTGTCAAACTGCTCGCTTCCTGTCGTAAGTTTCAAAACTGGACTGCCGTTGTACTTGTCGAGATCTTCGCCTCCAAGCGGAATCTGGTGCTTAATTGAGATTGCATTGTAGATATCGGTCAAGCGGTTCACACGTGGTAGACCTGTGTCGATGCGGCGGAGGAGTGCCTCAAGGCTATTCATGGTTTTCTTTGGTTTCGCGCCAAAGGCTTTGTAGGCTTCTTTCCACTGCGCGACATGTGGGATGGAGTTGACTGGAGTCTGTGCAAGGACTGCTTTGGCTGAAGCTTCGGCAGATGAGAGGAATGCTTCGCTGATGGAGTCCGAGGGACCTGGGGGGATGTTGGTTACGGTCATAAGCAGTGCGCGGTAGTCGGGTCGGAGTTGGAAGATCTCTGGTTCAATGCACGCATTGGCGAGGAAGTTTGTATGGTCCCCTCAGGCTGACATATTGGATGTAGTCTGGATCGAGCGACCAAGATAGATAGACAAGGACTTGAAAGAGATAGAAATGGCGATGTGCGAATTTACACCTCGCTACAGACGTCAAGGTGAGAAACGATGTGTAAAGCCGTCGCACATTCTGTCTCGACTCTCGACCATTTTATATGCTCTTTCTGCAAAACTTACGCTGAAATCCTCTGGAAATTGCGCGCCTACCTGAATTGACAACAGGGCGTGAATGTCAAAGTCTCTGTTGACATCAGGGCGGGTTCAGTCCTTCCTAGCGTGCTAGGGAGTTTTGGCTGCTCGGATGAGTTTAGTGGGGCAAAAGTCTGTCTCGCAGCTCGTATGCCGCATACCGTATTCGTATACCCGCCCCGCCCTTCCCTCATCTTCCTTCGCATATCTATGCTCGCCAACCCCTTCTCGCGAGCCTCTCGGGGAGGCGACGCGTGGTTTTCCGCAGGTCTAACCTCTTCCTACCCTAATGTCGATGACACTACACGTGTCGGCGAGCAGAGACCTTGTGACGGGAAATTCATCCCTGGGTGTCGTGTTTTTCACGTGCCCCACGACGACAGCACAAAAGCCACTGAAGTAGCAATTGACGATTGGAATGATGGGGAATTAGGCGGGGATACGAAAAATCAGGTTATGGTGTTTCAGTATAAGGGTCGGTTCCTTGCGGTCAATCATGTATGTCTGTGGTTAACCCTATTATCGTCCGATGCATGCGTTGATTGTGGGTATGTGCGTAGGAATGTCCACATTCGTCTTATCCTCTTTCCAACGGTACGCCTTTTGATATTGAGGATTTTGGTGTGACGCTAAGCTCGGGGATACAATGTCCAAAACATGATTGGTCGTTTGATCTTCATACTGGACGGTCAGATCGCGGGAGCTATAAACTTCAAGTTTGGGAGGTTCAACAGAGGAGTGGGGCGGAGGGTGAGGAGATTTGGGTGAGGAGAAAACAGAGAATTGGATAAAGCAAAACAGGGGGTTTCACAGGTAGTTGGCTTAATGGCAAACATATCTACATTGCATGAAACATTCCTCTCCCTACAATTTGATACCTGTAACCTCAAAGGTCTGGACAACATTCTGTCCAAAGTAAGACCAGAATTTTGTCCCGTCAATCTTAGTGTCGACATGCTGTCCATACTGTTCCCCGGTTCCAATCTGAGTGCTCCACCTAGTAACAGACGCTCCCGTCGCCGGACGCGTCGTAAAGCTCGAAAGATCAAAGTTGATGTACTGCGCGGCATCGAAGTTGACAGCAACAATTACGAGCTTTGACTTGCTGGCGTCGTATGCAGCAACGACGTTGTCCCTACCGCCGTCAAGGATGCGCATTCCAACTCGCAGATGGCGAGCAAACTGTGCGAGGACAAAGTACTTTTGCGTGGGCCCACCGAGAGTCTTCGCGTCATTGTCTGCGTCTATGAGACCCCAGCCGCCTTGATCAAGGACTTGCCAGTATTCCCATGCAGTTGGCTTCAGGTATCGCATATCCTTAAAGAGATATTTTGCCATATCTGCGCCAGATGCTACACCGTCGCCATACTCGCTGTTCCAAACCTTCTTACCAGCCTGTGTGGCTAGCGAGTGGACACTTGCACGGTCCCCGCTGTTATATTGGTAGCCATGTACTTGGATGCGGTCGATCTTGCTCAGAGCGCTGCTTCCAATGTTCTTAAGGGCAGTGACTGCTTGATCGTAGTATGACTCGTCGGATGCCGATATCATTGTGGCCAATCCACGGCTTGTAAGTTCAGCATCCAGGTAACCGATAATCTTGGCCTGTGTAGCAACGTCGATGTGGCAACCTTCCTGCGTGCCATCCGCTTTCCACCAGTTGGCACTAGGCTCGTTGAAGGCTTCTACGGTTTCAAAGGCGATGTTCCACTTGTCTTTGAAATATTTGGCGACAGTGGCCATATAGACGGCATGTTTCTCCAAGTTCCAAGATTGGATGTTTTCACTGCCGTCTGCGGAACCAGAGGGGTTGTGGTTCTTCGTCATCCACCTATGTCTTAGTTAGCTAGAGATTATCGACTCCAAATCTGAGTTGCATACCACATGGGTGAATTCGAGAAAAGCTCGGTCCTGGTGGCTCCACGAGCAATGGCTTTCTGCAATGCCGTTCGTTGTTTGACATCGACCGTCCTGGACAAAAAAAGTCAGCGAGATTCTCTATATCACATCCTGGAAATGAACATACCAGTTCCAGCTAGCAGAGGTTGGATCACTGCTTTTCCAGTCTATCCAGAATCCCTCCATCTGCCTCGATCTCTTGACATTTGGGGACGAAACCATGCTTTCGCCATCGACCGAATTCCAGCTGCATGCACCAGCATTGTACCGAACGATGTTGAAGCCGAGCCCTGGAAGTGTCTGACCGTTATACTTGACTTGATCAAGCGTGAAGAATACGTCTGCCAAATCATCTCTGTCTCCAAACTGCTGCGCCCACCATGCTAGCGACGTTCCCCATCCTTCCCAGGTTCCCCAGTTGGATTTTGGGTCGATAGTAGTGGTGATGTCGGCATTGGCAGAGTAGCTGCTTGCCAGCACCAAGGCTGTCCGAAGGAAAGTGGAGGTGCGCATTGTGGAGGACGAAGGTTGAGCACCGTACCTTGGTACTGCGCATGGTTGCCATATATGTTTTCTTTATCAGCACTAACAATAACAACGCCAATCATCTTACCCATCATTTCCGGCAATGGACCCGCTAAAGCTGCCAATTTCATCTTGACGCCGAAATATGGGGAAGCGGGGTCATCCTTGTTCACAGACCATTCCTAGGAACTCCGTGGTCACCGGTCCCATGGTTGGTCTTCATCCGGAACAATTTGCATGCAAATTCTTCCGTAGTAGACGTCGGCAGTCACAAGACTACCACCCACAAGCCTTGGTCTTATGCGAGTGTATATGTGCATCGAAACGCTTGCTCATTACAGGACATCCATCCGACAATGGTCTTGGAACGTTTATAGGCAGATGCAGAAAATGGAAGGTCGCATGTGGGACCACACACCACTAAATTGGGAAGGTGGAGACTGTGTCGGTCGTCGGGGAAATGGCGTCCATGAGCACGGTCACTAGCAACGACAATGACATACGGTATGTACAAGGCTCGGCCCGAACATTAAAACGCGACACAACATGATGGCAACCAACTCGCGTGACGTGTCACATAAGTACTTTAAATTATAAATAGTCGTACGCTACATATATACCGCTCTCTGGTTGTTTGTAACACCTAGAGCAACTTCGCCGTACCCAGCATACGGCTCTGAACACCTCCATGAGTCGTGTTTCCAGAGACGGTGCCGTTAACATCCGCCTGGTCGAGCCAAGCAGCCTTCAGCGCCCAGACACCCACACTTGCAGTAGCTGTCTGGTTCAACCCACTAACTCGTACCATGAGCGTGTCTAGCGGTGTTGTGGGATAGCACAAGCTAGTTGCGCTGAGTTCGCCACCGTTCAAGAATAGCTCAATAATACTGCGGTCCATGATCGCTGATATCTTCCACGATCCGTCGGCTTCGTTGTAAAGTCCTGTGGCAGAGAACTTGTCGTTGAAGAATGGGCTTTGGTACCCTTCAGTACGACTTCGGTCTAGCCAAATATCACCCGAGGAAAGTGATGTACCACCTGTGACTGACTCTCCTGACTTTGAAGATGAGAATGTAAAGCTGATAGTGCCATCAAGTGAGTCGCCAGTTGTGAGTCCAGTGACGTTGGCCTCAAAGTAGATTGCTCCTGATTTGACAGAAGAGTAGTCGACGAAGACAGTGCCGTCTCCGAGTGACTTTTCGTATGCAAGCTCCTTCTCTGCGATGGACTTGATGTTCACTGGGTAGGATATCAGCGCCAGGCCCTGTCGCGGCAGCCTCTTCAAGTAGTGGCCCCGAGGTACGGTCATGACGCCTCGGAAACCGTCTCCCACCTCCTTGCCAGCTGTAGGAACCTCGTTCGTGTACTGCCAGTTACTCGCCCAGTCAATGGTGATTTGATGCTTATCACTTGGGATGCCGTAGAAGAACTGGCCAGCGTAGTTGTCCTTGGCAAAGTCGGTGAGTCGGGTCTTAGAGTCCTCAGCCTCGAAATGTGTGCCGTTGAATGTGCCGACAAAGTACTCCGCGATCGATCCACCAAGGGGCGCACCAGGGTTGATGGAGATGAGCATAAGGTATTTTGGCTCATCGCCTTCCTTAGCTCCTTCTACCGGGATCTCGACCATGTTTGGGCACTCGTATTGCAGGCCAGTAAGTCCATGGTTGGAGAAATTGCTGGTTGGTGTCCAGTCCTTGAGGTTGGGACTAGTGAAAATGCCAATTTTGAAGTCGATGGGATATGCGACGACCATGACCCACGATTCAGTGGGAGCATACCAGATAACCTTGGGGTCGCGAAATTGGTTGCTGTGAGTTCCCCCCGGTTTAATAATGGGGTTGTTGGCGTATTTGATGAATGATATTCCGTTGTCGTGAGAGTACGCAATATCTTGTGTCTGTTGCTCTGGTGTATTGACAGTGTAAATTGCCACTACGCCATTATCCTGGCCCGGAAAAAAGCCAGATGTGTTATTGGTATCGATGACAATAGAACCGCTGAAGATTCCTTCAGTCGGTCCTCCAGGAAATATGGCAATAGGTTGGTTCGTCCAAGTGTACAGATCTTTTGTCGTGGCGTGCGACCAATGCTGCGTGCCAGCGATGTTGGCGATAGGATTATACTGATAGTAAAGATGATACACGCCCTCTGCATCGAGGAACATGCCATTGGGATCATTAAGGAATGCCTGCGGAGGAGAAAAGTGGACTTGTGGACGGAGTGGTTGGTTATATTTGCCAGCAATCGGCACACCCGTGGGAACGTCTTTTTGCGAATATGTCGAAGTAGGCGCACCGGATGCTGACGGTGTAATAGAAGAGTTTTGGGCATATGCAACAGCGAAAAGGCTGCTGGCGGCCGCCGTGAAGAGGGTGAAGGGCGCAGGCATGATGAACAAGACGAAACCACACAACCAGATCCCAGGAATTTCTTGCTGGAACTGCAGATCAATTCAGCAGCACCCCAGAGCTTATATACAAAAGCTATTGACCCGCTTACAAAAAAAGTGGCTGGGCTTCAAAGTTCCCATCATGCCGTCAAGTCACGTGCGCCTAACACTTTGGGTGAAAAACCCGCACCCCGCACCACCACATCCGACATAGCATCCTCCAACCGATTCCGACTTTCTGGCACATCAACGCTCGGATGCTGACGAAAAACGCGGGACGAACATTTTCATTCGCGTGCGTGGGAAGAAAGTCGGGGCTTTGGGCAGGTCTGGGTGGGGAGCTTAGGTGAATACGGCATGCCGAAAGCTATGGTAACCACGTTTCCCCCATTTTCCCCCGCAATGCTATCGCTGCTAGGCTGGTATGGGGAAGGGGTATGGAATGTTCTATCCGTGCGTTCGGGGCTGAACGTTGGGGCTAGGAGGGATACAGCCGCATGCCCGGTGATGTCAATCATAATCCTCCCGAGGATTCCGCCGAAGGTACTGAGATACATGCCGTGGGCGTTGCGCTTGTGGTGTAGCGGCGGTGTAGCGACAGGGATTGTAAAAATGATGTAGGTGGAGCGAGTCAAGTACCCTTAGTGTGGAAAATCACGCAAGTTCTAAATACCCGGGCAAAGCTGGTGTTGTGAAAAGTTCCTCGGTATCTGTCCGGGTAGCTGTTAGTCGTCTACGTACCACGCCCTCAAGCATCATGTATGCGTAAAAACCGGACATCATACTCAGGAATGATACCCATGGAATTTCGGGTAGTCGCCAACTTCAATTGGCCTATGATCTACAAAACTTTCCGTCAACCGAGAAGCAACAATGTCTCCGAGAAGCGCGCCAATTCCAGCCCGCTCAGATCCGTCCCGAGTCAGGGTGCTCTCCACTTGGTACTTCTTCCAAGCCTCTACAGTCACTATCCCATTGCCGTGCCGAAGATCTTCCAAGCGTTCCGGAATTGTACATCATGATGTCTTCGCCCAACCTTAGATAGGTCAAGCGTGGTCCGTTGTATGTTTTCTTCTTTGCGTCCGCCAACTACCTAGGTATTCTCGTGCTCCTCCTCTTCCAAGTTCGCGTACAACCTCGGAATATGCTAGAATATCTATTCTCAGACCTGTTTATTATGAATAGTACAACCTAAAATGATCCTGCCATGAGTTGCGATTATGAACCTGGCAGAATTCTCCGATGGGAGATGTTCATCCCATCCACCCTTCTTAGACTAGTCTGTCCACTTTGGTTGAATACCTGTTAGCAATGCCTAAACCACACGATAGAAAGACGACTTACCGCTCTTAAAGCGTGTTAAATTTAGCCACATATTAACTATAGAGCTTAATAAAATACTATAACATGATCCATGGGCGAGCGGCGCACACGGGCGAGCGGCGCACCCCACCAACTTTACTCACCTTACTGATCTTAATCTACAATGGCTCAACGCAGCGCTACTCAATTACTATCAAATGAAGCAGATATTCAGCTTGCTATCTCATCTATTAATGCGCACCAGATCCAAGGTACCCGTACTGCTGCAGTAGTCTACAACGTAGCCGAAACAACGCTCCGCCGCCGACGCGCTGGTATACCTGCCCGACGCGATTGCCCGCCCAACTCAAGGAAGCTTACCCAGAGAGAAGAGGAGGTGATTATTAGCTATATACTTCAGCTAGATCTGCGTGGATTTGCGCCTACCTACACAGCTGTACGTGATATGGCTGATAAGCTGCTGGCTGCGCGTGGTGGAGAGCAGGTTGGAGTCAACTGGCCATCTACCTTTGTTAAGCGTACAGACAGTCTTCGGACGTGTTTCAACCAAGCGTACGATAGGCAGAGAGCTCTTTGTGAGGATGCAACATTAATAAAGAGGTGGTTTAAGCTTGTAGAAGAGACAAAGGCTGAGCTAGGTATCTGCGATGAGGACGTCTACAACTTTGATGAAGCTGGCTTTATGATGGGCAAGATTACAACGCAGCTAGTTATAACAGGAGCAGAGAGGAGAGGCAGGCCGAAGAGTATTCAGCCAGGCAATCGCGAGTGGGTAACGCTGATCGCTGCTATCAGCGCTGCTGGCTGGTCAGTCCCACCGTTCCTCATCTTCGCTGGCCAGTACCACCTATCAGCCTGGTATAAGGAAGCTGAGATCCCACGCGACTGGGCGATCGCAGTCAGCGATAATGGCTGGACGAATAATGAGCTTGGAGTTGAGTGGCTAAAGCACTTCAACGCTCACACGCAGGCTCGTAGTGTAGGCGCGCGTCGCCTGCTTATTATTGATGGCCATAAGAGCCACCAATCTCTAGAGTTCCAGGAGCTCTGCAAGGAGAACAATATCCATACGCTCTGTATGCCTCCTCACTCATCTCACCTACTCCAGCCACTTGATGTTGGCTGCTTCTCGCCATTGAAGCGCGCGTACAGCCGTGAGGTAGAGAGCCTTATGCGCAACCACATCAACCACATCACCAAGCTAGAGTTTCTGCCAGCGTTCAAGGCAGCATTTGATCAAGCGTTCACGCCAGCCAATATCTGCTCAGCCTTCCGCGGCGCAGGCCTTGTTCCTCTACAACCAGAGGCTGTTCTATCAAAGGTAGATGTACAACTGCGTACACCTACTCCTCCAGCAGCTCTGCCAGAGGCTCCCTGGGTAGCTCAAACGCCGAGCAACGCGCGTGAGCTTGAGGCTCAGTCAAGCCTAATACGTGAGCGCGTGCGCCAGCACAAGAGCTCATCACCAGCTTCAATTATTATGGCGATTGACCAGCTAAAGAAGGGCGCCGAGGTGATGATGCTCTCTGCTGAGCTGATGCGCGATCGGATCTCTAGTCTTGAGAAGGCCAATAGCGCAGCCTCAGAGCGTAGGCGGCGCTCTAAAAGGCGTATACAGAAGCATGGAGTACTCACAAAGGGAGCTGGAGAGGACATACTGGCTCAAAATGAGGCTGACCAGCAGATTGCTCATGAAGAGCGTCAAGGAGGAGCGCGATCAGGCCTCAGCCAGCGGGCTCAAAGGCGCTGCACTAGGTGCAAGGAGACTGGGCACAACTCGCGCACATGCAAGACTGATACTATTAATATAGAGTAATCTACTGTATCAATATCTAGCAATAATATTATCGCGTTGTTGAGATGCATCGCTTTAAAGTTGCAAAAGTTGGTGGGGTGCGCCGCTCGCCCGTGTGCGCCGCTCGCCCATGGATCATGTTAAGCCTTTCCTAATAGAAGCCTCACTAAATAAGGGTAAAGTACTAATATTCATGCGCTTAAGGTTATACTACCTCCTAATGCTCCGTATTTGCAATGTGTCTATGTTAGTGTATGTATCGTATCGTCTGAAGAAGCAAACCCGGTAGGGAGGATGTCACGGTTTGGGGTCTCTCCTGCTCTGCTCCTGTAGTCGCAACTTACCTTTGTAATGGACCGATGCCTATCTGGGACTAGCGCTGTTGACGGTCACCCACCTACATATACAGTTTGTAGACTCAGACAATATAACCTCAGTTCAATCCTTCAATTCTCCGCACATGCGCACTGTTCACTCCACCGCAACAGAGGAACTATATACATTCGGACAAGGCCTATGCACCTATGTAAGACGTCGTCGACGAGATGAAGTTCCATTGTTCAACGGCTTCGACATAACGGATCAAAACAATGAGGTTCCAATCGTAAGTACTTGGAACTGCCAAGTTACGAGGAATATGCAGTATATAGCAGAAGACATAACTTCTCCACATGCTCACCCCTCCAGCACCACGTATCCGCCAAGAAGCTTTTCAACTGTAACATAACTACTACACCCTGTCCATGTATCCGCCCAGGGAACCTTTTAACCACAGCTTACATACCGCGCCCTGCTCCTGTATCCGCCCACCCCCTCCATCTACTCATCTCCTACACTACCCTGAAAATCGGATACAAATCGCCTACCTCCACGGGCACGATTCCAAACGAAACATACGAATCAATCCCCTCAGGCTCGAGCGTCACAAAAGCCAAACCCGCATTCTTCTGCTTGCTATCTACCCAGAAACTGCCCTTTGGCAACTCCACCGTCTTGACCAGCGTCTCCGTCGTCACCGTATTAAGTACCACGCCCTCATAATACGACTTCCCAAGACGGGATGAGGTGATGTTGTATACTTCAATCTCGCCCTTGAACACCTCATCCAGCACATCAACCTGTAGTCCGGAGACCTGCAGGCGCTCCGCTACATCAGCCCATGCGCGGGGGATAACGTAACCTTTCGGACGGGTGCGCGTAAGATTTGCGGTTACGGGTGTTGTGCTTGCAAATTCAACGGGTAGTTGGACGATTTCCGCTGTGCGCCGGTCAACCATCGGATACGTAGTATTCTCCCACGTCGTAAAATCTGTAACTACGATATCCTCTTTACTCTCCATGACCTCCGCAATCGCCCCTTCAATCGTTGCTTTCACTTCGCCAGCTCGATCACGTGCGGTTTCTAAGACCCCCAGTATCATCTGAAGTCCCGCCGTGGTGCGCCGTTGAAACTCCTGGTTTGCGATGCCGATACCGCGGGTTTCGAAGAGGAAGGTCACGCATTGAATTAGGCCCATTGCGTTACGTCCGATTTTCGCATCTGTGCCTGCTTCTTCTAGGCGGGGTGGGGAGGTGCTGGATGCGGTTATGTACGGTGCGCCGCGTAGACCTTTGGACAGTAGGGAGGCGTTGATAGCGGGGGCGAAGACAGTTTCAGAGAGGGAACGGATGGAGGGGTGGATGTTTAGGTTTTTGGCTGCGCTGTACATGCCGTCGGCAGCGTTGCTGTAGTTTGTAGCATAGCGTGTGGCAGCTCCATACTCATGCATATCGATGGCGATATGCGGGGAGAAAGTGCTGAACCAGTTCTTAATATCCCTGGTTTGTCGACGTGCGAGTTTAGTATGGTCGCGGTTGGGATCGAAGTTCGTAGCTAAGGTGCGTTGGAAGTAGGCGTTTCCGTCGGGATTGTAGCGGGGGAGGATGAGGATTTCCATTTCGGAGAGGAAGGTCGAAGCCCAGGTTGGGTCGTTGTCCATTGCGCCGAGGAGGGCGAGGGTGGCTTCATCGCCGGCGGGCTCGTTTCCGTGAACTGAGCCTTGAATCCATACCCGCAGTTTTCTGGAGGCGATACGCGAGGCGGTTGCGTTTGGGGCGGAAGAGAGGTAGATATATGGGAATGGTTTGCCTTCCTCACTGAAGAAGTCGGCGACGCCATAGGTCATCCATGATGGGTTTTTTGATGCTAAACCACTGATGTATGCGTCTAAAGTATTGTTAGATTCTCGTTCGTCAAGCTTCAATTCACTGTATTCGGTATTCGTACCCAAATTGTATTGCGACGTCGCACCTTCCGTACCCTTAGCCCACCCAGGATCAAAAGATGCATTGGACAAGAATGCAGGACTGTACAACGTGACATTTGGTGCCGGGAAAGCCTTCTGCTCTATTAACTGCGAGTCTTGGTTTATATTAACATGGTTCTCGCCATATTGTGACTGCGCCACAGCAGATGCCGTGAAAAGCGGCACCAAAGACGCGGGCCTCATCTTTGCTCAAGGTACAAATCCAGTCTTGCAGCACTCAATCGCTCTTATTCTATCCCATCCCCCATTTTTGGCCGATAATGATACGTCGGTCAAGGCGCATATATTGCCTATTAGAGTATCTTGCCAAGCGATATCTCCTTGGCTGCAGTTCCTCCTGCCGTTTCCGGAGTCGTGTTTCTTGGACTCTGGGTCTTTGATCGTACCTGGGTAAGTTTATCATGGGAAAAGCGGCTCTATGCGGGTTTTAGAGGTAGATCAGAATGTGAAATCCCCGAAGAACGATGAAGGGGGGCAATAACGAGGGAATAGACCCAGTAGTACCTAGGTGGTAGTAGAGAGGTGGGGCTTTCGGCACGTCACAATAGGACCTTTACAACACTCTTCAACGACGAAAAGGGTCATTCTTGTACTAAAAGCAATCGTATGTACAAACCGGGGGTCATTAACAACAATGTACAAAGCGGAAGAAAACACAACGTATACACAAGACCGTCCTACAGCATCGCAGAACTGCGGGGGCGGGGCTTCTCGTATCCACTCCACCTCGCTCGACCTTCCTCCCATCAAGCCTTGACCCCAAAATCCCAAACCTGCACCTTCCTCGTCCCAAACGCTCCCCCCTGCCTAACAAAAAGACTCAACACCCCAAACCTTCTCAACCTCTCCTCATCCACACCGGGTTCGCCCTGAGAATTCGGCACCTCGACCAACTTCTTCCAATCCGCATAACCCCCCGCCGCACTCGCCGTCCAAATCTGAATGCTGAGTTTGGGTTGATCTGGCAAGATGGCAATAACACTATCACCCACGGAGGTGATTTTCCCGCGGTAGGACAGGTAAGGCGGGGTGGATAGACCGGCTACGCGGATGGGCGTTTTGGTGAAAGTGCCACTGGACGTGCGGAGGTAGTGGTAGAAGAGCGGTGTGCCGGATGTGGAGTCGCGCATCAACGCGTGGAAACGACCAGAGGCATCGACGCATTGAGCTTCTTGGTTTATGATCTGGCTGTTCTGCGGGATTGTATACACTTTTTATCCCGGTGTAGTCGGGGTGATAGGTTTAGTTACTTTTGCGCGTTGGTCTGCTTCCAGCTTACACCGCCGTCGTCGGACGAGGCGAAGTAAAAGTCGTGGTTCGTACTGGCGTCGGGTGTTTCGCGGACGGTCCACGAGACGTAGAGTTTGGAGGCGCGGTTCGTGATGCCGTTGATGTAGGCGTTGTTGTTGGCGCCTTGGAGGTATTTTCCCACCGCGCTCCACGTACCGGAACTGGACGAGTAGCGGTGGATGTATGAGTCGCCGGAGCCGGACTGGCCGATGCGGAATTCCATCAGGAGGTCGCCATTGTCGAGGGACTCGAAGCGTGGGTACGTGAGGGGAGTCCAGGGGCCGGTCGAGCCGGGGAGGCTGTGTTGAACGGGCCCAAAGGCACCACTGGCTGTCCATGCTGTGGGGATTGTTTTTGCGATGCCAGTGGTGCTGACACGGTAGTTGAGGGGGACGTCGTGGTGGTCGAAACTTAGATGGATTTTCCCGTCACCACTGATGCCCATGCTGATGGTGTTGTGTTCGTCGAGGGTTTGCTGGACGTAGTCGGTCAAGGCAAAGTACTGCCACTCACCCAGTGAAGGGGAGATCTTGCGTCTTCCGAGGTTGACATAGTGCTTGCCGTATCCAGACGCTGTGCTGTAAAAAGCAACGTATTGATAATCTCCAAACGTCGTCAGGGGATTCTGTTGGAACGAGACACCATTGAGACGAGCTGAGCCTTCTGGGTCGTTCGTAATATTCCAGTTCTGAGTCGACGTTATAGAAACGGCAGAAGCAATGGAAGAAAGCACAGCCACGCAACCGATCAAGGAAGTAAAGAGCTTCATGATGCTGTGTGGATAGGAAGAATTTGGGCTTCTAGCAAGCCATAATATATAAATTACGATCGCTATAGGTCCAGCCTAAGTCCAGCCTCGAGTCAAGCCGTATTGCCAGTAAATATCCCATGTCAAGACCATGACTGGATAATACCTACCCAACACGTCGCGTCCGCCTACTATAGCAGCTGCATTAGGAAATGACGTGCATCGGGAACTCGGAGCATGACTACTATGAGGTCTGTACGCCGGGTACTAAAGAAGCGCATCACGCTAGTTATATTGGGACCACCAAACCCCAGTAACACTATATTCGACGACAGTTCAGGATGCGGAAACATATGCCTCGGCAAGTCAATCAATGCCCTGTATGCAAGACACGCATTGAGAATACTGCCAGTAAACGGTTGCAACAGTACAAATACATTCAAGAGTGCAGATATCAAAGTCTAAGCCTAGATACCAAACGGTCCGAACTTACAAGCACCTGACATTTTGATTACGCCACCAACTTCGTCCACGCTCTTTAATGACATTATGCGGATATTAATAGCATTACGCCGTGACATCGCCGCTTTTTGCACGCTTCGCATCCCTCTCTTCTCCAGCAGCCGCCTCTGCGCGTCGTTTCCCCTCATCTTTCCTTGCCAAATCCTTCTCCTCTCGCGCAACACGCCGCGCTTCATGCTCTTGCTTGTCCTTTTCTTTTCGCAGTGCCTTGCTTTCAAATTCATGCCAGTCGCCCTCCAATTCCTTCAGTGCGTCAGCACGCTTTGGTGGCGGTGCCTCGCTGGTGAAGAATGGGTGTTCAAGCACATCAGCCGCGGTGGGTCGCGCATTTGGATCGAAGAGAAACATGGCTTGAAGAAGCTCAAAGGCCATTGGACTGACCCGGTCCTTGTACTTTTCCTCAAATGTAGACTGCTTTCGCTCCGTAGGCCGTAGCAGTTCAGACCACTGCATATCAACGATGCCTGGCCAGTCTTGGACGGTCGGTGTACCCAAAACGTTGTAAATCTTGTCCAACTGGCTGATCTCTCCACCGCTGCCAGGGAATATGGCATGACGTGTGAAAATCTCCACCAACACACAAGCTGCCGACCAAATGTCGACCGCAGGACCATACTGTGTTTCACCCAGCAGAAGCTCAGGTGATCGGTACCAGATAGTGATGACACGATTGGTATAATCCAGTTTGCTGCTCTTTGCGTAAAATCGTGCAAGACCGAAATCCGCCAACTTCAATTGTCCCGTGTTCGACACTAGGATGTTCGCAGCTTTGATATCTCGATGCAAAACACCACGACGGTGGAGGTAGTCCAGACCCTCAAAGAGTTGCTTCGCCAGGTCCTTCTTGTGTGCTTGCTCGAGCTTGAAAGTCGGGTGATTCAAGAGTCCCGTGAGATCGTGCGACAAGTACTCAAAAACCATGTAGCAATCATTCTTCTCGACCATAACCTCGCGGAGATTGACGATATTCGGATGGTTGAGAGATTGCAAAAGCTTGACCTCGCGAATGGCGGTGACGGGAAACTGAAATTGTTAGCATGATCCACATCCAATCACCACTATACTTACGCCATCGCGTTCACCCTCCATCCTGATCTTCTTGAGCGCAACCAGGTCTTTCGTATATACATGTATCCCCTTGAACACCTTTCCATAAGTACCAGATCCAACAACCGACTCATTCCCCGGCTTCCTGTAGTACACAGAGTCCGAGTTGGCATGTTCTGGGTCGAGTGTTGGCCGTGGTTTCATCCGCTTCTTGATGATAGTCTTCGTCTTTGGTATCTGAGGAGGGGGTGTCCTCCTTTCCGGTCGAGCAGGACGTATATCGGTGCGTGAATCTGGGCGCTCGGGCCGCCTGTCGTCGAGTCGTCTCGGTGGGTATGGCTCTCTGCGATCGCGAATGTCCCGTGGGTCTCGGTCGCGGACATCTCTGTCTCGCATATCACGCGGATCTCGAATATCACGCATGTCCCGTTCTCGTGGGTCTCGGTAATCTCGTTCCCTGCCACGGTAATAGGTATCGCGAGGGTCCCGAATATCTCTGTCACGCGGATCTCGGTAAGCAGGCTTTCGGTCGTAGTAGTCATCGTAGCGGCGGTCTCGCTCGCGGTTCTCTCGATCCCGATCCCGATCCCGTTCGCGTTCGTAATCTCTATCCCTCACGTCTCGGTCTCGATCGTTCCGAGACTCTGCATAACGTGCATCACGCTCCGTCACGGCCTTTGCCTTGGTATCCAGCAACGATTCCTTGGAAGACGACTCGGCCTTCTCAGGCTCTTCTATTCCAAGCTTGGCTTTGCTAGTCGACGGAACCGAATTTTTCAATTTCATCAACGAAAAGGTGAAGCCCGCTTTTGGTGCTGTGGGAGTCGCTGACTTTGGGGGCTTCTTCTCCTCCTTTGGCCCTTCATCCTCTACTCGCAAGTCTTTGGAGGGACGGAATGGGTTGTCGTCAGCGTCGACAGATGCTGAATCGGCTGATTGGGATGTGACAGGCTGTGGACGGGGTGCTTCAGTGGCAGGACGACCACCTCGTGTGCCAGAAGATGGGGTCCAAGATAGATTCGAGTATTGCGTGGGTGCAGCACCACGGCCGCGTCCACCAGGCCCGGCAAAAGGAGCACTTGCACCAGGACCAGACATGCGCCGGTCGGGACCATGGTAGCCACCACCACGATAGCCACCTCGGTGCGGACTGTTCTGAAAGCCAGGTTGAGGGTATGGTTGATTGGGATAGTAACCTGGTGATTGGTTTTGGTGATATGGCGAGTGGTTTGGAGGGTAGCCTTGCATGGGCGATCTGTTCACGTTAGTTGAGGCCATTAAAGTGCATGTGAGAGCTCACCCCTGATTAGGATAGGGCTGGCCATTCCAACCTCCTCTACCTCCTTGGTAAGGCGACTGGTTCGGGGGTGAATATTGATTGTGGGGAGGATAGGGTGGGGATTGCTGGAAGCCGCCTCGGCCTTGGTAATTGTAGGCGCCCCTCATATTGTCCTCGTCACGACCCGGGTTATCAGAATTGTAGCCAGATGCCGGTACTGGCGAGGCTTTGCGCGAAGTGTCCTTCGCAGGGGTAGCTTTGCGTGAATTTGCTTCGTTATCCGAGCGGTGTCGCGATCTTGGAGCGGGTGAGGGGGATCCAGAAGGGCGACGTCGGGGCGGTGGGCGAGGCGAACGGCTTCTACGTTCGGGTCTGGTTCGCGGCGAGGCTCTGCGAATTGGAGAGCGTCGGCGGGGTGGCGAGCGAGACGTGGCACGTCTAGAAAGCCGACTGCGACTTCTTGCTCGGTCACGGGTGGAGGTGTGCCTGTACGACGTGGTCCGAGAATGGTCACGGGGTGAAGCAGGTCGTCTATCAGTCCTCCGGGGTGAAAGTCTTCTCGGCGATAAATCACGCCTGGACCTTCTGTCAGGCGAAAGTGATCTCCGCCTTGCACGGTGTGCGGCTGGTCTGTAATGGCTATCGATGGAAGGGGAGCGACGTCGGCTGGACGTGGGTGGGATATACGTGTCGGGTGTGGTCCGTCGCGGCGGGCGATCGCGGTCGAAGCGCTGTGAGCGTGGAGAGAAAGGCCTCGCGGTTGGCCGTGCCGGCGAGTGCGCACGCCGTACCCTTGACCTAGACCTAGAGCGCGCCCTACTGCGACTCGGCTGCCGGTTCACGCGTTTTGAAGAGGGTTTTGGAGATGGAGAACGGGTGTGGTGGCGCTTCGACGATGGGGTTGTGTCGTGAGCGAAATGTTGGGAACTTTCTCTGGCACGTCGTGGCGCTGGCGACGCTCCTCTGGCTTGGGGGATGCGCTCTCTCGTTTCCCTTGTACGTTCCCTCGACCTCTCCCTATCCCTGTTAGAGTCCTCTGGTCTCCACTGGTCGATATCCTGAGCCCGTCCCATAGAGACAGGAGGGTCATCAGAAGTCGCAAGGTTGCAGCATCAAGTTGGCAGGTCAAATGCCTAGCCGAGCAACACCCTGATGGCAGCCAAACGGTAAGAGTAATGGAACAGAGAAACAGTAGAGGAGGCCGCTGCAACCGTTTCCGAGATACAATCACAGGTGCGCTGCCGTCGAAGTGCTTCTCAAGGGTGCTGTTGTGGCTGCAGCCCAAGTCCGCCCGCCCGCCCCGTCTTTCAAGTTGCCGCTATCGAAGGCGCCAAGAAGCCGCGACAAGCAGCAATGAAAGCCCTCCATTTTGCTTCAACCCAACCTTCCAGCAATGTTCTTTTTTAGCCTGTGTTCTTCCACATTTAGAGCCCGCAGTTCACGACATCTATCTAACATGCAAAAAAGGATACCGCCCATGCAACCAGAAAAAGACACCAGAAGCTGCAGCGCACCCCGTTTGCACGTCCACACGCCATGTGACGGCACAAACCCGGTCATAGCAATTATTTCCTTGTGGCCGGGGAGAGGTCTTAGTCGTCGACTTTGGAAGTCAAGTAGTTCAAGTAGTTGACTCCATCTCCGCTGTTGTAAAGGATCGGTATCGGGCGAGACAGCCGATCATAAAGCGCGAAGACGCAGGTGCTTGTTCTTCAAGGACAACAGCAACCCAGCTGAAGGCGGCGGCGGCGCCAGGGTCCTCAACGTCAACAGCAGCATAAGGCCACTAGTCGGACACGCGACGGAACAGATTGGCGACAATGGTGGATGAACGACAGTAATGTCAAGGCGATGCACGAGGGTTAGTAGATAGCTGAGGCCGCGGGTGCGTCATGGATGGCAGCCCTTTGTACCCTGCCTACCAGCACACAAATCCGACCTTCATCTTCCATCCATTCCGTCCATTCCGTTCATACCTGTGAATTAAGCATGTAGTGAGATGCAAAAGTGCTTGCAATGTTGTTTTGAGCCGCCAGTACAGATGCTTTGTCGGGATAGGGAGCACTGCGGGGACGGGGTGAGGCCTCCTCGCGCACACTCCTGGCCATGCGTCGCTGTCGTCGTTGCCGTCGTCGCCTCATCGCCGTCGTCGTCACGGGACGTCAGTCTAATCCAGAACAAGGCGCCGGCGGTATTGCTGACTATTGCTGGCCGTGTCCGGCGATGCGTCGGATGGGGGAGAGTTGGGTGCAGAAGCGTGGAGAGATGGTGTTGGTTTGCTCCTGTGCACAAGTCCCGCGATCCAATCGCCTTGCAACCCACTAGCGGATGACGAAGAAAGTCCGGACCCTGGGACGCTCCTGATGTCGATAAAAGACGCGGCCTGACTCAACCCGGAAAGAATGCGCCAGAGCAGTAGTAGTCTATCGGCACCTTTTTCTACATAGGTTTCAAAATTTTCACCTGTACCACCCAGCTGAACAAGTAGGATATTGCTCAAATGGAGCCTGACACGTCCAAACCATCGGCATCAGCCATACCAACTCACATGACAAACGGCTCTCCCCTGCGGCTCACCACTGAAGCGCGACATAAGAAGGAGAGGGAAAATCTCTTCAATGCCATAGAAACTTCCAACCGAGGCCGCCAGGTAGTCAACTTCGACGGCCCGACTAGCTATTTCCCCGCCAAAGCGTCTGCGGCAAAGACTGGCGTAAGCGGTATGCACGACAGGAATACAATGACGACCAACGGTGTACACGACGTTGAGGACGAGGCTGAGGATGCCGTTGCACAGACACCGCTTGCGACCAGTCGCGCCCACAGTCCATACAGTGAGAATGACCGTAGACTTGGAGGGGCAAGGGCCTGACTGATGAATGAGTAGCGCAACACCCCACCATTGACTTTGACGGCCTCAGCTGGCCCAGCAAGGGCACACGTGAGAGGAAGGAGGCGACCGAGGAGGAAAAGGCTGCAAACCTTGCCAAGTTGTCAGGCGCGGTGCGCACTATGCTCGAGTGTCTAGGCGAAGACCCCGATCGCGAGGGACTGTTGGATACACCGGAGAGGTACGCAAAGGCGCTACTTTTCTTCACAAAGGGATACGAGGAGAACTTGCGCGACATTGTCAATGGTGCCGTCTTCCACGAGGACCATGACGAATTAGTCATCGTGAGGGACATTGAGATCTTCTCCCTGTGCGAGCACCATCTGGTGCCTTTCACTGGCAAGGTAAGAGCGTCCACTTTAGTGCTGGAATCACCTGGCTAACCCCACTAGATGCACATTGGCTATATCCCCAACCGTCGCGTCATCGGTCTTTCTAAACTCGCCCGCATTGCCGAAATGTTCGCTCGTCGTCTGCAAGTCCAAGAACGCCTCACTAAGCAGGTCGCGCTCGCCCTATCAGAGATGCTCCAGCCCCAAGGCGTCGCCGTTGTCGTCGAATCGAGCCATCTTTGCATGGTCATGCGCGGTGTTCAAAAGACCGGCACTACCACAACTACAAGCTGCATGCTCGGATGCATGCGATCTAGGGATAAGACGCGCCAGGAATTCTTGAACCTCATCAACAGGAACAAGCAGTAGCATCCCAATCTCAATTATTGTATTATGGTTGTACGACTTACGAAAAGGCGTTTTTTGGGTCGGCGTTTGGGGGAGGAGTTCATCATCCTCTCCGGGTGGTTATCACGGAATGATTAGACGCATAAGCCTTTCAACAGGCGTACACGCTCTTCTAGGAAGGAAGGAGCTACGTTTTTATCACTGACATTCGTCTGAATCTGTCGATTAGGGATCTGAAAGGCAGAAAATGACATGGTGTAAGCCTCGGCTGATAGTCAAGCTGAGTATACTTAGCTGTAGTAAAATGTACCAAGTCGACCTCGGTCTTTGAACTGAAACCCCACTCCGCTGTCTTCTGCATCCACGACACTTTAAGTTGGAAGTCCAACAGAGAGGTGGCAGAGGTGCACAGAACGGAGGGAGGAGAGAAGAGTTCCTCCCATGATGATCTTCACATCTCATCATCCAACAACAACCCATCTAAACATACAAATACCCCTCAACCCGTGCCACCCGTCCCCCCAAAAAACGTAGTCAATTCTCTAACATCACCATCCTACATCCTCCTCCCAAACGTAACACCCATCTTCGGCCTCCACTTCGACAGCACCTTCACCATCTTTGTTGTCACAAAACTACACTTTCTATCTATGCGTGGCTTAGTATTCTAAGTCGGGGTTGGATTATCGTTTATCGAGCCTATCACGACTCTCGTGGTGTTGAGTGTTGAGTGACCCCTGGTCAATCACCTGGCATTGAATACAGCTGCAAGACATCGGTTTCTAGACGTGTGAATAATACTACTACGTGATGAAAATTATATAAACACCAGTCTAATCGTTCCAAATCCCTTTCCTAGCTCTTGGTACAACTCACAAGACGGGCATCTGTCAGAAGTGAGTGTTTGAGAAGACGATTAGACAAGCTAAGCCTGACACCAGTCACAGAATCAGTGACATGTCGTATGACCACAACGAGAGACGACGGCTTGGGTTGTTGAGGTGGTGAGCTTACTGCCTGCGAAACTCAATATGCCGTACATCATAGGTACGTGGGCGGTGAGCGCGCAGTGGTCTTTGCGCATGCGGGAAGATGGCTCTATCTGGGTGTCATAAAATACTTGACATACTAGTGTCTGTAGTCGCCAAACACGCCTATTAGCATCATAGGTAAGCACCTAATAGGCGTTTTTGGCGACTATAGTGGCGTTTGTATACCAGTATGTCAAGTATTTTATAACACCTAGATGTCCGCCACCAACACACGGGAGAACTTACAGCATAATGATCAGGGCGGTAACTTATCGAGAATATATTCTTTCTAATAAATTATACGTTGTGTTTTTACACAGGACAGACATAAGCTAGGTTAGAGAATGTAGAGTACTATAGAATAAAAGAGGCAGGTAGAAGAGAAGGCATGTTTACATAATACATCTTACCCAGTCTGTTAAAGTACAATCTACCGACCACCCGGTCATAAAATACTTAACATACTAGTGCAAAAAGGCGACTGTAGTCTCCAGACACGCCTATTTGGCGCTTACCCACACTATCAAGTATTTTACGATACCCAGGTGCGACTATCCAACTCCCAAAGCATCTCTCATTACCCAACCACATGCGTGCTTCCTAGATAATCCTACTTCCGCACAACTCTCATGAGAGGGTCTCCAAATTATGACACGATCTCTATCTTCGGTCTCAACCGCTGACATGACCCCCGAAAATAGTCCGAAAGGTCTTGACCGAGAAGGGTCAACGTACGGAGGTGCTTCGCGCAATTATAGTCTTTCCTCAAGATTGCAGGCAAACTTTGCAGGCGGATTAGGCCTCGGCGTTCGTACTTGTCCATGGCAGAGAGCTCAAGCTCAGTCAAGTTGTAACACCGATCGATTAGGTGGGTAAGAGCGGAATCTGTAAGGTTGAAAGCTCGAAGGATGCCAAGTTGCTTGAGCTGCGGCAGGTCATCAGCAAGGGCGATAGGCAAATTGCTACCCAAAGCTGAGCCATCTCCGATATGCACGATGGTAATGGATGACTTGAATTCGTAGGGTGACGACGCCAGAGTGCGTATGTGTTCGCTGTGTGAGTTAGTGGACTGCAGAGAGGATGAGTCGCCGGAGACTTACTGTGTGACTTGGAAAGTAGGTTCAAACACCACTGTATGGACGTTGGTGTGGCGTTGTGTCCTTTCCCATCGCGATGCCCAGTCTAGGCTGTCATAGAACTTTACAATAGCAAGACGTGGTTGGGTAACCTGGGGACGGTCTTCCTCCTCGCTCCAACCAGAATCTTCCAAGGACGGTTTTCTCTTGAAGTGAGAATCTGCTTCTCTTTTCACTACCACATCGCCCGTATCGTTGCCGTGGGTTGGATCTTCAGTATCAATATCAAGGTCGAGTTTGCTCTTCACAAGTTGACGACCTTGCCCATCGTTGTGAAGAGACACATCGCTCGCAGATAAGTCGAGAGAGTTGTCAGTCATCCCCCAATCTTCTTCTTCCTCTTCGTAGTACCTGTTGTCGCCGCTCTCTAGGAAGCTAAGCCCATCTTCCTCTTTATAGTACCTGTCGTCACCGCTCCCAAGGTCGCTGACTCCATCTTCCTCTTCGTAGCACCTGTCGTCGCCGCTCTCTAGGAAGCTAAGTCCTTCTTCTTTGTAGTACCTGCCGTCAGCGCTCTCCACTTCACTGGTCTCATCTTCGTCGTTGTGATCTCCACACTGACAGCCCCCAACACAACCCTCTCCTTCAGAGAAGTACTCTGACTCCGTGTGTTCCTCTTTGATTCCAGTCATATCCTCATCTTCCATGGAGTCCGGGGTCGCAAGCCTAGCCACCTTTGTCCTTCGCGGAGATGGTTGCATTGACTCCTCCCTTCTGCGTTTTGGGGCTGCTGCCGCCAATCCTCCCGTTGTGACATGGAAAATATTCGTGACATGTCTTCAGCCGGAACATCTCGGGATTCAGCTTCAATTCGAATGGTTTGGCGGACCTTCTCGAGGTCCGACAGCCGACGGAGCTCCGATGAGACTAATATCGCCCAATTTATGCCTCTTTTGGTGGCACAGCGCGGCCTCCTTCCCAAAAGCTGTGCAGCATCTTCGGTGGGGTGATACCGGCCTGTGAAAGCGAGTCCGCGACAGCTTTAGGCACTTTCCTACGAATCTCGATGCGAAGATTTGGTCGTTTCCGTAATATCGCCTTGATGTCTACCATGTTGAGCGGTTGGTTTACCAGGCTTATCAACTCGAGCTCCTGCCATTTGTGCCGGTTAATCCGCGCGTTTAAATCGGCAATGAAAGTGCCCTTCACTCCCCCTTCCTGATCAGATCCAGCATCGATCGTGACACATCTTACATCAGGACAGTATGCCAAGATGAACCTTATAGATTTATCCGATAGCATTGGGGCGTTCAAGAACTTGACTTCTTGTAATTTCCTGTTCCGGACGGCCAAAATTTCAATTTCATGGTCACGGATAGATATAGGTTCAAGGCCGCCTTCGACGACTCCACGCAGCGAATCCGCCTTATACAGTAGTGAGGACTTCATTCGAATACTTCTCGTCAGTAACTTCTTCCCACGATCATAATGATTACATCGGAGCCTACTCTGAGAACTGTACGCATCCCACATAGAAAGACGTAACACGTCCTTCGAGTTTGTTTTCCTCGTAGTACCAATCGCCCTCCTCAATACAAAATATGGTATCTGCGCTATCGAGAACGGATCGTCGGGACATTGTGCTCGTCCACAAGGCTTTTGGAGAGTGTGGAAGAGTTGTGAGAAGCAGGACGGGGCCACTCGTCGTTTCTTGTACGTTAGTCGCTCAGCTCAGCTCACAGCTTGCAGAGGTTTGCTTTTTTTTTGCAGAAAATGATGTCAGTGGTGACAGTGGAGTTTATCAAGAATCTTGGTTGCGATGGACTCTGATAAGCATAAGCGTTCATCTCGGCAAGTTGTCGAAGGAGTTGCCCCTCTTTAATACCCCGTACGTGACGTTCCTCGGTGGGCCTGCCCCTGCGCAAGGGCCTCATGAACCGGTACGTTCGTCCGTGATATTCGCGTATCATGTGAACAGCGATCATACAGAATTTCGCCGAAAATAGTTGCGACTCCAATTGCCATGGTGTCTGCCATTCCGATATGGAGTCTTCTGGAATTGCCGAGAGCAAAGAAACTTCTACATGTGACACAAAAAACCAGCACTGGAAACCACATGTGCATCAAGGGTACATGCGTACAAGATAGGTACAACAGTAGACACGAGGAATGTAAATTGCTGCTCAAATACCGACAGTAACTCAACGCAGACCAGCGCCTTAAGCACGTGCTTGCCCCTTTCATGAGCGTCAGCCTTCACAGTATACGCTTTCTCGCATCGAAACAATGTAGGATTTAGTAAAGCGAACTACTAGACGTGTTGAGAAAGAATGACTCTCTCAGTCATGGCATGTAAGTGTGTCAATTGCTAACTATACAAAGCTCGGCTAATATAGAGCGGTGTGGGTCATGTGACTTAGCGTCCTCGTGACAGGTGACCGGAATATTCTCAACAAGACGTGATATTCACGATGGATAAAAGAGAAACGAACGGGATGAACCGAAACCACGTGAAAAAAGGTCACGTATCGTGGATATGCACCACCCACATACTCATCCTAGCCACGCCAACGTCTTTCACATCGAACACTTCTCATTCCAAACACGAACAGACACATTCAGAGGTACACAAAGCAAAAGTTTTCAGAATCGACGGTGGACAATACTCTCTTTCTCATCAATCGAACTACAACAAATTAATCTACCACAAGAACAACCTTGGAACTTTTATCCCTCCACATCCTCAACCTCAAAAATGCTCTTCCTCTCTCTACTTTCCTCCCTCTCCCTCCACCACCCCACAAGATCATAAAGCCCAACATCACCCCCCTCACACTGACACGAACATAGAATTCCCCTCGTGGTGCTCATGTCCGTGGCTGTGTCCATTGCCTGCGCTCTCATTGTGCACTGTAGTCCCCGTCGAGGACACGATCCTCGATATATGACTCTTGCGCGCTCCCCCGCCACCCCCAGACGCCGCGGCACTAGCATGATAAACCGAACTCGCATTTTCCTCAAACCGCTCCATTTCACGGCACTTCTCCTCGTACTTGGCTATGTACTCGTCGCGCTCGCGGTCGGCGGCGTAGCGGGCCGAGATGGCGCGTTCCTTTTGCTCGCGGGCTTCGTTGAGAAGGGTGCGTAGGGAGGTGATTTCGAATTCGAACTCCGCAGAGGAGTCCTCGTAGGTTGTAATTGTTTCGGTTATCTCCTCGTATTTGTGCTTCCAGGCGTTGAGGTCGGAATGCGCGCGGTCGCGGGCGTACTTTAGGTTGCTGATTTCGGCTTCGAAAAGGGCGAGCTTCTCCATCAAAGAGGCGATTTCGGCGGTTAGGTGGCCGTGCTTGCCACGGGAATCGTCGCCTTCGCGGTGGAGCACCTTGTTGCGCTCAGTGAGGGTGACGATTTCTGTCTTGATCTCCGTGATGGTGAGCTCGGAGCGGCGGAGAGATTCCTCAAGGACGTTGATGCGACGGTGGCCATCTTCGACCTTACGCTGCTCGTCGTGGAGATCTTGCTTGATTTGGTCGCGCTCGATGACGATTAGGCGGTGGTCTTCGCGGGATCGGTCCATGGACTCTCGGAGCTCAGTGCGCTCCATCTCCACGTCGCGGAGCTTGTCCTTGAGGGAAACAACCTCGCGCTTGATGTGGTCGTGCTTGAGGGTCAGATCGTCGCAGCGAGCATCAGCCTCTTCCCATCCAGTGGCCTTGGCCTTGACTTCGCGGCGAAGGTTCTCAATAGTAATGGAGAAATCATCGCGCTCGGTCTCGACGATGCGGACAGTCTCCTTGAGCTTGTGAAGCTCCCGTTGCACACGGTCGTGGCGCTCGGTAAGCTCAGTGAACTCCCGCGACGTCTCATCAGCCCTGGACCTCAGACGCTTGAGTTCGTCATGTAGACGATCCTTCTCATGAAGGTGCTCATCCCTCTCAATCTCAAAGACCTTGATGCGATCGCTAAGAGTGAGAACTTCTTTGCGAGTAGACTCAAACTTTGACGAAGTCTCTGTGTACTTGCTCTTGAGTTCAGTGTGCTCGCGAAGCAAGTTTCGGAGCTCGGTATGGTGTCTGTCTGCGTCCAGGCGAGCGGAATCGCGCTCGTCCTCGCACATCTTCAACCTGGCGAATGTTGCCTCCAACTCAGTCTTCGTCCTTTCGCGGTCGGTATGCGTCAGGGATACTGAGGTGTGGAGCTCATGAAGCTCATGACGAACGCTTTGCAAGTCGCGGTCGCGATCAGCAAGCTTCTTCTTGTGCTCGGCAACCGCGGTCATGGCGGTAGTGAGCTCAAGAATGAGCTTCTCTACTTGCCTCTTCCGCTCGCCATGCTCGTGGCCATGGTGAGAGTGCTCAGCATCCTTGCGCTGAAACTCCTCAGTCACTTCCTCAACAGTGACCAATAGCTCGTCTCTCTCGCGAAGAAGACTGTCGCGCTCGGCCATCATGCGAGCCCATGACTCCTTCAGTGAAGCAGCTTCACGTGCTGCAGAAGACATTGTGTCGACAAAAGCAAACAGCTTGCCCTCAGCTTGTGATGTGAGCTCCATAGACATTGTGTTGCGGTGCGATTGCAGGAATGAACTCGAGCGACGTGACAGTGAGCTGGTCTGACGGGTCGACCGGCGACCAAGTGATGAGTTGTGAGAGGAACCATGTGCATGAGAGACACCGCCGGCTTGGGATCCAAAAGAGAATGACCGGTTCCGTGTGGGGGAGGATGGTTCGGAAAACACATCACGGTCGATTCCACCCAACCCACTCGCCTTGAGCTTCATGATGGTAAGTTTCTCAGGCGTAATGTCAGGAGTGGTTTCAAAAGTGTCCGTCATGATTGCGGTAAATATAAGAGATGGATATGGGAAAGATGGATGAACTGAATTGAAAATGAAAGTACAAGAAGTAGAAGACGATACTTATGTATATTCATACCGTAGAAACCATCAGCCAGCCACAGGGTTGAGGACTAGGCTGTCTAGCGCATTCCATGTAGCACACGGTCAATTACAATAAGCATGGTCAGCTCGTCCCGCACATGAACGGGTTGTGGCTTGCTGCATTGCCAGAGATATTTACTTTTATGACGCAACGACGCCAGGGTGTCTTGCGAACTGGAGGTGGCATCCCAGCTGCCGTCGACCCAGCCTCGCCGTAGGTGGAAAGGTGCATGCAGCAACTCGCGAAGCGCAGTTGTTAAGTGGAGCGCATGTTAGTAGCGACGTCGGCGACTTGAAAGGTGGGGAAAGTGTATGGACTCCTCAGCTCGTAGAGCATCGCTCATGCGCTTACGAAGGATCGCGTGCGGAGTCGCCATATTAACTGGCGATCCCAAGTAACGCCAGCCAAGTCTAGTCTGGTGGGCCGCATGTGTGAATAGTTGATGCCAAGCGCGGGTAGATCAACTAGGGCTCAGTATCGCGATGCAGTGCAGATCAAATGTGGGCGACGGACCGCCCAGCAGCCATGTTCTCTGGGTTGATCGGCCGTCGCTAGCATGCCCGCTTGCTTCTTTGAGCTACACGGTGACGCACTTGCAGTTGCTTGGAGCCTAAAACAGAATTAATGTTTTATACCTAGGTGTGCCCGGCAAGGCCGCCAGCCAATCACCACATACGGACGCGCATCGGGTCGCTATACGGCCATCGACCATTTCGGAGGCGACCGAGAGATAGATAGAAACGGGGACGAATCGTACACAACCCCTGTAAGGCAATCGTAGTGACGGAACGGCTCTGATAAGCATGGCTGGGGACGAGAATATTGCATAATGCCCCGACTGGGATGCTAGTAGTCGGCTTGACATACGGCATAGATCACAGACAGCGTCCGAGGAGCCGACAACTAGCGTGTGGTTTCGTAGTTTTCAAACGTCATTTTGCTGAGAAAAGCAAATGACGTGTTGAATTGCTGGCAGTAATCATAGTCGGCTCGTGAGTCGGCTCGTGTTGCGCCTCAAACATGTTAGTGTCCTACGGAGGTATAATGCTTGACTGAGACAGGAACCGTATCGACTAGTACGTGTAGGTTGCTTTTTAGTGTGCTTTTTGTCTGGCTTTTACAGTTTTTATTGAATGGGGAAAAAGTCGCGGGAAAACGAACGTACGCACGGACCGCCTAAGCACCAGATTACGAGCAGACCAAATTCTGATTGATTTATACATCTGGTAAACTAAGCCAATGCCATGTAATGAAGGACGGATGCTAGTGAGCAGGCTATACCGATATGGCGGTCAACTATATATACAAATGAAGTGATAGTTGATGAAAGCGAGATGTACTAAGCTAGTTTTGCCACGTTGAGCAGAAGAGAGGTCTTGTGAACAACTTGTCTAGCCGAAGATGAAGGGAGCAGACGGCCCTGAAGTCTCATAGACAGCGTTTTCTTTGTCCTCGCCGGACTGAGCATCTTCTTGGCTGCTTTGCTCGAAAATAGAAGTACCCTGTATGCTACCATCTGGCTGTACCTCTTGTAGAGGTCCGTCGCCCTCAACAGACATATTCTCATCGATGGCATCAGATAGTTCCTGTTCTTGCTCTTCGAGTTGGTCAGATTGAGCAACTGCAACCTCGTCTTCTTCTTCGTACTCATCTTGTGCATCGTCTTGCTGGCCATCCGCATCATTACCAGCGCCTTCGCCAAGCTCTTCCCTATCTTCCACATCTTCGTACTCCTCTCGGTCCTGCTCTGAAGAGACCAGGCCACCCTCATGACCTTCGTCGTCCGCCGCATCGCTAGTAGGCTCCAGGTCGGTTTCAGGAAGTCCGTCGATATCGTCTTGTGCTTCTTCTTGGTCCTCACCATCCTCGTCACCCTCATTTTCAACAGGCGATTCGTCAGACAAGTCGGCTGTCATCAGCTCATGGAGAAACTGATCGACCTGAGCAATGTATTTGTCGGGAATCTGGCGCACAGTGTGGCCACGCATCTTACGTGGGGCCAAGGGCCTAGTGGGCTTTTTGATACCTGCGTCCAAAGCCTTACGTCCAACATCCTTCTTAGGGGGAGCGGCTTTGGCTGCCTTCTTAGGAGGGCGACCTCTCCTGGCCGGCTGGGGAGTAGGCTGTTCCTCGATGATCTTCTTAGCTGGAGGCAGACGTGTGCGCAACTTGGATTGCATGCGTGGGTCTTGACGAGGTGGAGCAGCGGCAGCCTTGGTAGGTTTGGAGCGAGGCGATGTCCGCTTTCCCACACGCGAATCAGTCACTCTATTGAGATCCGGAGCTGCTGCTTTTGCTGGACGGCCGCGCTTTGGTGTGATAGGAGCATCCTCTTGAGCAGCCGCTTCTTTGCGGGGGCGTCCACGCTTCTTGGGGACAGGCGCTTCTTCTTCAGCTTCGGCAGACTCTGCCTCCTTGGTCTTTCCATTGGCCTTCTTTGGTACATCTTCTTCGGCTTCAGGCTTAGACGCATGTAGAGATGGGCGACCGCGTTTCTTGGGCTGAGGCGCGTCCTCGATCTCAGCTTCAGGCTCGTTTGCTTTCGCCTTGGGGGGTCGACCGCGCTTCTTCGGCGGCTCGATAGCAACGTCCACGGTATCTGACTTCGCTGGGCGACCTCGCTTTGGTGTCGCTTCTGCTGCGCTCGCCTTGCGCCCGGTTCCGCGCAACGCGTTGCGGGCTTTGGGTGCCATTGTTGTGATGTTTCTGCTGTTCTAGTGTTTCGCGACAGGCAATTGGATATTGGAACGCGTAAATGTAATGCAGCGAAAGAAATTGGTTTGAGACGCGACTTGATTGTTTGTGGTAGGAACTGCGGAGGGTCGGAACGTCACAATGTAGTCAGCACGTCAGGCGTGCGCAGCCACGATCGGCCCTCTCACCCCAACTGCGGGTCGCGTGAAACTCTTTTACCTGAAATAAAGTTGGACTATCATCAGCTTTACCTGTCGTAAACATGAGAAGAACCGCAGTAACCACATCGCATCACCAAACGATAAGCCATGAATACTAGATCACGATGTTCGCAATATGAACATACTCTAGTGTCTAGTTCTCCCGATCCTACCATCAAGACGGCCACTATCCAATACCTTCGAAAACCCCTTTGGTTCTGTGAACCTTGACATTCGATTTTCAATTCTCATTGCGGAAACAAAGCTTCTTGTCGCGAATCTCAACCACATGTTCCTATTTCACCGTCATCCACAATATTAATTTCCATTCTCGACGCAGCATATTTAACATCATTCATTACCTCCTCCATACTTCGGTAACGATAGTTTAAGGCAACAGTCAATGCCGAATTCAATCTTGCGTCTTCAAAATGGTCAGGTCATGGTTGGTATGACGACGACGTTGCAAAGTTGTTGCTCATGAGAGGTTTGACAAACACAACCCAGTGGTATCTGAGAGAAGAATTCTGTTAGAGCGAATATGCTCAAAAAAAAGCACATACTGACAGGTCTTCCTTCACGCATCGATGTACCCATTCTCCAGCCAAGGTATCATCACCGACGGTACCGTGGAAGATGAGTTTACCTTCTATCCAGGGAAAATGTAGATACGCGCCATCTTCCTCGCTTCACTTCATATCGTGTCCAGATGGGTAGGGATCATAAGGTGGAGCACGCTCTCTTCTGTTCTCTGTTCCTTGGGAAGATTCCATCGTCGTTGCAATCATTGTCGATTTCCGGTGCGGCGGCGCAGATGAAAACAGTGATTGCGAAAGACAAGTCTGACCGTAGTCAAACCAGCCTTTGCAGAATTTTCTGTAGAATCGGATCGTGAATGGGCGAAGGTGAGATCTGAGAGAACTTGTACGTCCCGGCCTTGCTCTTGGGTCGGGGAAGTCGTCATAGTATTTTATCAATACATGCTCTTACCATCTTTGCGTGGGAGGACAACTCCATGTTCAAATAATCGCACTAAAATTGCCAGGAGTATTTGAGTTCCCTACTCGATTTTGCTGGACTGGAATATGCTCTTCGGGAAACGAAAGAACAAGTTCTCAAGGCGGACGTGGTGCTGGTAATTCCGATGATAGGAATGAGTCCACGTCTACGGCGGGGAGGGGGCGGAGGTTTCGTAAAGAAGATCAATGTTACAGTGGCAAAGATGTCTTCAATGCGAAAATATGAAGTTATTGAGAAGCAGCATGTACGGGCGAACAGTATAGGCATAAGATCCCTAGATTCAACACCCTGTACTAGGCTGCCTGCTGCCTGCGATAAGTGGTTATTAAGAGTCGTCTCCATCACGAAAAGATACCACATTTAACCAAACTCCCTCTAAAACTCCCGGCCACCATGCACTCCCGTCAGAAATACCACGTTCCTCGTAACCCCGCCCCTAAGTTCAGAAGGGTAAAGGCGTCATGCACTTCCAGGGCCCTAAGCGAAACCTGCAAGTACCCCACCCCACACCCACCCTCCCTCACCCTCACGCACAAATCCTATTTCTAACAACATATACCAACTCATTATTTAATCTTCCATCAATCACGTGAATAACCATTCATCAGCATCGGTGGTTTAGTGGTAAAATTAGCCGTTGCCATCCGTATAGGACAGTTTCGGCTAGCCCCGGGTTCGGTAAGCTTGCACTCCACCATTGTCCATTCGATTCAGCATCCTAACAATTATTCAGATTCCCGGCCGATGCAATCCATCACTCAGATTCTTTTTTTGCTGCTGCGGAGACGTTAAGCATTGACATATAAACAGCTACTCACTAAACCTTTTTTGTATTCGAGGTGTTGTAGAAGCACTTTAGTTTTTTGTACATCTTGTTAAGAATAGATCTGTCGGTAAAATTCCCTCGAGGTTATTATCTCCCTCAACTTCGTATCCCTTGCCAGACAGGAAAGTCATCACGGCAGTTTGAACTTCCTCTGCTGAGTTATATCTAACGCCCTAGCATTTGTTCCCTAGTTCGCGCATACACTTTCTCTCCAGCGGCAGCCATTCTGTGTGCACCATACCAGCGATCTCTTGTGTAGATATGTCTTTCAATTGCTCTTCAGGCCAAGTGCAGTTCGTGAGCTGAAGAATCGCACATCCAAACTAGAACATATCTGTTTGCTTGGTCACATCACGAATGGTATTTCCGGGAGCAAACCACTATCTAGTGGCATAATGATAACATTTGATAAGCCGGTGATCCCTTGACCGACTCCGAAACCCAGCGTTTATGAAGTCAACTGGAGAAAGAGTAAGTTCGGAAAAGAGCGAGCATTGATCTGGCTCTCCAAAGATTATCATCTCGTTAATTCGCATCTTCGGAATCGTCGGACAGGTGGGTAGGGTTCATGGACAAACATTACTGAGTCTCATTCTAGCTCTGTAGCCTCAATTCAACCTAGACTAGAGCTAGATTCTAGGTGTCTTGTAGGTACAGGTTCTGGCCATTTTGTTGTGGTTGGAGATGAACGATTTCGAAGCGGGTTCGTGCTGATTCTAGAAGGTATTGCGTGCTGCTATCACCTTCTTCCACACGATACATTGTTCTTGTCGCTGCCCGTTATGACGCAGTAGCATGTTGGAGAGTCTTTCACGTCTCTCCCTCAATGCAATTACGCCCATAGCTCACCACGCCTTTCCACGCACTATCATCGGTCTGAAATATTACATCTGTAACATGTTCAGTGAAGTGAGGAATTACATAGATCACCCTGCTGCCTGTGTGCAGTATTTCATTCACCGAATTGTTTGCCACGCCTCCTACTACTCTCTTCCAGAATTGCAGAGAACCTCACCTCTCCATCATAACTAGACCGAACTACGACCCTCTCCTTCAACCCACCACAACAAAGATGGATTACAACCCAATTTCATACACAACAACCGAGAAACCCAATGAAGCATCTTCCATTGCTTCCGACACAAAAAGGCCACAATACGATCTATCGCAGCACGTCCCACAACCTCCACACCCCAACGAATCCCCTGTCGACGCGCCCCTCGCACCAACACCATCCAGCCCATCAGCAACCCAAATTTTCGGAAACCAACAAATTACACCTCTCCTATACCTTGACCATTCAATACTGGCTTCCCTACATCAACACCACCACCTACTATCCAACCTACCGCCTGCCCTCAGAGAAAAATTAGCCTTGCAACACTATCGCGACGACAAACCTACTCATCCAAGTGACAGCCAACCTGGAATTAACGTGTGGCGCTGCTCACACTTAGAGTGCCGTCATGTCAACGAATCACTAGTGACGCGAGCATGGGAACACAACCAAAAGGGTATCGTGTGGTACCGGGATAAATGTAAAATGTGTCATAAGTCGGCGACGCGTTATGCACAATTTCTGCAGGTCAAGCTGATTCCGAGTGCGGAGGAGGAGAGGGGTGGGGAGAAAGAGGAGGAGGAGAAGCTTGATCGTATGGCGGTAGAGGTCGTAAATAATTATCTTAAAGCGGTGAAAGAAGAGAGGAAGCGTAGGGCGGGAGAGCAAGAGCTGAAGGATAAGGCGGGTGTGGAGGCAGAGGAGCGTGCAGATAAGGTTGGCGGTGGAAGAATGGGTACGAAGATTTGGACAAGGATGATATCGTATAGGTGTATGGGGATTTGGATATGCCGGGGATTGGCTACCATGAGAGAGATGGGGGCTTGGAAGATGATGATTTTGACTGGGTGTAGACATGTGTGGCGTGGTAGGGTGTCGAGCAGGGCTGTTTGCGACCAGTCTTGACTTAGGTTACATGATTCTTATCAAGCAAGAGGGGCTAGACTGAGATCTCAAATTCAAGATACTTCAGTTCATCATCACATGCTGGTGAGAATTGTTTTTGAACTACAAGAAACCCACTAGAACTAGCTATCCCAAACTCTTCCCGCACTGCATCAACACTTGCAAAATTGGCTCAAACTACCCTTTGGAGAACATTATCGCTTTCACGATAACGCATGCCCCGTATTTGTTTGGCGCGCCTCTTTCACGGTCTCGGCAACGACCAAAACACATGCTTCACTGTAACTGGACAGCACCTCCCCGCACTAATCCTGTCCGTAACCGCGCAACTAGATAGCCTCTATCTTACCCAATAGAAAGGAACATCAACATCTCAGCACACCCAAACACCGCACACATTACATCGCACACCTACCATCCCATGCGCCAACAGCAACAATGTCGCACCACCAAAACGAAGCACCAATCGACAAACGAGTCTTACAACACCACCAATCCGAAATCCCCACCAACCAACACGCCACCCTACACCACCACCCCCTCATCGAAGTAAATCACGCAAAGTTTATCCGAGTACTCGTGTGGCGCTGCTCCCACTCAGACTGCGCCCACGACAACCTATCGCTGATGAAAGATAAAGACTGCAACTGTGGATGGTATGAGGCGCTGGTTGGGGGAGAACTCGATGGATCTGGCATCGAATGCATGTGTGAATGCGATGGGTTGGTGACGATTTGGAAAGAGGATTTGTGCGTCTTGTGTTGGAGGCCGGCGGGGTTGAGGTGTCTTGTTGTTGATATTAAGCTTTTTGGGGAGGTTAGGATTATTGAGAGGGAGAGGGGGGATGAGTCAGACGAGGATAAGGATCAGGAGGAGGAGAGGGAAGAGAAGGAGAGAAAAGATGAGCAGAAGAGAAAGGAGGATGTGGACGAGAGTGAGGAAAAGCAGAGGAAGAAGCGCAAGGGAGATAGGGAGCTAGAAGGGCCTATAACCAAGATTCCGCGTATGGAAGAAGACGAAGGCATAGCACATTCCAGGCAAAGTAACGAGGACATTGACTTGTGGATATGGAATCAGGACTACCAGATATGGTACAGGGCTAGGTCAAGGGCATGAAAACTACATCGCATGAAAAATGTAGAAGTAAGAAGGAAGCAAGCGGATTTCATTTCATCGATTGATTCATATTATGTCTGGTGCACTTTAACTAGGCGGCACTTGTCGCTGAGCTTCATTGCACTAAACTACCAATCAAACTGCATTTCCTCCATCGCCCACCTCTTTGTCATGGTGTCATTCACAAACGGTCCTAGACTGGGAGGTACATCTTCTGGCCGCGTTCCCCAGGCGCTCTCCTGGGGTCCTAGCGTCAATTCCAACACGTCACCTTCGAGGAAGAAGCTATGCTGCAGCCAGTTCCTAGTATAAGGCACGCCATTGAGTGTCGCAGACTGGATGTAGATGTTCTTGTAGCTTGCGTCGAAGTTGATGTTTCGAATAATGGATGTTTTGCCTGTCTGGCCGTTCTTGATGGAGATGCTCTCGAAGAATGGTGGAATGATGAAGTAAACATCTTGGCCTGCGTTCGGGAAGAAGCCCATCATTACGAAGGCTTCAAATGAGCCCATTGCGCCACTGTCGTCATTTCCTGGAATACCTTCGACCGTGTCGTTGAACAACGAGGGAATGTACTGGTGGGCGCGTTCTGCAGAGAGAGCTGGACGGCCGGCATAGTGGTATAGGAAGACGTTGAGGAAGGCCTGTTCATCGCCAATATACAAGATGCCAGATTCGTGGAGCCAGTTCATGCGAGCTACGAAGCGATCACGGCCCCCAAGTGTTTGGATGAGAGTAGCCATGTCACCAGGAGCAAAGAACGTGTACAACCAAACTGGTCCCTCGTATGTCTCCCCTCCGGCGGGGTTCAAGTAGCAGCCGGTGAAATTAAGTAACGGCGAGCAATAGATAGGGTCTTGATAACCCCATGTGCCGTTCATATAGCGCGGTTGAAGGAAGCCTTCGAAACCGACATCAGTACCGTTCAAAGTGCTGCGCTGATCGGCCTTGAACATGTTCTTCCAGTTTCCAGATCGAGTGAGGTACTTTTGATAGTCAGCTTGATTGCCGAGTTCGCGGGCTAGCAAGGCAATGGTGAAGTCGTTGTAAGCGTATTCTACAGTACGCGATACAGAGCGTGTTTCTGTTCCTACGCCTTCAACGTCTAGGTTGTCAGTTGGGATGTAGCCCAGGGATTTCCAAGCTGCGAGACCGCCGCGACCTAGTAGCGTGTTAGTATTGAGATAGGGAATTCTGAGTCATTGTAACCATACCTTCAACATCCCAGTTCGGCGGCTCAACCTCTGCATCCTTCACCACAGCCTCGTACGCCAAAGCCCAGTCGATGCCAGCGGTGATGTTCTTCAGATATGCGTCGGTGATGACAATATCTGCATTAGACCCTCCCTGCGTGAAACCCTTGCAGAAACTCATGCGACAGTCCGGAAGCCATCCCTCGTGACGATATATGTCCAATAGACTCCTTATCATCAATGACTGGCTGAGTGGATCGAGTATCGTTATCAGAGGATGGATGCTTCTGAAACTATCCCAGATGCAGTAGAAAGAGTCGTAGTATGGTTCGTCAGACTTCCAAAACGGATTCTCGTCAGTGTAGTCTTGCGGGCTGATCATTGAGCGGTATACACCACTCCAAAACGCTTTCAGGAAGACCTCATCGATGCCGCCGTCCTGCACTGTGATGACATCGAGCTTGGCTCGCCATACAGATTCTGCGGCTGCGACCACTTCGTCGAACTTTCCCAAGGGTATCTCGGCTTCGGCGTTGCTACAGGCTTGCGCTTCGCTGACGAAGCTCATACCCACTCGCGCAATGATCTGGTTGCCCTGGGAAGGCTTTTCGAATTGTACCCAGCCACCAGCGGGTCGGTTATCTTTTGCTTGTCGCGCATCGCTCAAGGAAATCTTCAAGCTCGTTGCCTTGGCAGTGGCTCGGGTGTTGGACCATACGCCGGCATCCTTGACTTTGGCGCCATTGAAGTCAAGACAGAAGTATGATTGATATGAACCGATTCCGAACGATGGTGCAAAGAGCCCGCCACCTGTTATGCGACCTGTGTCGGGATATACGGTGATGTTTCCGTCATTCCTGGAGTTTGGTAAATCTGTGAGCTCAACCAAGATATGTGGGTTCAGCGTCGTGTTCGCGGTAGTGGGTGTGTCAGGGAATGTCATGCGGTACAAAGCAGTCTTGTTCGTCGCAGTCATTTCCGTTCTGATGTTGTTAACCAGCGTGATATCAAAGTACCCAGGTTTGGCGTGCACGCTTCCTGGTATACGATATACTGCTCGGTCTTGTTTTGGATAGACACACGCATTGATATCTCCGTTCGGACACCCAGCCTGCGCGAAGATGGGGAAATTGCCGAGGGATGGTGAGCCACCAGTACCAGAATCGTGCATATGGGAATATCCATAGATGGGTTCGGAATCATTCGAAGAGAAACCTCCTTGGTTCTCTCCTATCACATCGGGACCGGCTTTGGCCATGCCTGGAGAATTGTTAATTACCCTCCACGCATCGTCCGGCGAAAATTACTTACCAAATGGCAATGTTGCACCCGGAAACACATGGCCTACGTGTAATTAGTTTGTTGTGAACAATGCTTCTCTTGAATTCCACAAACCTCCATTGACCGTTCCAATGAGGGGATTAACATAGTCGAACCCGGATTTTGCTTGCGGCTGTGAGGAACCATACTGTGAGCTCACAGACGTTATGAATAACCATAATGATGCCGCGGACGCAGTACTGATTGAGAATACACCCATCATTGAACACAAAGTAAGTGGTAAGCAATTGGGAGACGCGCTGGCTCATCAGTGCCGATGCATCCCCGCGACTATTTATCCTTCCATTCCATGCTGCTTGGCAGTGACGCGAGGCCACCGATGGTCCACCACGACGGTACCTGCCACCCAAGTGCGCGGATTCTGTCGGACGGGAGCATGTGCATTATGTCCGAAGGCAATCGCCTGACATTACAAGGTTCACATTGCGGCTTTGCATGCACGTAACATCATGTACAGCCAAGTACGGTGGCTGCGGGGTACATACATCAACCGTAGATCCATGCTGTTCTAGCAGTGATAATCAACATCCGGCTGGTAGTCTAGACCACATACGGGGCTCCTCTGCACAAAGTTATGGGTTGGGGTAGCAGTCGGGGTAGGTGGAGTTCTGGCTCGTAATGTAACCTCGGCGTATTGCAATGCAAGATGGGCATATACAAAGCTTTGTAAACAGTGTCTACATAGACTGAGGAACAAACCACAGCATGTTCTTGAAATTGCATCGAATTGATGAGGTTTATAGAACAAGACATTCGCATGTCAAACATATCGATGTGGCGCCTGAGCCTGCAGAGGCGACGTCATCGCAAGCCACTAACCACTTTAGGCGTAAACAGGGCACCATCTCCGCAAATCTGTCTAACCCCAACAACTCAACCACTCCGTACCGTCCGGTACATTTCGAGTTACTCGCTGACCGCTGATGCGCATCATACAGGGCGCATACAATTCCCCCTGATGATCTCCATAAGGCAAGATAGCCGCAAGACTAGCTAGGTAGAAAATCAGGCTCACTTAAGCGCGGAAACTGGACATTTCCAATCCGTGGTTATGATGACTTCGTTCCGAACTACCGTCCGCGTGACCTGGCTCTGGGTCAGTTCTAGGCGCATGCTCTTGGCACGCTTATCTGTGCTACACCATAGCAGCACTTCTCAGTATCGATTTCGCGGCTATGCGGCATCTGCGCAGCCTCGTCAGGCTGACGGGCCCGGATGGCAAAGTCACGCGGCTAATGGAAGGATTCCGTAACGCCCTGGTGGTTTTCTAGCCAATCCTACATAACCAGAGGCTCGGTTACATGTCTAGAGATGGTAAAGACCAAGCTTCATATACCCTGTGGCGCTCCCGTTGTCAAGAGCCCAAATCTTGGTACTCTTAAAAGGCCCAGGCACAAACACTCCAAGGCATTCTTTGGGAAAATATATATTAAGGCTATTTCGCATTTATGTTCATATATCAATGGACACGATACCACCATTACAGAAAAATTCCAAACGATTAGCTACAATTCGCTATCCGGAGATACGCCTACACAGTCATGACAACTGATTTCTACTATCCATCGGTCACTACTACGACCTCTTCCTCGACCTCTTCCCGGACGCTAGACTATTGGGATATGCTCTTTCCAACAGGGTACCCTATGCCCACATTCAATCCCGGGACACAAACGGTGTCACAGAGAACCTGTCACAGAAATAGATACGGCAGGTGTTCAGGGGGAGGTTGGAATAGTTGGTCGGCGGGTAAAAGAGGTGCTATCATCGCCGTTGCAATCGTGGTAGCCGTTATTGTTATTGCTTCATGCTGTTGCTGCAATGGGAAAAAATCTGGCAACCGGAAAAGGAGTCAGTCGGTAACATTGGAAGAGCAACCGAATGAGCGACAGAGTTCGGCGAGAGCCACAAATGAACAGCGGGAGGTTGAAAGGTCACAAGCTCCACCGCAGACGACGCTGCAGGATATGCCGCCTACATACCAGGAAACTTTGGAGCATCAGCAGCCTACGGCCATGCCCGCGGAACACGTAGACAACCCTCCCAATGGATGGCCGCCGACATACATGGACTCTACTTCTACTTCGACCGTCACGCAACCTGCTCCTACAGCAAGTCTCCCATCACGCACGCCGTATCCAAACCTCCCATCATCTCCGCCGCGGTAAATAACAACAACAACAACAACAACAACAACAACAACACGATCATGACTACATTTCTTTAACTCGCATATCTCCACACATCGCGAACGCTCCAAAGCTAGCGAGGCAAACCCCCGAGCGATGAATGGTAACAGCACTACATCGTGAGCGATGAGCCAAGCCTAGCATAAACAGTAAAACTGACAAAGACTCCAAGGTAAAAAATTGGTGTATATACGGTGCTGTACCTAGAAATTGTTCTGCGGCAAGCCTAGACCTACCATACTTTACTCACGACGATCTCAACAATGTCATTGACTCAACCCAACACCTACCATCGCTCCACCCAAAGATCTATTCACACCGCCATGGCCATTGGAGCTGTCATAGACTTCTTGGGTTGCTTGTACCACCATACCTGTTCTACCAACATGAACTGCGGCGAAATATCAAGTTAGGCAGTCAGGGGCGAGAGGCGTGGGAAAATGGCCAGACGGGCAGATGGAGAGTGGGAATCTGGAAGTTGGTGCGGTCCACCAACTTGGATCTTGTTATCTGAAGAATTTGGCTGGAGATGAGAGAAGGTTTGAAATGAGTGCAGTAGGGAAGTGAGAAGGTTGTTGTGCTTTCAATCAGCCTGGAGATAGACATGGTGGTCTAACAGCTGTATATAACTCTCAAACACTAGAAATCTGTACAATACATACATTTCCTTCATGTAAAGCCTATGCCCTCTAGTAAGTTTCATGCTCCATTTTGGGGGTATCATCGTGACATCCAATCTATCCTGTTAACCTTTTCGCTTTTCGACTCCAGCCATTCAACCAGTACGATAATACTTCCCCTCATGTCCATCCACACCGTTCACACCACCAGCATCATCCCCATCCTCTCTCGTCCTCACAGTTCCAGCGCCCGGACCTAATTCATCACCAATTACCATCCCACTGAAATTTCCATTCTCATCCACATAATCGTCCATGTTCTCCGCTGTAATCCAGCCCGAAGCCCCCGGCGCTGTGTTATCCAGCACATCCTCGCCGTCATCGCTGCCATCAGGATCAGGGTGCAGATCGGCGCAAGTGTTCAGTGCGGTGAAGAACTCAGTGATACATGTCTCGGTGGGTTTTGTAGTGTACGAGGGCGGTAGGACAGTAATCTCCAGCATAAGGATATCATCGTCTTCGTTTACGGTTTCGGCGTCGTTAAGTGAGATGTTGATATAGAGAGCTTCGATAGTGGTCTTGTACTTCATCGTTGCGTGCAGGGCTAGAGAAGGGTAGGGGATTGATACGCCGACTGGGGAGGGGGTGGTTTGGAATAGAATGAGGTTTCTGGGGTGTTGAGTATGTTTGTGGGGAAATCGGAAACTGCTACTGCTACTACTCACTCTGAAGTCACCCAGACATCGACGTTGTCTACAAAGTCCTCGGAGCCTTCTCGTCTTGAGCTGAATTTGCCGAATGCAGGATCTTGCTTTAGCTGGTCGATGGCGGTGGATAGAGTCATGGCTTCATAGTGGGCGTGTAGGACGGGTTTTGCGCCGAAGAAGGAGGTGGGGGTTTGCTCTTGGTGTTCGGAGAGTGGGGTGAAGTCTTCGGCCTTGGGCGCGGCCGTGAGCTGTTGGAGGGACATGGCGACGATGTAGATATGGCGTATTCGGAGTGCAAAAGCTGATTCAGTATATGGAGGAGAAAGAAGTAAAGACGCTATTGCTGTTGTAATTCGATGTTTACTCAGAGACCAAAAAGTCGCGGCGGGAGCTAGCTAGGCGTCATTGCCCCACTTCGATCTTGGCAGGTACCGATTGGTCTTCTTGCGAATAGCTTCTTCTTCTTCGTCGCGAGGAACTCAAGATGCCCAACACGCGTCTCCAACTCTCGTTCACGACACAAATCTAGTCGCCAAGACATACTATACCTGCGCATGAGCTCCACATGATGCCTTGAGCACCTTCTCCCACCAGCTGCGGCATCTCATCTTGACACCTACCCAACCATGTCGTCCTTCCCCACGACCCCCATCGCCAAACTCACAGGCCACACCGGCATCGTCCACGCCGTCGCCTACTCCTCCGGCGCCCAAACCTACATCCTAACCGGCTCCTCGGACCGACAAATCCGTCTCTACAACCCGTCCAAGGCACCGCCCACGAGCCTCACCCCCAGCACCTCGTCGGAGCGCCCCGCGGGCCTCGTCAACAAATACACCGCGCACGGCTACGAAGTCCTCTCCCTTGCCATCGCCGCCTCAAACGACAAATTCGTGTCTACGGGCGGCGACAAGACCGTGTTTCTGTGGGATGTACAAACGGCCCAGACAATCCAGCGCTGGACGGGCCACGCCGGGCGCGTGAATCGCGGTGTCTTTGGTGGCGACGATGATGGTGTGGTGGTGACGGGGTCGTTTGATGGTACGGTGAGGGTGTGGGATACCAAGTCTAGGGCGCATAAACCTATTATGACGCTGTCGGATGCTAAGGATAGTATTTCGGATGTTGCGGTTCATGACGCGCAGATCCTGGCGGCGAGTGTGGATGGGAGGGTTCGCTGCTATGACCTCAGAACTGGCATGTGTGAGGTCGATGTTATCGGTGCGTCGTGCACTAGTTTGGATATCAGTAAGAAGGGCACTGAGGTGCTTGTCAGTTCCCTAGATTCTACAATCAGGCTCATGGATCGCGAGAATGGCGAGATGTTGAAGAAATACACGGATGAGGCGTTTGTGAATACAGAGTTGAGGGTTAGGAGCACATTGGGCCTGAATGATAGTGTCGTGCTTAGTGGAAGTGACGATGGTTTGGTTTTTGCCTGGGATATGCTGGGCGGCACTTGTTTGCATCGGTTCAAGCATTCCGAGATGAGGGAGGTTGAGGGTTTGACGGCTGCGACGCAGGCGAAGGCGAAGGGGAAGAAGGATGTCGTGTCTGCTGTGGCGTTTTGCGAGAAGAGGAGGGAGTGGTGTAGTGGAGGTGGTGATGGGAATGTTGTTGTTTGGGGTATGGGAAGTTGACATTTTGTTCATATGCCTGTTTTGCTGTTTTATGATACCCTACATTGGAATGATTTGTAGACGCATTTGAAGTATGTCTTGCTGTACTGGCATATACTGAGCTCTGTTACTTTTTGCACACTTGATCTGTATCATCAAGATCTACATAGATGTACCGAACGAGATACGATAGGACATGAGGCGGCAAGTATCGTTAATGTGTACTGAAGAAACGTATATAAGCGAGTTTGAAGCCATGGCTAACGTAGTAAACAAAGATCAATCTGCAATTTATCAAGGAGATGGAAAGCAGACAACAAAATGGCATATCAGACACCTCCCAGTGTTAATCAACCAAACAACAAAAACTGAATCATGAAATAGCTTAGAAAGATCGTAAGTGGGTGGGTGGCGAGGAAGACATTGTGGTTAAGAAAGTGGCGTTACTGTATATAGCGTAGCGTGGAGGTATCCAGGGTACCAAAAGGGATCGTGTAACGTATTTGAAGGCGAGAACATTCGGCTGCGGGTAGGGCCGTAGGGCTGAAGGGATGCAGTGCGGGTACCGGCCCGGTCCTAGGCGTGGCCGCTTATATCGAGCTTGGGTACGTATCCGTTACTAGAAGTACTTTCCGTAATGTCCGTCTTCGTATGCACGCAGTGATTGATCATTATCGTTGAATGTGTAGACATGAACGATAACGCCTCTCTTTTCAGTGCCTATCCAGTAAGATTAGTCATCTGACATATCTAAAGGGCCCAGGATACTTACGTCCATTTGGCCACTGGTGAGCCTGCCATTGACCGTTTCGCATCGAATTCGGTAACCAAGACTGTAGTAGGCTGGCATCCATGGACAACGCAAGTAACGACAGGAATATGGGCAGGTCTCCTGTCAGACCCACATAACCAAGGTATCCTTGTCCATGGTAGATATCTGGTAGGAGCATACTGTGCCAATAAAGGGTGGGATTGTGGAATTGGAGCGCAGAGTGGGTGCCGACATTGGTTAGAGACGATGAATAGTCCGGGTTGTGATTGAACCGTAGACAATGCCAGGACTCCTCGGCTGGTGGACTGGTAGCGTCACCACGCAATACCCAGAAGCCGTGACCGTTTTTAAAGTACGTTGAGAAGACACTATAAGGGGAGGCGTTTGGTGGTAGGGAAGGACCGTATCTATGGATGTTTAGGCCGTCGCAGTACCACCAGATGTACGAAACACCTGTGCCTATACGCTGATTGTATTCACCATAAGGTGGTAACCATTTTCCTTCATTATCACGTGTTGGTGGAGTGTTCGGGTCTTCTCCGATTTCTTCCATACGGAAGAAGAATAGCGGTACACGGGGTAGTGGTGGTTGCTGAATGACGTCAGTTTACCAATTGCAGATTTCCAGCCTTGGGGAAGTCAGACATACACTCATCTCTTATTCGACGCGTTTTTCCGTGTGGGAAGTTCTTGCCCAACCGTACAATGTGCTTAGCTGTGCCGTGACTGCGCTTGCACTGGTCCAGGGTGCTTGATGTCACCTCACCTCCCAGATACCTTTATCCTTCTCCGCTATGCGGCTCTGCGTTTGATGGAAAACCACCCCAGTCCATAGGTCAGAAGATGACCTTTTCGATGACAACAGAGCGGGAACGAATCTCGGAATAGCGTCTGATAAGCTGGGGTTTCTCTGGAACAGGCATGGCGCGTAATCCTGCGCCGTGCTGCAGCAAGTATAGGTAGGCGATAGCGAGCCTACCCCGCTGTATGTCAATATTATCACTGGTCACTGTCCCGGTGTTGTATAGTTGTCTGGCTTCCCCGGATAGACGGTACCAGCAGCCGAACATCTTGAGCCAGGTCCGAAATCCAGCTTTCCCTGTAAAGAACGGTTCGCAGACTCGTATGGGATATGATCTTGGACTTTTCCAACGTTGAACAAGATGTGGGGGCTTCATAGCTACCGACATTGTCAGCTGCGTGCCAGGAAAAAGCACTGTTGCCAGCCGGCCCTATCGCGCTTCAAGTGGTCTCATGGCCCGCATGAACACCAACCGCCTTGGACCGGCCCGCCAGCAAATGGAGTGGCACGGCACCCGCCCGGGCAAGTTCAAGGGTGGATCCCTCCTAGCGAAGCGCCTCGTTTTCCAGCCACGGCACTTGTTGCGAGACAACGGAAGGGCTAATCCGTCCGAGATGCGGCTAGAGTTTTAGTCGGGAGGTGTGTTGCTGTTATGCCGCAATACGAAGGATATTCTAGTCCGGCAGATATCCGTGTTGAGGTCGATTAGTTGCAGGTGCTCTTCTTGCTATAGGCCTGGCCATGCCCCGTACGTGACGGTAGAAGTCCATGCTTGGCCTCAATGGACTTAATGAGTGGTGGACGGACAATGCATAGCGATCTTCTATGCATGACCTCGTTGTAGGGGTGGTACCATTGCCGTGAAAATCCACTCGTTTCCTGAACATGGGTGATAGTGACTCAAGGATGCGGCTCTGCGTGACAAAGAGGGGTTATAAGCCGGCCTATGGACACTGTGGACCAACCTTTGTATGCCAGCGCTTAACTTGTCGATAAGCTGGTGAGTGTCCGGCGGCCCATACCCGCACGGCGGCTATATGAATCTGTGCTAGTAAGTGAGATCGAAGTTTCTTTAGTGACGAACAATTGCGCAGCTTTCTTGGTTTCAAATCGTCGGAGGCCGAGGGGATTCGAAGCTTAAGTAGATGCTGGAGGGATTCAGCTGACAGACAGAAGCCGGGCGCAAGGCAAACTGAGGGACCTCCTGCAAGTTTGCCTTCTTTCTCTACGATCTTGACGTTTGGCAGCCTTCGATTGGTGAAGACGAGCAATGTACCGTTAAATGTACATCGGCTGCAGCGGCACATGATCCGTTTGGCTTCGCGACAGCAGCATATTCGCTGATTTCGCCATGGGTAGGGAGCAGCGGCATGCATAATCGTTTACCCTTTTTCACCGGATACTGACCCTTGCCACGTACCTTCCTCAACGGCGGTAAGAACGAACAGAAAAGGGAATCAAGCACTCACCGGTCGATACAGAACGAAACAAAGGAGGGGGTCATTACGAATGAGGTCATGCGCACACTCAAGGCGCATTGCTCGATCGATGAGCATGCTACCGCCCAGCGCAATCGAGAAAAGAGCCGGTGCCCCAGACGATGCTGTAATACCGTGTCTACGGCAGTGCTCAACTCCAGATTTTTGTCAGATAACGCGCAATTGCACCGGGGCCCCGCACTGATGATGGTCTACGATCTCGGAAGGCCAGCACGATTATGTCTAAGCTCCATGGTCGGAAAAAGAAATGATGGTATCGTACAACCGATAAGCATCCCCCCTTCCTCATCGTGACGGGAATGACGCATGAACCAACCTCCGGAAGCGCTGTCCATGTTCAGGGTGCACTTTCCTGCGCAATGGAACAGCCAATGGCCGTATGAACTAGTTGGACGGGATGAATCCTCTGAAGACCCAATTCAGAATGCAGGATGCGCCAGAGCGAGTACCTCGGTACTCTCCACGGTAAAGGATAGAGGCTCTGCCCAGGTTAACAGGTACCTTGGAAGCTACGTATTCGCCAATTAGGATCATTCGTTTTCTCCAAATGTCGTGACAAAGGCCTGTTTGGTGGATGGTGGATACCAAAGTATCAGACCGATATTGTTTCCATTGGCTAGGAACGTAACACCGATGCACTAAGTATCCACGAAATCTGTCCAAGGCCGTGGTAGTATCCAGGAATGCCCGTCTTTAGCGCTTTGGCTGCCAGGGTTGAGTCTGGCGGAGGCCCCTGCTTGTGGGCGTCATAAGTATGCCAAGGGCGCGAAAATGGCTAGGCTCCTATTCGTCAGTGGTACGGGCCGCTCCATAGTACACGTCCATTGCGGCTTGGTATCCCGAGAACACGGCACCACACTCAAGAAATTCGATATCATGGATTCTAGTTGGCGGATACACAGGCACATCCGTGGCTGTTTGGTGTGCCTTTGGCCCATCCGGAATACATCAGTTTGATGGCTCGTGTATCAGTCTCTGAGTCCGCCCTGAAAACTATCGTTCAGTTCTTTCCCTCCCAAAGAAGAGACTAGTGCAAGGGTCCATGCCAGAAGCTGACCAAAATAGTCGAAACAGCTCTATTCAGCTGATCTGTACATTGCGGTCTATAATTTTCCGTGGAATGAACGATACGTGGCTACCTGCTGAACCCTTGATGGACTGTGGAGAATACATCGGCTCAACAGCTGCATCTTGCACAGGAAGGATGCCCTGTATACCTTCAGGCGGTAGGTTTCTATTGGGGAAGTTGTCAGTTGTGATAGGGAAGGAGAAGACGATAGCAAGAAGGCAGGAACACAGGACCTCGAAGTCAACAAAACATTCAGGTCTGGCTCTCTTCCTTTCCTTTAGCGACACAGCAAAAGACGACAACGACAGTAACAATAACAGCATCTTCTTCACTGGGGTGAGTGGCTCTGATTTCTCCTCCGTTTGCGGCATAGCGGCGGAGCTAGCCGCGATTCGGGATGTCACGATGAAGATCGAAGATCACGTGACGACCTTCCTCCCATCTCGAATAGCTTGACGTTTTTTTTGTTTTCTTCACGGAAATTCCGGGTCGCTTGGGCTCGTGAGCCCGCCTTCGTTGGCGCCATTGGTGGGCCAGGAGGGCCGTGGCGTGGCCCATTAGATGGGTCGATACCCTCCTCTCGCCGCTGAGGCGTGAGGGCGAGTGGGAGGCGCATGCCGCGCTCGCCATGACGCGTGCCGCCGAGGCCCACGCCGATGCCCATGTCGACGCCGCCTCCGCCGCCGAGGACGCCGCCAACAACCGTGTCGCCTCCGCCGCCGAGCATGAGCTCAAGATGCTGCGCGTGGCGCTCGCGATGCTTGACCGGGCTTGAGTGGGCCGACAAACCGTGTTGAGAGAGACAAATCACGTCGAAACATACCTACGAAGGAAAACGTAAGTAACCCACGAGGAAGCCATACTTGACATCGGCACCTGGTCAGGGTTAATCCCTGGCTGGGCCGAGCATCGGTCTGACGGGTCAGACGCTCCAATTAATGAGGTTACCCTGCATTTCACTTGTGCATTAATCGGTGGGTTCGCCCTGAATATCAATCAGGCGGATAGCGAAGATCACACCTTCACTTGGTTCTTCAATCATCAAAGAAGACCAGTGTAAAGCCTGATGTCAAAAGAGTCACGCTCCCAGGCTCAAAACGGTACCATTCATCAAGGGAGTTGTGGTGGCACCAGTCACGTCATCAAGTTCCATCCAAATCTACACCCCACAACATACCCAGGTACTTTGGTGCAGACTCAAGGCTACGGATGGTACTAGCTACCATCCAATCCTCCCCAAACCATTCCATGGATTTCAAGCCTCAACAAACCATTCCATAAATTGGAAGCTTCAACCCCCCCACCCGTTCCATGGATTTCAAGCCTAACCAAACTAAGAGCCATTGAGGAGCTTCTTAAATGAGTCGACTTGCCCACATGCTCTACCTTTCCGGGCCATATCCCTCGTGCGACTCTACAGAGCCTCAAAAATGTTTTCCTACTCAAACTCGAGGAGGCAAAGACACAAAAGCTTACCGAGGAGGTAGAGGCACCTAAGCTTATTGAGGAGGCGGAGGCAAAGGCACATAAGGAGCGGGACCATCAACAGGCTCGAGCCCTCCTTGTCACCCTACACAAGCTACAGGGCACCATGGGTCCTCTAATAGCCGTCCAAGTATACAACAGTCACTTTTGTCCTCTTGTCAGTCGGCTTCGGGACGAGCTCCTCCTATGTATATTCGACTTCTTGTGCGACGACGTTGTTGCGCTACATTGCCTCCGGTCAGTCTCAAGGACATTCCGTCGTATTCTCAACCGTAGATCGATCATTTGGAGAGATGAGTGGTATCGTCCCTGCTCATCGCCTATCAGCGGCGACGCTTTCTATCTCCGCGATATTTACAGCCAACGGTTTCGAAGACTCCTACAGAGAGACGGCCGCTGCAATGATTGCAGGCGCTGGAATGACGCCCATTCTTCTCTATTCTCCGAAGACTGCAAGTTGAGCCATAGTGACGGTCAATGGTACGATGCTGTTACCAATCATCTGGCCTACCATAAGGTTTCTTTCTGCAATGCCTGCGACCGTAACCAGGACGTCAGCGAATTTTGCCCCCATCAACTGCTTCAACGTGAGCGACGGTGCCTAGTTCAGTAGGGATCTGTGCAATTATGTGAGCATAAGCAGATCACCTGGGCTAATATCGAGGCCCATATGGAGAAATGGCGACAGAGCTTCGAAGGACCCTTGTGGGACTGGCAAGGCATCCGAGACCAGTGGCAACGCTGCTTCGACAATTTCAACATTAAGTGTCACGATCCCAGCAACGATACGTGCTGCACGACCTCAGAAGCGCCGACCTGGCCGCAAGCCCGTCTCAAAATGAGCACCTTCAAGTCGGATTTTTTTGTAGTTCTCAATCTACAATGGCGACCCCACAGCCGCATCGATGCGCTCGCTCTTACTGCAGACGGTTGAATACCTATAGCAGCGATAAGAACGTTGTTCCAAATGCTGCGAAGTCAAGGGCCGATCGATAACCGATGTTCTCCGTGCCGTCCGGGCGCTCTACCTGAGATGGCTTTTTTTAGCCCATCGTCCCCTTTGGGACGCTATGTATACTATATGCCAGGAGAAGATGATGGAACAGGACCTCCACCAAAATCATGGCTATCGTGGACGCGTCTTCATGGAAACGGAACAAATGGCCGGCAGCTAGACACCACGCCTTATTGCCTAACTGGTGCTAGCAGTGCTGGTATCTCATCACAATGCCTTGTGGCCACCTACGAGAAAGACATTGAAATATGTTTATGGGTGGAAATGAATCGCGATTTCCGGTTTAGACCCACCTTTGATTGGCGCAATGCCATCGATCCCCGAACATACCCCCACTCGAATGCAAGCCTTGTCAGGCCGCAGTGCAGGGACGTGACCTGCTTCAATTACTACCAAAGACCAGAAGAGATCGATTGTCAAGATCAGACACCTTTGTCGCAAGGTAAACAGTAGTCTGCTGAAGGATCGACTCTGAGCTCCACCTTGTGGCTTAACCATTCACGCATCCCTGCACTTAACGGGTCTTTGGAGCCAACGGAGGCTATTCCCAAGCGCGTACGTTACCCCCTGCGGTCAAAAGTTTTCTTCAAACGATGGAAGTTCACGAGAACATCTTGCAGAGAAAAAGCTCAATGCAGAATTTAGATTCTGGCACTGCGTGCAATGAGAATGCGTCTGAAGGATCGGCATCGACCTAGCATCTACCCAAAGGCCCCGTTCTGGGGCAAGCACCCTATACTTCCGTCAATTTTCAATCAGCCTGCGAATGGGTGGGTTGAATCTAATAGACCTGTCGTCTTCCTCGCCAGGAGCTTGAAGGTTGGGACAGAGCTAATTTTCTACGTTATCGCAATATAAACTTCACCACAGTCTGCCTTATCCGCAATAGATGTATGTCCAGTATTTTATGACAACGGGATGGTAGGGCCGGCGATAACTTGCCTATGCCATGATTCCCAATACTTAAAAAAGAAGAAATCAAAGTTTTACATCAAAAAAGAAACTATCTAGAATTACGACATTCTACCAGCTTATCCGCCTAGGTATATGAGTGATATCCCACGCGCGAGAAATCCTTGGAACCTATAGAGTCGCGTGTGCCTCCTTGCGCAAGTTTGCGACCTCAGTTGCCGCAGCTCTCCAACTGGCGTCTCGATACGCCTTCCCCTCAAACATGGTTTGACCGACGTAAGCGCAATTTGCACTTCACCATAGTCTGCCTTATCCGCAACGGGGATGTCCCATGAGGTCTCGGGAGGCGCGAGAGCGGGGCGGCGCGCCCTTTGGCTCACCAAACTCAACCAGATAACCCATCTTTCGACTCACACTCGACTCCATTGTCGCGCCCTGAACCCACCAATTTTTCCATGTCCTCAATCTCGCAAAACCCATCGTCACCGCATGGCCGCTCACATTCTCTAAGAGCGGGGGCAGCGACAAAGTCAAGAGTCTGGTTGCCGACGAGTTTCCGGGCGAGCCAGAGGAAAGGCTTCTCGAAGTTGTAGTTGGACTTGGCGGAGACGTCAAGCCTAATGAGAGTAGGCTTAACATCTCTAGTTTTTAGCCTTAGGGGAAGCTGCAATAACTTCTTAAGGGTATCTGGGTGGTACAAAATACTAGACGGTGTGGGTAAGCATTTAATACACGTGTCTTGTAACAATAGTGACTTTTTTATAATAGTATGTTCAGTATTTTATAACACCTAGGTGAGAGTGAGAGCGGCAACAACACACGCCGAGTGGAGCGACACGACCGCTGTCAAGTGTTTTCGGGTGGACCTCTCGCTCCGATAATGGGGACCTGCTTCGCGCGCATAGCGGCAGCTTGGTCCAGCTTCTCGTTGAACTCATGGTCCCATTCCCAATTATCGGAGCTCCCGCTGGCTATGTCAAACGCCATGAGCTTCCCAGCATCAGTAACTGTTGCGAAGTATTGCTCTAATAATAGGGACGGGGTGGTCCAGCTTCTCGTTGAATTCACGGTCGGATCCGGTATCCCATTCCCCATTATCAGAGCGCCCGCTAGCTATGTTAAACGCCATAAGCTTCCCAGCATCGGTAACTGTTGCGAAGTATCGCTCTAATAATGGGGACAGGATGGTCCAGCTTGTCGTTAAATTCACGGTCGGATTTGGTATCCCATTCCCCATTGTCGGAGCGCACCATGTGTACAGAGGCAACTTTCTTGCCCGTGCCGACCACGTCAAACGTCATGAGCTTTCCAGCATCGGTGACGGAACGACGACTGGCGGCAAGACTGCCCTGTGGCTCATCGTTCTCTTCTCCGTTCCACCAAACGCCGAGACCGATACTTCGAGAATCTCTTGTTTGTTGACCCAATGGGCCCACAGCCCATTGGTGTTTCGTTTATGTGCTCGTTCGGTACCAGAATCTTCATCGTAGACAAGACCCGGGCTGCTAAGCCTAGGCTCTAAAAAACTTGTATTACGTAAATCGATCGCGGCATAGAGGGAGTGGCCTACATTCGTTAAAGTACTCTAGATACTTCTCATTGTGCTCGCAGAACAGACTCAACAATCTTGTTCGTTGCCTAGCAGAAGCTGATATATTTTCCCCAGGTTTTCATAAATGGACCAAGGTACTTTGCTTTCGGCTTTGCGACTGGCTACGCTCGGTTGCGAAGTATTGTCAAGTCTCCGAGACGGGATTCGATAGGAGCGCGCGGACGGTAGAATCGGTGTCGACGTCTATCGACGTATCTTTCGTTGAAGATGCGGTCGAACCATGGTACCATGGTGGGAATTTCCATTCCTTCTGTAAGCTGGCGATAGCGACCCGGTCACCATAACTTGGCTGCAGTGATTGACGGGAACACCGAGCTGCTGGGCCTCAAAGATGGTATGGGCGGTATCCTCACGAGGGAGGTCGAACATGGACATTAGACCAAGAAGGATTCAGTCACCGTCCTTTTTCTGGTAGGCCCTTCACCACCTTGAGATCCTTTAAGAATCCGGCACTGCTCTTTGCACTATTCCGTGAATTCAGGATGGCCGGCAGGGATAAAGGCAAAGCCGTCTGGCGCATTTGGCGCGTATGTGAGCTACTCCTGTGTTGGTCCTGCTATAGTGCGAAAATGGTGCATTGACAACGGACAATAGCTCTTCTACGACTACCGCGCTTGCGGACGGGCGACGTTTTTCTTGATGACATACACATGTCAAAAGGTCCTTGTGTATCCCTTCTTGCTCTTCAGGGAGAACCCGAAGCGGCCGTCACCGTCATCATATGGGGTAGGAGATGCACTACGTCCTCGTAGGCGGCCGAGGCGTGGCTCGTTGGGACTGCAATTATTTGTTAGTAATTAGTCAGCGAGGAAAAGCAAGACGTATATACCTCCTCGAACTTAGTCTTTAAGAGTCGACATCCTGATTCTGGCGTCAATTCGTCGAAGAGATCTGCCCTGTCCTTTAATCCCGCTTCGAATCGATGGGAGTCGGGTGGGGTGGCCTGTGGCCTGGCCGGGGCACGAGAGGAGGTGCTCCACATCCAACTGAAACGGCACAGAAAAAGACCTATCGGGCTTCCTCTACCATTCATTTTATGTACAGGACACACCTACAAAACCACGCGGAAGCTGCAATCCTTCTCGCTCATCTTGGCGGCCGCCATATTCCTGGGTATCTTCAAACTGTACACCATGTGTCCCACAACAATGTCCTTGCATCCGCCAACCAGCGTCTCGATATCGCGTCTAATCTGCTCCTCCTCGCCAGCATGTGCTTGTACCAATCTCTTCTCCGCGTCCAAAAGCCTTGACCAGCTCTGTTCGACCATCTTGACACATCGATCAACGGCAGCTTGCGCACTGCATCCGTCATTCCAAACAATGACCGGGATCGCAGAGTCGATGTCGCTGTCGTCAATTTCTTTTCGCAAACTGACAATGTCGTTCCAGAGGAAGTCTGAGATGGCCACTTCGCGCGTTATAGCCACCACGGCTTCGTGATCCCAGATGGATTGGGGGAGCGTGAGGCCGTAGGCCCACTGAAGAATTGCGACGCAAGGGTTTGTGCCGACGGTTCGGAGACGACGCGCCGTGTAACTTTCCAACGTGGATATGCCCTGCTCCCAGGTAGCCTGGGAAGTCCGCACGCCGAGGACGAAGTCATATATCGTTTCTGCGAACCGATCGCGTGCTTCTGAGATGGTGGTTAGCTGGGTTCCGGTCGACCACTACTAAGTTGTCACATGTACCTCTCGACTGCCCTTGGTTCATTGCTTTTCCGATACTAACCCAGGGACCGCAGTTGTGCAACCGACCAGGTGCCGGAACATCGCCTTCGCGCTCTGGCTGAAGACAATGTCTGATGAAGTTCAACGTATCATCGCAGTATGCTTCAGTCTTCTCACGGTCGTTCGTCAGCGTACCGCAGTCGATCTCATCGTCCCAAAAGAAGAACTAGGATCATTGTCAGCAAAGAGTTTGGAGCAGGCAAGTAATCAGCATACCCAAGCGACGAGTTCCCCAAGGATCAGGAACTTGTTTGTCTCAACATGGGTATAGAACTGTCCAACACAAAGCCCATTATCCACCCTTCTCTGCTTCTTCCTTATACTCTCTGTACTAATGAAAGCTTGAAAGAAGCCCTCAAGATGGTGCCTTAGTACCTCCACATCCGGATGGACTCGAGCCTCCCATTCCGTATAGATGTATCCAACATCTGGAACACGAATCTCTTGGCCCCGGAGCCTTGCAATGATCTCGGCACGATGATCCCCGTTTTTAGTCGAGACCTCGTCTGCAGTGACCCGGAGAGCAACAACCTTGACCGGCGAAAACTGGGCATCCTTGTGGTCAGACGGATGCTCTGAATCGGAAAACTACATCAAGTAAGTAAAACGCCAGGTTCAAAAGTCGGGAAAAAACAACAATCACATACCTGTCTCCTACTCCTATCCTTGCCCAAGCAGCACCACTTAGCAACCCAACCCTTGAGCCCCATAGTACTTGGCTCACACAAGTTTGAGCCACGCACGCCTCACTTTCGCCTAAAGATACAACACCCGCGGTGAGTTGCAGGAAATACAAGACCTAGCAAGAAACAAAGCACCCCGGTAAAGTAAGACAAGTCCACAACATGAATGCAGGATGGGTGGGACGCAAGCCTCTTTTTTGTATTCCCTTTTCCTCACAACGCCCTGACGCCATTTTCCTCACACCGTTACAATCACACACATGTCCGCGCCTCGGTTCGCTGACCCGGTCGTCTAATCTGCCCATCTTACCATGTTAGCCGCGCTGCTGCGTGCTTGCCGCGGAAAACCCTATCGAACATGGCGTCGAGTATATGTCTGGATGCACAGTGAACACACGCTCATGCTTCCTGCGTTACGCTTGTTGGTCGGTCGAAGGATTACACACTGTTCGGTTTACCGTCGTCACTCCACTGAGTCAGGAGAGTGGGCTTGTCGACTTGACTCGGCGGCGGGGAAGACCATGCATGCATACCGGATTTGGGACGTCAGATGTGGACTGGCACTTCACGTAAGCGCGGCGCAGGCGGAGGCGTTCAATATGCTCCCACGTGAGATGTGTGCCAGGGATACGGATTCGTCTGGCGTTTTTTCTTTTCCTGTACGTTATAGGCTGGGATTTACATTGGTAAATGGGGATAGTTGCCGAAGGGGGATGTTGCAGGGGTTGCTATATGATAAAGGTTGGGCTTGTTTGGTGTCACCAGTCGACTCAGGGAAGAAGCCACAGATCGCTCGCTACTTTACCGGTGTGTGATAGGCAGCCAATAGAGAATATGGAAGCTCCGGATTAGGGAGGCTTGGACGAAATGGTGTCAAAAGTTCTTTGCAAATGGATATTCGATGATCTCGATCGGTGCTCCTCTTGCTGCCTACCTACCAAGCCATTTTCTTAATCCGTGCTGTCACGAGCAGTATCCGAAGAAGGGGCTTGTGATCTCTCTCACCCCTAATACAGATTATTACAATGTGCATCCACTTATGCAGGGCATGCATTTATAAACAACAAAGCCCTTGTCCCCATAATCCCATTGTCCCATCCCATCCCATCCAAATCCACTCTAACGCCACAACACACCCCACCCCAAACCCAAGTCGAGTCCAGACACAACAGACGCCGACATAGACGCAGCATCTACCTTCGTAGCGGTAGTAACAAGTTACCCACCCGCGTCCGCGTCCGCGCCTCATCCTTCCAGCTCCACCCGCTAACCTACTCAAACCGAGTATCCAGCTTGTGCTACGCCACACAGCACGCGGTTTAAACGCAGGGCAAGCGCACGCCCACTCGCTTAATTCCCAGCCGGCTACATGACGCCGATTACACAAAACAACTGCGCCACTTTGTTGCATTGGTGGGTGATGTTCTGTTGTACGAAGGGGAGATACGGCGTAGTAATCTTGGACGTGAGGGATCTAGATTTGGGGATTTGGGATTTAGGATTTGGGCTACATCAGATTTAGGACTATAGGATTTAGACTAGAATAGATTTGGTATGCTGTTCGTTAGGATTTTGTAGGTTCGAGGTAGGTAGGTAGGTAGGTAGGTAAGTAATGGAGATGGATGGTAACAATCACGGCGCATGGAGAAGGGGCATCGGCGTGCGTTGTTGAGGAGGAAGGGGGGTTGTGAATTGGGGATGAGGCGGTGAGGTAGGTGCGGTATGAAAGACCGAGAAACGATTCATCCATTTATCCAGACAGAGAGAGACCGAAGACAGACATATTGAGGAGGCAGGGTCGGAAGGAGGGTAAAAAGAAAATGGGCAAGGTAGAAAAGAGGCAATAAAAGGCGAATCAAAACTTCCAAGAGAATTGAATTTCCATTCGTCTATAGATCTACCACACCACGTCTCCATTTTTTCGCACATGGGAACCTATCGGACAAAGGCGCACGTCATTTGCAGTTCCATACCCAGCGATCTGGGTAACCCGATGCATGCTTACTAAATGCCATTTCCTGCCCACCCCCCAAACGCCAGAAAAGCCATACAGGAGAAAACAACCACTATCATGACCACTACCACCACCGATCGCAATATACCCCATCACATCCGTTCGAAGGACCAGCAGATGACCACAGCTGCTTACACAGCACACCCTCTACGACCTCTTCTTTGCATTAACATTCTTCCCCGCACCCACCTTGACCCTGCCCCCCGCACGCCCACGATCCCCCGTCAGTATCCCCGGTAGATAATTCTCATCCATAAGGTCCCTCGCTTTACTTCTCTTCTCCACCTCGACCCTCTTCGTATACTCCTTCTGGTCCTCTGTGAGAATTAAATCCCGTCCCCAACCACCCTTACCCCCACCCTGGCCCGCGGTCCACTTGGTGTTCGCGGTGCCTGCAATGGGCTTGGGGATACTGTACTTGTCGCCGCGTTTGTTGAACTGGTAGTTCTTCGCGAGGTGGATTCTAAACTCGCCTTTTGCGTTTGTGGAACACGATACGCGCTGCAGGGTGGCTTGGCCGCAGCGCGGGCAGAATTGTCGTGTCATTTCTTTTGTGATGAGGAAGCAGGCGTGGCAGCGGAGGACTTTTGTGTTTACGGTTTTTATGCGTGACATGTTTGTGGAGAGGAGGTTGAGGTTCATTTGTAGGAGCACATTTTGCATGGCGAAGTCGGTTGTCATGGTTGCTACGTCGAGTTGCGGGTTGGAGGCTGTGGAGATATGGGGTTGGATGGCGCCGTCTTTGGCTTGGTGGGAGCTTAGGTTCTCGGGCGTGATCCAGTCGGAGTCGGAGTCGGAGTCGTCGGTTGTGGGAGGGGTGGGTTGTTGTGCTGTGTGTTGAGAGACGGATAGATCGGCCATGTCTTGCTCGAGGGTTGCTTCATCTGCGATGTTGCCCTGTGACTGCTCTTGCTGCTCGGGTTCGACTGAAAGCTCCGCACTCTGCTCGATGTGAATCTTTGCACTGGGTACCTCGACGGATGCCGACTGATCAATCAGGCTCTGTTCGCCGGCTTGTTCCTGTAGCTGTTCTTGCACTTGCTCTTGAACTTGCTCTTCTACCATCTCCTGAGCTTGCTCCACCACCTGGCTTTCGAGCTGCTCCTGGCCCTTGTTTTCAAGCTGTTCGTGAATCTGATCTTGTATTTGCTCATGAATCTGATCTTGAACCTGCGCTACGACCTGCTCCTGGATTTGATCCTGTACTTGCTCTTGCGTGACTGCAACGCCGCCCTCCTCTTCGCCGCCCTCCTCTTCGTCGACCACAGCCGGACTGGGTTCGTCATCCTGTTGCTGACTCGCGATTGGTTCACTCTCCACTTCTGTGGTTGGTTCAAAGTTGAATTTGGTGGATTTTGGCACTGTAACCCTCTTGGCCACTTTCTTACCGGTAGGCTGCTCCCAACCATCGTCCTCGGCGTCGGGGTCAACTGACTCAGCCATCTCAGGCGCCTCTGAACTGGCCTCTCCTGTTACCTCTTCAGCGGCGTCATCATGAGACTTGTTTGCCTTGGCCGCCCTTCGCCGACTTCTGCGCTTGTTGTTGGCTTCCGTTTTTGACTTGCGCCCTACAGCCGCAGTTTGTTCAGCTGGTACAACCGGCTCACTCTTACTGGACACAGCCTCTTTCTCCTTCTCAGCCTCCATCACACCCTCGTTAGCAACCTCCTCCGGCCTCCTCTTCACTTCTCCCTTCGGCACAAGCCGAAGTCCGTAGTCCCCTCCATTCCTCTCACAATGCACCTCATAAGCCAGCGCCAAGATGCCCAAATCCTGTCGACTAAGCACTGCATGGTCGCCCGTCTTCTTGCTAAATGCGATAACTGCATCGTAGCTCGCCGGACTCGGATTCCGAATTTTCAGAAAAGGCACAAGAGTCGTCTGCACACGTGATCGTGTCGCTTCATCGCGGATTTCAGAAAGTATGGCTGGCGTGGTGTAGAGTTCCTCGGCGGTGTTGATGAGTGTGGATATAGCGACCGTGTTCTTGATCAGTGGTCCCGTGTCAAGAATTAGTGAATGGATCGGCTTTTGCTGTGCAGGAGATGGGTCTGCCATGTTGGGTGGTTGGATTTTGGGTTGTAGTCGTGCGTTTTGTAATTTGGAGTGTTTTTCTCTGGCAGATCTCTGCGAAGTATTTGCGATATTTGGACGATCAAATTTTGTGACGAGTCGCAGTTCTGGCGTCGTGGGAAGATTTCGTCGCCGTGTGGCGGTGGGGTGGGGTGAAAAAGCTGACGAATTTTGATTGGTTGGACTAGGCTACCATGTTCTTCACTCGTGATGTTAGCAGCACTAAGGCATGATCAAAGAGTCTAAACGTGAAAATGAGAACTGATCGTTGCCAGTGATGTTTTTTGACATGATAGAATCTAGATAATCATGTCTACATAATAGCTGTTCTACCAAAACGCCGCCCAATGCTGAAGTTGCGAGTGGTATAATGCGATTCACCCGCCGGTGGTATACAATAGTCATACAACCCCTAAAATAGAGTCCTCTTGCTGTTGTGTAGAAGTCCTGATAACGTTCAAAATACAGCTCATTCCCCTATCCTTCAAGCAATAGGTCTACTCTTCTCATCCTCAGGCATCCGCATATACGCATCAATCGCGGCACTGAAGACGGCAAAACCTGCACATCCCACAGCCACAGCCTGAGGCCCAGCGTTCCTGGCCAAGATGCCTCCGGTCAAGCAACCTCCCGCCACACCGTTGTATAAGTCGTTCTTCGCTCGTAGGCCTTCGATGGCGCACTCAGTGCCAGAGAAGATGGCTCCGACTTTGGCAAAGTTGCGACCGGAGGATATCGAGGATCGGTACATGTCTCGAAGACCGGCGCGTAGTTGTTGGCGGAGGGGAAGGTCTGTCAAGGGCACTGTCCCTGCTGGAGACATAGCAGCGGTTGCGCTTGTGGATGCAGGCATTGAGGTGAGGGTCGCGGCAGAGGCGGAGTTTAAGTTGCTGGTAGCAAGAGTTGAAGGCTTAACGCCTGCTGTTGCAGAAGCGCCAGATGCTGCGGTTGTAGGTTTGGTGGCTGTGGCTGGTGTGTTGACGTTGAGCGGTTGAGACATTGGCGTATCGTATCGCATCTACATACATTAGTCTTCGTTTCTCATCTCTCACCATCTGAGACTTGAATTCATGTAGACATACCGAGGCCATGAATAGACCAAACATGGCACCAAGACCACCACCCATGACGCCTGCCATTACTGTCTTGCCGAGACATGACTCCATACCCATTTGCATCTAGACAAATGTCAGCCATATTCGTACTTCATATTGCCCAATTTCTCCCAACTTCATCTTCAAGCACTGCGCGCGCCGGGGCCTCCACGGACTTGATCTAATATCTAGCGAAAATGACGGATTACACGTACCGCCTTCACCATCTGCTTTTCCTGCTCCGACATGCCCGCGTTGGGGTCCAGAGCCGATGGCAATGCGCCGGGACCTCCTGGAAACGCCATATCTACAAAAGATGATAGTGTATAGGAGGAAGTGTGGGGTACGAGAGGCTGTTGCGATTGCGATGCGCCGCCGCCGCCTGGAACTTTTGCGGAGTTCAGAGCGGAGGACGGAAAATACCGGGTCTTGGCACCGTCCCAACGGCGATCAGACCAAGGCACGGACGTAAGACGAGGACATTACGACACTAATTTCTCGATTATTATGAATAATGATCAAGTCTATCGTTATGCTACGGAAAATTGGTATAAGGCCGAAGCTAGGCTCAAGACCCGCCTATGTACAATTACGCCAACGCCATGCTTCCAAACTTTTACTTCGACAATCCACCACTACAAGATATCTCCAAGGCTGAATTAGACATTGCCGTAAAAATGGCGTGGCTTCATAATGCTGATAATGCTGAATATGGCGAAACAAATGCCGTATAAATCGTGAATTAGTTCATGTAATCGCCGTGCGAGTAGTCCTGGCCCCTTGACTCTGGAGGCGGCGTCAGTTGCTTCTCCCATTCCCTCATTAGGTGTGATGCAGTACGCTTGAGATTGCTGGGCGACACCTTGGTCATATCAGGCCACGGGATTGAGCTGCGCTTTACTTCGCGAGGCGTGATATCGTCTTGGTTGATCGAGGTGAGCGACGATGCCTTGGAATCGTGGCGCCGAGAGTGATATCTGGTGCTGATGCTGGTTCGTGAGCTGGCTGGGCCTGAAACTGGCGAGGTTGGCGCATCCGAATCGTCTGAACTGTCCTTGGAGTCGGCCAAGTCTAGCAATAGGGATTCATTGGCGTTGTCGCGGGACTCACTGGGGGTGTCCCAGTTATCCCACTCTTCTTCCGAGGCCATTTTGCGAATTTGTTTTTGCGGGGTACTAGTGTTTTTGAGAGCGTGCGTCTTTTTGTTGACCGCATTGGTCTTGGGCTCGCTCAACCCCATCTCCTTCCAAAAGTCATCGCCAACAGAGCCCAGCGGTTGCGTCTTCTTGGAGCTAGCGGACCGAGTAAGGGGTGGGCGGACATCAGATGTCTTGCGGTTGTGCTTGGACAAGCCCTTGGCGCTTGGCCCACCGGCAATACCATCGGCATGGTTAACGGCTTCATCACCAACCGTAGCCTGCCGAATATCTTCGATGAATGTGAACAGACCCTTCTTGAAGTCGGTCGCCATCTGTGTGCCGGCGCGAATGAGCTGTTCACGCTGTATGGTTGGCATACCACCCATCTCATAGCGATCATGGTCACCAGCAGTCACCACTTGACGTGTGATGTCTGCCGAAGTAGACCGTGCACTGAGTTGGGGTCGTGAACTAGGCGACTGCTGATCCTGTAGGTCGAGAGGCTGGAGTAACGCAGGTGAGTCGGTACGGTCGGGCGAGAGTAGCGACAATGTACGTAGATGCCTGGAACCACTAAACACTTTGCGCTGTGTCGTCCTCGTATGGCTGAGTAGACTCTTTCTGCGCTCCATCTCTTTCTGCATCCACAGGTTGGAGCCATCGTCGTCGTATTGGGTTGGAGGGGAGTTGGCCAGTGCTGTGTTCAAGGGTTCAAGTGCAGTAACTTTGCGCACGTCAGTGCGTCGCTTCATGGCCTCATGGCGAGTCCACTGCGACTTGAGCAAGTTCAGGTCGGCTTCGGGCCTTGGTGAGCTCTTCCCTCAACTCCAGCACATAGCGTTCCTGGGCAGCAAGGACGGCGAGAATGTTGGTCTCGGAAGCAGGCTCGACGGGGTCCGGGGAACGGACCGTGATTGCCGCCATTGTACCATGATTGCGGGCGCGACCGGGTCGACGAGGTTGGTGATGTACTCCTGGTAGCAGGCTGGATTGGAAATTGGAGTGACAAGCGTTTGCCTTGCCTGACGACGTCAACCGTCCTGGAACGCGAGTGCGACGGCATTGCCGGTGATGGTGAGGGTGAAGGAAGAACGTTTGAAATGGAGGCGTCAGATGTTTTTGTCTGGGATGACGGGTCCACCCCTTTGTCATGCAGGGTTGGTGTCTGTGCTCCGTCCATGGAGTCTACGTGTCCCAAATCTAAGATTGAATCTGAATTGCTCATGTCGTGGCCCTTCTTCAGTGTACAGAGGATGGTGGAAAGGCAAACGCGACGAGCGAGTCGGTGAAGAATAAGCGAGGCGGCGGCTGGGGAGCTGCCGTAGACTTCGAGGTAAAGGGCTAGAAGGGCTGTAGGGAGGCCGACCAATCGGAGGAGCCGCGAGCCTCTGAACCGCGAGAACCACGACTTTAGGATAGTTTGGGCAGCGCAAGAAACCATACCAAGGTCATTGAGGAGGGCATTTCTAGGAGTTGAAGGTGCCTGTGGCCGCCTCACACTCGCACAGCGGTAAACGTCGTCTTTGTGCTGCCGTCGCTCACGCGGTATAGAGCTCGAGCCACAAACAAGCCATTTCAGGAACAAAGTCCTGGCACGAATGCCATGGGGTTGCTTGCGCGGCTAGTGTGATTGCGGCGGGGGGGGGGGGGGATAGCAGCCATGGTGGGGATCTGACCGGACAAGCTGGCGGCTGACAGATGTTTCTTTTGCCCCTCAACGCTCGACGCTTTAAAAGCCCGCCTCTCGCGGTCCCGTGGGGCCATTGACAGCTGACAGTCACTACACGTCCAAACCACAGGTCACGTCGTGCCCTGCTTTTGGCACGACATTGCGATGCTGCTGGGTGCGGAAATGAAGGGTCGGACACGTAATTAGACACTTCAGGAGACGACCCATGTAGCCATGAGCTAGCTGGGGCCCTCTCGCAGAATATCAAAGTCGGCTACAAGTCCGATGCCAGTAACGGTCGAGAACGTGCTTGGGGACAATATTTCTGTTTTGTGCGTTGTCGTTGTCGCTCTCTTTGAGTTTGGTTGCTATGTGAGCGTGTGAAACCAGCCTCGTCATCGTGATTGTGATGCGCCACGTGATTGGAAACCTGGAAACCCTTCTCGATCTCTGAAACATGGCCTCGTGTCGCTCACCGCGACATTTCCGTCCGATGCCATCGCCAAGGACAATGATAGAGTGCCATTCTTTGGCTACTGGGGCGACGGCGTTTTCAATTGCATGGGATGGGCGGCGTGTTTGGCTCAGCAACTGCAGCTGCAACGTCATGCACGCGAACAAAAGCAACCTCAAGCAACCTTGAAGCGTCGGCAGAGGCCGGGCAGGTGACATGAACTGCACGTTGAGCTGGCAATTCTACGAGCCGTTCCTGCAACCTTCCGTCATGTGTGTGTGTGTGGAGTCTCGATGCAGGGCAACGCTGAGAGCTGGCATCAGGTATCAACATCCAAACCGTCTCTGTCTAGAATTAGCAACAGTGACTCGGGATAAAGTATTCGTCGTCTCTGAATGGTGAGCTTTGTTTTTCTTTTCATTGAGCACTGATCTCCTCCGACGTCATGCTAATCTCCCCAGATCATCCAGGCGGGGATGGTCGTGTGTTGATAGGCGAGGCCGTTGCCGGGGCAATTGTCGTCCACGGACCCTGCGCGGGCTTTTGATATACACTACCCGACGGCGCATGTAGCTGCTCCACCAGACGGTATAACCTATTTCTATCCTCACAATCAGTATCGCATTACAGCACCCGCGTCCGTCTTCACCTTGCATCTGAGCATTGCCCGGAAATTCTGAGCCACCACATTTCCGCTCAGCAATATCGACATCGCCAAACATGGCGGAGGGCTATCAGGTCATGGAAGAGCTGGGCAGTAAGTCGCACAACATTGGAGATGACGACAATCGCTGACATGGTACAGGCGGGAGCTTTGGAAAGGTGTTCAAGGCTATTGACCGCAACACGGGCGAGACGGTCGCTATCAAGCACGTACGGTAATTTCTGTCCCAGGGCGCATCAACAATACTAACCCTCGCAGATCGACCTCGAAGACAGCAGCGAAGAACTGGCTGACATCCAAGCCGAGATTTCTCTTTTGAGCACCTGCCACAGCCCGTACATCACCGAATACAAGACAAGCTTTGTCAAGGGCGTCAAATTATGGATCGTCATGGAGTATCTCGGCGGAGGATCAGCCGCAGACTTGGTATGCCTCCACAGCCACAATCAACGAGAAATTGGCTAACTGATTGTAGTTACAACCCGGTACTTTCAGTGAAGCGCACATCGCAATTACATGTCGCGAGCTCCTCCTGGGACTCGACTACCTTCACTCGACGGGCAAGATCCATCGAGACATCAAAGCCGCCAATGTACTCCTCACTGATCAGGGCAAGGTCAAACTTGCCGACTTTGGTGTCGCTGCGCAACTTACCAACATGAAGTCCCAACGTATGACATTTGTCGGCACACCTTTCTGGATGGCCCCCGAGGTGATCCAAGAAGCTGGTTACGACTTTAGGGCCGATATCTGGTCTCTTGGAATTACTGCCATGGAGCTGGCCGAGGGCGCACCACCACACGCTGGATCACACCCCATGAAAGTGCTCTTTACCATCCCAAAGAACCCGGCCCCCAGGCTAGAGGGTGATCAGTGGAGCAAGGACTTCAAAGACTTCATCGCTCAGTGTCTGATCAAGGATCCCGACCGACGAGCGACCGCAAAGGAGCTGCTGAAGCATCGATTCATCCAGCGCGCAGGCAAGGTTGAGGCTCTGCGTGAACTGGTTGAGCGCAAGCAGATGTACGACGCTCAGAAGGAGCAACAGGCAGCATCACATCCTAAATACTACGAGGAGACCATGTTAGTATATACCCAGAATTTCCGTAAGAAAACACTAACATCTCTAGGCGCGACTTCTCGCCAAAAGCTGAAGAAGACGATTGGGACTTTGATACCGTCAAGTGCGGTACAGTTGCAGCACGACAAACCATGAAGCAACGCAAGTCATCTCGGCTGCCCTCTCTAGACAACGACGAGATTCATAGCATGATGGAGCACGTCGACCTAAACTCCTCCCCATTAAGCGACATTACCGATTCACAGTCAGTACGTCGTCGGACTTCTCGAAGAGTGTCACAGGCCACGGCTTTGCGACACACATCTGGCAACACACCGACTGCCCGTCGCGTTAGCAACGTCAACAACAAATCACCCCTGGGTGTCGACATGACTTTCGGCAACTCGCCATCGACTGTACGACACTTCAAACGTGTTCCGTCGTGTGAGCGTCGCCCAGCGCTGCGCTCGAATCCCCCGAGCCACTCCCAAAACAACCTTTCCTTCCAACCGAACCCACAGGCGCGCACCTTCCGACCGTCTCCACCAAGCTCCGACCACTCGTTTGATGAGAACAATGAGAATGAGCCGCCTATGCCCGACAATACTCACATGCCCATCACCAAGGATGCGCTATATGGTCGTCGCGCCTACAGCAAGGTTCTAGACTCTGTCTTCCAAGAAGCGGTCGCAGACAACGCATCCACTTACCAGCGAGAGGCTATCGGTCGCGTTGCCCAAGCATGGCAGCACCTTGACGAGATCGATCCACAGGGCGAGTTCCTCCTTCTAAAGGCCATGGTAGATCGCCTCAAGAACGACACAAAGCTTGCCTCAGCCCTGGGTATCGAAGTCTCACCTGTACAATCACCCTTCAAGCACCACACAAAGACCAGCGATATCAGCTTAGGCGGCACCACCGTCCACGGCTCAGGCACCACGCGCGTCCGATCCAATACCACGACATCGCCAACATCAGGGGGTAAGGTCTCACCCAGCCACAAGCATGCTCAAGTATCTACGCCAGTCCAAACTCCAGTCCGCACATCTGTGGCTTCAGAATCACCTCTGAAAGCATCCAAGCTCGTCATGGCCAAGAACAACCCACATCTCAAGTCGCACTCCGCCGCCAGAGCGCCCTTGTCGTCGGCGAA